TAGAGTAGAGCGGAGTGGTGTGTGTGTGTATATAGAGTAGAGCGGTGTGTGTGTGTGTATAGAGTAGAGTCGTGTATGTCTAGAGTGGATTGGTGTGTGTGCGTATAGAGTAGAGTTGTGTAGAGTAGATTGGTGTGTGTGCGTATAGAGTAGAGTTGTGTAGAGTAGATTGGTGTGTGTGCGTATAGAGTAGAGTCGTGTATGTCTAGAGTAGATTGGTGTGTGTGTGTGTGTAGAGTAGAGTGGTGTGTGTATGTGTAGAGTAGAGTGGTGTGTGTATGTATAGAGTAGAGTCGTGTATGTGTAGAGTAGATTGGTGTGTGTGTGTGTAGAGTAGAGTGGTGTGTGTATGTGTAGAGTGGTGTGTGTATGTATAGAGTAGAGTCGTGTATGTGTAGAGTAGATTGGTGTGTGTGCGTATAGAGTAGAGTTGTGTAGAGTAGATTGGTGTGTGTGCGTATAGAGTAGAGTCGTGTATGTCTAGAGTAGATTGGTGTGTGTGTGTGTGTAGAGTAGAGTGGTGTGTGTATGTGTAGAGTAGAGTGGTGTGTGTATGTATAGAGTAGAGTCGTGTATGTGTAGAGTAGATTGGTGTGTGTGTGTGTAGAGTAGAGTGGTGTGTGTATGTGTAGAGTGGTGTGTGTATGTGTAGAGTAGAGTGGTGTGTGTATGTATAGAGTAGAGTCGTGTATGTGTAGAGTAGATTGGTGTGTGTGTGTGTAGAGTAGAGTGGTGTGTGTATGTGTAGAGTAGAGTCGTGTATGTGTAGAGTAGATTGGTGTGTGTGCGTATATTGTAGAGTCGTGTATGTGTAGAGTGGTGTGTGTGCGTGTAGAGTAGAGTGGTGTGTGTATGTGTAGAGTAGAGTGGTGTGTGTATGTGTAGAGTAGATTGGATGTGTGTGCGTATAGAGTAGAGTCGTGTATGTCTAGAGTAGATTGGTGTGTGTGCGTATATTGTAGAGTCGTGTATGTGTAGAGTAGATTGGTGTGTGTGCGTATAGAGTAGAGTCGTGTATGTCTAGAGTAGATTGGTGTGTGTGTGTATATTGTAGAGTCGTGTATGTGTAGAGTGGTGTGTGTGCGTGTAGAGTAGAGTGGTGTGTGTATGTGTAGAGTAGAGTCGTATATGTGTAGAGTAGAATGGTGAGTGAGAATGAGTGTGTGCATGGAGTGAAGTGTCCTGCCTAAACACACACACCTGGTGTTCTCGGAGAGGTCTCCCATCTCAGTACTAACCAAGCCCTGCCCTGCTCAGCTCCAGAGGTCTGATGGGATCTGGCTTCCACCTTCAGGAATGGCCTCAAAAGCACCAGTAACAGAAAACATCATGGTCCTTCGTGTGTCCAGAGGAGAGGGGTTCACGGTCACCTCTACTCTGAAAATAAACTTCTGACTTTAATAATAATAATAATAATACATCAAACTTGTATAGCGCTTTCTTGGACACTCAAAGACGCTTCACATGGGGAGTAGAATACAATAATAAAAAGGGTTTACGGAAAAGCTTGTTTGAAAAGATGGGTTTTGAGTACAGATTTAAAGTTTGATAGTGAGTCAGAGTTTCTAATGAGCAGTGGGAGTGAGTTCCAGAGGGTTGGGGCGGCAATGGCAAAAGCTCTGTCCCCCAAGGTTCGGCGGTTAGTGCGGGTGATGGGAGTGTGGAGGTTGGAATTGGCTGAGCGAAGGCGGCGGGTGCGTTGGTGCTGCTGTAGGAGCTCAGTAAGGTAGGGGGCGGGGCCAGGTTATGGAGGGACTTGTAGGTGAGGAGGAGGAGGAGCTTGTACTGGATGCTGTATTGAACGGGGAGCCAGTGGAGCTGCTGGAGGACAGGGGTGATGTGTTCTCTGGACCGGGTGTGGGGGAGGAGGCGGGCTGCAGAGTTCTGGATGTATTGCAGTTTTTATAGACAGTTATGTACTTCAGAAGAGTTGACTTTCTCAGTATCGTGGCATCGCACAAATAAATACTTAAAGAAGCAGTCAGGGATTTTTAGCAATATCGTGGGAAAACGTCCCTAAACCCTAAAAGTATCAAGTCATCATGTGTTTTCAAATAGTAATGGAATTGCCCAGATGTCTATAGTCTACAAAAATTAATAACAAATATTTTGGAGCGAACTGATAAAAACAAACCAATGGAATTTGTTTACCGCCTTCACCCACTTCCTGTTTCTCGCGAGTGCTCCAGAGTTATCGGATTATTTTCTAAAACCTAAAATGGCTGACCTAAAAAATACCAATTTCACGTTTGCTCCACTCTCCCTGTTGTGACAAAGAAAAGAAAATGCTGGATGTTTGGTTTGGTGGAGAGGGAGGGGAGGGGGGAGTGGTTTCCAGTTGGTGCTACGGCTAAGCTAACAACATCGCTAACTGCACCTTTAATCCTAACTTCTAACAGATGAAAAAGAAGAACTATTGTACATATAAACCCGTTTCTACAGATCTATGTCGTGTGTTTCGTATGAAAATGTCGAGCTTGTATCGGCGCACACACACATGGAGTCGTCTCACAACAATTGGCAGGAATACATTTCAGAGACAGAGATCCATTATTCATCCCACAATGGGGAAATGTCAGTGTTGCATCAGAACAGCAGGAGGAGCACGCAGCACAAGAGAAATGAACAATCACTCTAGACTACGATAACATCTTCAGCTTTGGCATAATGAAGAATTAAGTTTAACATCTCTGACTTCAAAATAGTAACGATTAAAGAAGCAAGTGTAAAATTGTCATAACCAAATAAATCCAAGATGACCTGAAAACAACACAGTGGACGGACATGTGGGAGAAAGCACAGGGACTAATTACACACAGGGACAAGTGGGGAACTTGCACTTTTATTTAGTTACCTGCACTTTTAATTGGAAGTGTATATTATTATGCACGTTATGGGATTGTATTGTCCAAGGACTACAGACAGAAAGTAGCCGGTGCTAAATCTGGTGCAGCCATACTTTTACTGCAATTTCACAATGTCCTTAATAAATCACAATTAAAACTTTAAAAGCACTGGGAATTTAAAAGCCACTCAATAAATACACACAGGGACACACAGGTGAATCGCATCAGGGCGGGGCAGGACTGACAGGACGCAAACAAGCAAGAGAACAAATATAGGTAAATAAAAACAGGCTAAAAATACTGTAAATACTGTAGTATGTTTACATCTGAACATGTTTGCAGCCTGAGGGTCTGGGACTGAGTATACTGACAGTGACTCGTGTGGTTTCATACTGATCCCTTTAGTCCAGTTCTCAGGTCTCTGCTTACTGTGACTGGCCTCCTGCTGGGACTCTGAGGAGCACAGGGACTGGCCTCCTGCTGGGACTCTGAGGAGCACAGGGACTGGCCTCCTGCTGGGACTCTGAGGAGCACAGGGACTGGCCTCCTGCTGGGACTCTGAGGAGCACAGGGACTGGCCTCCTGCTGGGACTCTGAGGAGCACAGGGACTGGCCTCCTGCTGGTCCCAGAGTCAGGACTAAACATGGGAAGGTTGCATTTAAGATTAATGCAGCAAAAATCTGGAACAATCTTCCCAAATATGTGAGACAGGCTTCTTCTCTGACAATGTCTAAATATTCCAATATTTTCTTTCACTTTTTTTACGTATTGTGATCATGTATGATTTGAATGGCTTGTATCTTGTTTTCTTAAGCACTCTGAGTTGCCTTGTGTATGAACTGTACCATACAAATAAACTTGCCTTACCATTTTGTACATTCAGACATAGTTCAAAAACAATTTACCAACTTTCTCACATCTGCAGGGCCCTCTGGTTTAACCACCGTTGACACCAGGCCTGTTCTCTCCTCTTTGTGAGCCTGGGCCCGCGGCGGTGATTGATGGTGGGGACACAGGCCGACATGATGCTGGGCTTACGCTTGGCCTCATTTTACGGACTACACAAAGACGCTAACAACTGCTAAAAGGCTGCTGACCCCGGACCTCCTTCTGTCCCCAAACTGTGGTCCTGCCCCTGCTGTCCTTTATCACAGGTCTGAATGAGGCCAGTCCCAAACCAGGGTGGGGTAGAGTGGGCGCGGACCATCCATTTTGTGTTAAACCTGCCATGACTTATACATAGTCATATAAACAGATAGCAGTTACCAATGTGACTATAGTTCTATGAATATATACTAGGAGTCTGCAACTTTTTTTTTGACCGGAGAGCAACTTTTACAAGACAGAAATGGCAAATAAATAAGATAAGATAAGAGATCCTTTATTCGTCCCGTAGTGGGGAAATTTCAGTGTTGCAGCGCACATACAGGACAGTAGTAAGAGCACACAAAATACACAATATACGTAAAAAGCTAGTCCCTGATCTATGCTACACTAAAAGTTGGTTCATACAGTATATGACAAAGAACTGAGATATAGTGTGATGACTGCATCTTCATTCATCTGCATCCCGGTCGAAACAGTGCCTTTCTGAGTGGAGTTTGCATGTTCTCTCTGTGTTTGTGTAAGTTTCCTCCGCATGCTCCGGTTTCCCCTACCACTAAAAACATGTACCAAAAGTCTGGCATGCACTCCCTGTACTGGCAACCTCGCTCCCATCTCTGTGTGGAGTTAGAGAGGAATGCCCAAAACAATTGTAAAGCGCTTTGTGACTCTGGTCTGTGAAAGCCGCTATATTGATAAAAACTTACTTTTTTATTACTTACTTCAACAGCACATAAATATTACCATGAAATATGCGGCTGGTCTCCATGTTTTCAGAGTTTCTTGCCGATGCAGAAAGGTCTAAAGACAGTGGTGATGATCCAGGACCTTTAATGTTTATGGACCAATGGCTCTATGTGTTTTTTCATCAAAGCATTTTCTGGGTTCTAACTGTTTGATTCTCTGATGTTGTGTGTCAGACATGCTCTGACTCGTCTCCTTCACCTCCACATGACATCAGGGAGTTTTGGCCCCGACACAAGAACTGCTTTTGTCATTCCATTTTCTCCCCGCGCCCCGACATTAAAATGACCCGTCCGCGCCCGTGAATGGCCGCCGTGGTTTGGGTCAATAAATCCAGTGATTCAGGGGGTGGACAGTTGCAGCCGTGTTCCCGTTTGTTCACAGGCTTGTCAGAGGGACCGGCCCCGCCCCTGGGCCCTTTGTCTGCCTCGGGCTCCCGGCAGGTTAGAAGTCAATGGAGGGCCTTGTGCTGAGGTGGCGGGGCACGGACGGACCGCCTCTCACACGGCGTTCACACAGGGGGAGGACGGGCCCTATCACTGGGACACTTGTTACTGTGGGGCCACACAACGTCCCGGGTCGGAGAGTCCCCCAGGAGCCGCGTCGCTTTAAACAAACTCCTGCCGCGGTGGAAAGTTGATCCTCGGCTCACAGGGCGACAGTGGCCCCAGTGAAAAGAGTGTATCGCACCATCTCCATTACTGATTAGACTTACAATAAAACCAGGTCAGGCCTGTGCGGGCCGCTATAGGAGCTTTAAGTTAGACATGGCTGCGTCCGACTTCCTCAAAACTACTCTCTCATACCTTCACGTTGACTTTGATACATTCTAGTAGATTCAATAAAGTTTAAAAGAATCATTTTACGTGACTAAACTTGAGCCTATACCCTCTGTGCTGTATTGTATTGAATTAATGTATTTTTTACGGTCTCATTTTCACTTTTGAAGTATCTCTGTGAAGATCCTGAAGAAGATGACAATCGTCTGGGATCGTGTCAATAGACAGAAGACATATTTTATTTTTGTCGATGGTAGACAGCACGAACAAATATGTTACAGAATGCATGTGATATTATACGGCATGGAGGAATGGAGACCGTCCAATCAGCACTCGCCGCGGTGCCAGTAGCTTCAAGCCTTGAGAAAGGCTGCGCTGGAAACGGCAGCAAGTCCTAAGTGTCTCTGAAACTGTTGTTGTTTTGTATTTTACAATTGTTATTTTTCTTGCTTTTTTCCACCTGAGATGTTGCTGCAGTACAGTGTTCATGGTTTTACACTGGTCCAGACGAGAGTAGAAAGGATTCATGGTCCAAACCAAATGGATCAGCTGAAAATCCACTGGAGGAATGCAAACTAATGTAGAATTCAGCATCTCACTGTGGACTAGAGCAGAGAAAATGCTGCTGCTGGGACTGAAGTGCTGTTTGCATTTTATAATTACTATCATTAGCTTTTTGGAATGACCTATTTATTTGTTTTATTATGTGTGTTTTAGCTGCTACTGGACACCTGAATTTCTTCTACAGGGATCAATAAAGTATCTATCTATCTATGAATGTCCCGGATCATCAAATCAAATCAATGAAGCAAAATGGCTGTATTTTGTGGAATCTACTTCTTATTATTGTTATTATTCAGACCAGTTCTGTCTATTATGATTGACAGGGTATCTGAAAAGTCGACTACAGCTCTAATGTCCTCTTTGAAGGAGGAGGAAGGACGAGGAAAGAAATGATTTTAAATTCGGACTCCGCCGTAGAGACAGAGTGACGCATCCTCTTGTTGTCAGTTCAAAAGCTTGAGAACCTGATGCTCCGTAAACGGTGAAAGAAACGACCGGACGTCAAGTGTGTCTCAACTTCTGCAACAAAAACACATTTTGTTTGGCGGCTGACCACGTGATCACGCCATGTTTTCATTTACAGCCTCATTGTCAGATATATCCAAAAGAACAGTCCCCAGAGTCCGGCACAAAAGGAGTGAGCAGGAACAGGTGGCAGGAGCATAAAGTTTCATTTATCTGTTCAAAAATGATAATAATGAATAATACATCATGAAATAGTGCTTTTTTAGATACTTTACATATGTGTATTTAAAGTAGCAGTAAGATTTTCATTTCAAGTCATCATTAAAGGGCCCTAATCTGTCAAAAGACATTAATAAAACACGCTCTTTTCAAATACTTTTAGTAGTTCAGGGATATTTGAATTTAAAAATTAGTTTTACAGCCTGTAAATCTTGTTATTGTTTTCATTTCGATGTCCCGCCCTCCACTGTTTTACCAATCAGAAAGTCTGTGATCCGGGCGCCAGAACTCACAGCGTCGAGCTAATCTCACTGGTGAAGTACCATGTGGCCACAGAACTAAAAAAGGTCTCGTTATGATTCTCAAATCATTAATGACAAAACAGGGAATAAAACCAGGATTTCTATCTTTGTGAAAAAGGTGTTGGTTATAGATTTGTTGTTGACAAAACTCTGTCTATTCAGCTGTTATGGTCCCAGCTGTATTCGTCTGCATATCTGGCAACCTGAGTCAGGAAGAGTGCAGTACCACTTTTGGCCAGATTTTTACATACTGCTCCTTTAAAGTGATTGTCTGGAGTTTGTCAGAAAGAGAGACAGAGAAGTACTTGATTTGAAAAAAACGACGCAAGCTCCCTCCCCCTTCCTTTCTGATTGGTCTACACCTACGTTTCCGTAACACTTTGAAATGTTAATCAGAGAGCACATTATACATATACATTATTAATACACATGCACGGAGGTTTTCAGAATTATTTGTGAACGTTTTAATGAAAAAACTAATGTTTTTATGCACAAAAAAAGCGATCGCGGCAAACCGGGAAGTGCTATTATCATGTATTGCACATTATAGGACACATCTGCGGAGGATCTGATTATGGATATAGGTTCAGAATATAAATGATTATGGATATAGGTTCAGTATATAAATGATTATGGATATAGGTTCAGTATATAAATGATTATGGATATAGGGTCAGTATATACATAAGTACCTCAGCACGGATGTTCAGAATTCTTTGTTCAGTTTTCATGTTGTTCCAGAGCCTAATAGAGGCTTGATTCGGAGGCTCCGCGAAAACAAACAACTGAGCATGCGCCGATGATTGACAGCCCTTGGCATGACTCGATTGGTTAACCTCGACGGCACCGTGGATTCTGAACTATAGCTAAGAGCAGGGAAGGCGGGACTTGCCCGTAATATTAGAATTAATAAAATGACTTATTTTATATCAACATTTAAGGCCAGGAGGTCAATTTAACACATTTCCTAAAATTTGTTGGTTGGTTTTGAGCGCCTGTGACTCCATTTTGCCGTTGCTAATTATTTGAAATTGGCTATCAATATATATACTGTATATATAAGCTAATTGAAACAACAAAATACAGACATGCTGAAAACATTTGCATAAAAGATTAAAATGGTTTACTCCAGATTTTTTTTTTTTTGACAGTACTTTTTTAGTATGTCTGTATTATGATGAAGATGAAGATTACCAGTTACAGACAGTAGGAATGAGGACACAGCACAAGATAAATGAATAATAACCAAATAAAATGACCTAAATCATCCATATCTGTGCATGTCTGACCAAAGCGACTCTCATCCTGATGTCAATACTCTACATGTTAGAAAATAAATGTGCATAAATAACATTGTCACTGTCCTTAGACCCTCCTGCAACGGTAAGGAACGACAAAAAAAAAACAAAAAACATTGAAAAGTTACACGTACTGCCCACACATCATGATTAAAGAACTCCAACTTTTGTAAACGCTCATAAAACCGGTCACATAGCGTCTTTGTCTAATGAATATGTTTAGAGATTGTGTTGCTTATCTGAGGCCTGGGAACAGTTGAGTGAAGAAGAAGAAGAAAAAAAGAGACATCGACGTGTGTGTGTGTGTTGTGTCTGTGTGTGTGAGACAGAATAGACGGCTTTAGCGGACAGAAAGAGACACAGAGACAAGGCTGAAGAGGGACTTAGCGACGCCACAGAAGCTAAACTGTCATGAGAAGATGAGGGTCGCCATGCCAACGCCACAGCCACCCAGGAAGCATGCGAACCCAGGGCCGCCGGATCACATGCGCTAACCAGGGATTATGTGCATGAGTGATGAGGCGCTAAGCTAGCAGGTGAAGGAGGGGAGGCCGAGGGAGCAGACCAGAGAGAGATCGACGAGACGGGGGTCCGAGAGGAACAGAGCCGGCTGATCTCCCAGAGTGAAGGGGACTCGGCTAAAGGTCCTCCAGAGCTGAAAAGGGCGACCCCCGGGTGCCTTTCACTGCACAAGTGGCCAAAAACGCTGGTCTTGTGAGGCATCTTGAGCCGCAGAATGGGCCATCTTCACATTCATAAATCCTAACGCAAACACACTTGTGGATATGGAGAGATCCGATTGGGCCCGGCGCCACATGGCATCGGCCGCAGCAGCAGCAGCTACTCAAACAAACAACCCGGAGACAAAGAGGAGTTCATGTGTCACTTGTGAACCAATTAAGAAATCTCCAAGCTCCAAAAAATGAGGTTATGACAGATGACTGATGGAACTAGTGAATTAAAAACAATAGAATAATCAGTGTTGTTGGAAAGGTTTTGACTCTTTGGCTGTAAACTTGCTAATTTGATTGATCGACTAATTTCTCTTGTCCCGCAGTCACAAATGCATTCTCCTTGAACTATTGTACATTTGTTGATACTTGTAGGGGAAACTGGAGCACCTGGAGGAAACTTTCGCAGACACACGGAGAACAATTACTCAGAAAGACCTTGACGAAGAACTTTGAAAACCCAGAAGGAATCTTGAAGCTGCACCGGACGAGAGTGTATGTGACCGATGACATTGAAAATAGTATAAGATAGAATGGAGCACCTGGAGGGAACCTACGCAGCTACAGGGAGAAAGGCCCCGTCTTGTCCAAAGAATCAGACCAACAACTTTGAAGTATATGAGCACTAACCGCTGTGCCACCCCGCTAGGTTCAATTTGTTTATTTTTATTCATTTGTATATCTATTTGATAGGGACAAAACACATTAATGAACATCAGTATAAAAATAGAATATAAAAATGCCGGGTTATAGCTATAAAGCTAGTTTTCATCCGTAGTCCCTATGGGCAGAAAAATACATAGGAAATGACCATGTACAATACAATCAAATTCAACACAACACAATACAACACATGCAGCACAACGGTGTAACATCGTCAAAAAGTTAGACATTAAATGAAATATAAATCATCTAAGCAGAGCATTGGTCTTCAGGCGTGAAGGTTGTGGGTTCAATTCCCACCTCGACACCTTCTCCACCGACTCCCACTGATGACTGCTGTCGTTGTGTCCTTGGGCAAGACACTTAACCCCACTTTGCCCAAAGCCCCCACTGAAAGATCAAGGCTATGCTCACACTCAGAGAGCAGCCGTCCTCCTGTGGACTCACCACCTGCAGAGGGGCTGGTGCTATGAGACTTGGGTGGCATCTCTGACTGCCACCCCCCTGACCCAGAAATGGATTAAAGGGAAGAAGATGGATGGATGGATGAAGATACAGCAGGACTTAGTTCAGAAGCCAACATTTTGCTACCAACCAAATGGCCCTGGAATCATTCTTTCTAGTGGGGTTTATATTAGAGCTGCTGTTCTATTAGAGAGAAGGTAGACATTTATCGTGGATTCTTTGAGAAAGCCGTCTGGTGGAGATAGAGACTAACCTCTTAATATGCAGAACGGAGTTACTGGTTATTTCAAGTTAAACATTGCCGACACATGCCCTATAGACCAGGGGTTTCCAACCTGTAGCTTGAGAGCCACCAGCAGTTCGCCGCCCCCTTCCAGGTATCTCGCCAAAGGATTTAGGAATGAATGAAATCCCAAAATATACTTAATATTTCAGATTGTATCATTCAAGATCATTATTTATTATTGTAAATACTCTTACTTTGTCACTAGTAACAAATATGTGATGATAAATAATGATTGTACCCAATATCAGGCTCTCTGCCTTTATCGTCCCGGGAAAGTAGCTCTCTGGGTGAAAAAGGTTGGAGACACCTGCTATAGGCCTTCATCTCTCTCCTCTTTGCTCCCTGCCGACCCGGGTCTTAGTGAGGAAACTGAAAAGCTCTGGGATTGTGTCACAGGCAGAAGAAATGTTGTATTGATGCTAAACGATACGACCAAAGTGTTGCTGCGTGCACGTGATTTTACACCATGGGGGAATCGTAGACGCTCCAATCAGCAGCTGCCACGGTGCCAGTAGCTTCGGCCTTCAGATCACCGAAACGTCAAGTGGGAAATCTCCGGCATCACTCATTTTTAGCCACAGTTGCTTCAAAAGTGTTGTAAAATATCCAAAATAGCATTGGTCCACGATGGCAAGGACCATGGAGAGCACCGCCAACTTAAGTCACTATTTCATTAAACTTGGATTTTGTTTTGACTTTTACAGATTTTATTCTACTTGTCTTGGCCAAATCATGGAAATATATCATGCAAATGTACAATGTATGTATATTATGTGATGACGCTGATAAGTGCAACAGCATTTTCATTGAAGGAACAAGAAAAAATGAAATGAATTGAAAATGAAATGAAATGTGTTTTATACGTTCAGTTCCAGTTTTTTCTCAATAGAAAGGTGTATCTATACTAAATCTATACTAAAATTAATTCAAATGAAAATCTCTAATTTTAGCTTAATAAAGAAGCAAGAATTAAGTATAAAATCTCTGACTTTATTATACAAAATATAAATGAGCTTTGGTTTTGTTTTGACTTTTACAGATTAAATTATAGTTGTTTTTTTTTCCAATATAAAGGTTGAAAACATGACACAAAAAAACCCGAAACCCCAAATATCTCATCTTCCTCGCAGCTCTCCGCCTTGGCTTCAGTTTTCAGGTTTGTTTTGGCGTTTGGTCCGTAATATCCATGGCTTCACAAGAATGCGTTTGAACCTGGCCGGCACAAAGAACTCATTTCTGTGGTGAACCAGGAGCTGATGGAGTCCCCGCACAGATTAACATGTAAATACGGCCTGATACTGTGACAATGCGGCCGAATGCATATCATCTACATGCTAACGAGCCCTTTAAAGACTTTACCCCAATGAATGTGGCTGCGCTGCACTTTCAAGTCGGGCTTTAAAAATTAAACGTGAGGCCTCGTCTGTGTGTTTCTTTGAGTTTGATGAGGGATCAGGAGAGTTTTTGGCCTCTTCAGAGACACAGTTCAGTAAGGCTTAGCTTTTATTACCCCGGTGCTAAAGATCTAGAAGCATCCAGAGACATACGGCGGCTAGTTTTGTCTTTTGCTGTTAGAAAATAAGAAAATATTGGCTGGTATGAATGTCCTTTATTATTACTTTTCATATTACAGGTATAACCAGTGGGGGCAGGTCCCAGCTCAAAAGTGGCCAAAATGACGGCGCTGACATGCTGCAATACCACACCGAGCCAGAGGGGCTGGACCCGGAAAGGGAATTATTCAATGCAAATGTACGTATCTTCTGACCTCTCAAAAATGTCTTTACAGGATGGTCTTAAAGTTGGCTCTTGGCCCAAAGCTCCGTTCCACATGTGTGTCAATGCTGAGGGGAGAGAATTATTTTGGACCACTCTAGTTTACTCGCTGTGAATTTCTGAAGTCACTCGTTTAAATGAATGGGGCTCGTGCCGGCTGACGCATGCGCAGATGTGTTTTTTCGCATTTTCCAGACCCCGCGGCCATTTTGAATAACCTTAATATATGGGTATAACACACCATCGTAGCACAAGTTGCAAATATTCATTGGGTAGTTATTCCCATTTATTTATATATGAAGTTTGTCGATGGGAAAAGGTCCGTGGGCCACTTGGGAACGTGAATCGGGCCGTCTGTCGCTCCCGGGCCACTCTTTGTCACGTCTGCTCTAGAGAAACCTATCAGGATCAGCGGTGGACTATGGACTGTGGACAGTGTCACAATCATAAAGTGACAAGCATACAGGAAAAAAACACAATACAGAAAACAGTGAGAATTCAGTGTTGATTACAATACAATAAACAACGAAGCTACAGCTGGGAAAGTTAGGGAAGGGTAAGTGTGTGTGTGTGTGTGTGTGTGTGTGTGTTTGTGTGAGTGTCTGCGCTATAGTGGGAGATCTAAAGCTGAGAATGGATATTTCATAACACTTTTAAGCGACTGTGGTTAAAGTTGAACGCATCATTCTAACAGTGCGCAGGGTTCAGTGATTTTCCACTTGTTTTGGTGAGTTGAAGGCCATCGTGGCAGCTGCTGATTGGACGGTCTATGATTCTATGATTCTGTATAATATCTCATGCATTCTGTGAAACTTTGTTCATGTCTCGTCTCTAACATCGACAATAAAACATGTCTTCTCTCGATCACACGACCTCCGACCCCTGCGTCATTGTCTTCAGTGTTACAAACTAATGCTACACCAGTTTTGTAAGGCCACCTCAAATGTCTAAAATGTATTATTATTTGTATTGTTATTGAAGTTTGTGGAACCATGCACTATGCAACATCAGTGACTTCTTCTATGAGTGAATCTGAATAAATCCATCTTCCAAAAACGTACTCTGCTTATCTCTGCTGCTGTGCCCTGAAAGGATTAAGCTAATTTTTACTATTGCTAGCTTTTTAGAATGATACATTTTATTTCTTATTTTTGCTGCTACTGGACACCTGAATTTCTCCGACGGGGATCAATAAAGTATCAATTTATCTATCTATACAGTGATGCGTTGAGAATTTTATTCTTTGCGTCAAATCGAGAAAACACTTTTGAGAAATTTGATGTTTAAGTTTACTCCTGAATGTCGCCTGAATGATTCCAAAAATGCTGTGATTGTTTTGTTGTCCAGTGTTGTGTGCAGTGCGGTACGTAACACCTGTCTGCTGTGGAAACATTGGTACGACTGCCTCTGGAAAGTTTAGAGATTTTTTGTTTTTGTTTTGATTGTCTGTTTTTTTGTCTGTGTCTGTGTTGATCTAGACCATGAGTGTGTAAAATAGTCTAAAATAGTATCTATCAAGTTCAAATCAATTCAATTCCGTTAATTCTTGTATAGCCCTAAATCAGAACAGAAGGAATCTCTCGGAGGACTACAAAACAGAGCCATTGGTCTGTGGGTAATAATCCTCACAGAGACGCTCTGTACGCACTGGAGACACCTGGAAGTTTGTTCAGTTTCTTTCCGTTTTTTCAGGTTTTTTTCAGACAGAACAAAGTCAGGACAAGCTCTACATAGTCAACATTATGTCACACAAAGAACATAAGATACACAATCGTAGCAGATACACAATCGTGTCGTTTGTGTATCTTGCCCACGATCAGGGCGACAGTGGCTCAGTTGGTAGAGCATTGGCCTTTGAGCCTGAAGGTCGTGGGTTCGAGCCCACCACGAGACCTTCTCCACCGACTCCTACTGATGTGTGCTGTTGTTGTGTCCTTGGGCAAGACACTTAACCCACTTTCCCTATAAGGAGCGCGGAACCTTCTTCAGCTAATTCCCAAAGGTCCATTATGGGTAGATGTCCAGTGTCCATAAGTGTTGTGTGTCCTGGATCATCACCACTGTCCTTTGGTTAAATCTCTTCTTGCGACAGTGTTTGAAGGATTGTCTAATGTTCTGGCACTGATCCAAGACGTCCACAGTCTGTCAGAGACCACCCCCTCTGCTCCCGAGGACTGCCTAATGAATGTCTCTCTACATTTCTATATGAAGAGACATGCTTTGAAGCTCTAAGACAAGCCTCTGTAAATGTGCAGTCATTATTATTATTGTATTTCCCAGTGTGTGGAGCCGGCGACAGTGCGGCCGTGGACCCTGCGCCTAATCTGGATCCGCTCTTGATGGCCGTATAAACAGCCTGAATGGACTAAAGTCTTTCATCCCTCAAAGTTTAATCTTACACCCTTTTTTTTTTTTTTTTTTACATCTCCACTTAATTCAACCATATTTTTGATTGGTTGCGTTTCTACGACGACGGTGGTTTCTCCATCATGGCGCCCCCTCCATTGATACAGCCCCCCCCCCCCCCCCCCCCCCTGTCGCCTTGTGGTTTTTGTCCAAATAAAACAAAGCAGGTGGTGAAAGGACTCTGAGGTAGGTAAATGTATTCAGTGACATCAGCCGGACCAGTCCATTCTGCCGGATTCCTGTACCACTTGTTTCCAGCCTTGTCTGGGGGCCGGACACTCTGTTGGGCCCTTTGTGTCTGCTGTATTCCACACAGATCCACAATTAAAGGAGGCCTTGTCTATGGTTCCTGGAGCAGAAAGTGCGGCCCGGGAGAAGGGGGGGACAAAGGCCTGGGCCAGAGCTAGTCCTGGGGCTGGGAGCGAGCGCTGAGCTGAGGAGAGCCATGATCCTACTGTCTGAGTGGCCCCTGCCTCTGGTCCACACACGCCGCTGAAAGAGGCGCTGATGGAGAGGGCCACTTCACTGCCTACAGCCGGAGGACGCTCTGAGGCACACGTTCACAAAGGCTGCTCCTGCTGCGACCACACAGCTCTGGGCAAAAAACAGAACCAAGTCTGTGGACTCGGGAGATACCAGGACCTCGCCAAACCCTTTCAAGGTGCCTCAATCCATCAATCAATCAACCTGCAGAGCATCTTTCCTGCACAAGGGTACAAAAAGCATCAAGATCTACATGAAAATACACTTAAAATCCGGACACAAAAAACAAACATCTAATAATAATAATAATAATGCATCAGTTTTTTACAGCGCTTTTTTAGACTAGTCACAAAAGACGCTTCACATGTCATTATTCATTCACGATGGTGAAAAACTACTGATGTAGCCACAGCTGCCCTGGGGCACACTGACCGAAGCGAGGCAACCAGTATGTGCCATCGGCCCCTCCGACCTTGCCGAAGAACACAACAGCAGTTTGGCACTTTCCAGCCGCAGCCGCCCCACTGTGGCATCAGGTGTTCCCAGAGGCGAAGGGTCTTGCCAAGGACACAACGACAGCAGAGTCAATGGTGAAAGTCGGGCTCGAACCCACAACCTTCTGGCTCAAAGACCAAAGCTCTACCAACTGAGCTACTGTCGCCTCGATTACAATCTAGATTACAAGCAATTCTTTTATTTTATTTTTGTAATGAAGAGGTTTTTTGTTTTCCTTTCATATCCAAACGTACATTGATCATGGGCCTTCAAATGAAACAAAAACAAGCCCGTACATGATATTTTCATTAATGCAGGGATACTGTACGGTATAATGGTGTCTTATGCATGTGTGTTCTCCATGTTTTTCTTCACTTATTTTATAGACTACTTTTGCATTACAACTGCTCATTTCTGTTTTATAAAAGCAGCTCCAAATAGAAAAAAGGTTGGAGACCCCTGGTGTAGTTCCACATGATCTGCTGGCCCCACACTGGTCATAGTTTGGGGCCATACCTGCAGGTAAAAGCCAGATCCCGTCAAACCACTGAAGCTAAGAGGGGCTTCTGTCAGTGTGCCCCAGGGCAGCTGTGGCTACAGTAGTGGTTTATCACCACAGTGTATGGAGTGAAAGAAAAAGGACATGTCTTTGCTTTATTAATATTGGAATCTGACTCAAATAATGTCCCTCTCCTGTTCTTGTTTTCTTCAATGCTGTGGTTTCTCTGTGTCTGCCTGTTTTTAGACGATTGCTGCAGAAACCAAAATCCCAAAGTTGGACAATAAAGATAACTTAATATAAAATTTGACTTTGTTAATACCACATGATGTGCTGGCCCCAGACTGGATGGCCCTGACCAAACTGCGAAACAACATCCGGAGAAGCTTCCCTAAATCCTACCTACTGCTGTGATTTAGGGCAAATACAAAAATACATTGAAAGGAATTGATCTGTTGTGACCACTGCTGCTGACAAGTTGCATTGACATTGGGACGATGGGTCAAATGCAAACGACACATTTCTCTACAGCAGGGGTGTCAAACTCATTTTGGTTAAAGGCCAAATAAAAAATTAAAGGGCTGGTCAGGGGCCGAAAGAAGAAGTGGGTTTCATTTATTATACTTTTTAATTATGTGAAGGTATCTACAGTATATAAATGACTTCACATTAGATAGATTGGATATTCTTTTCTGATTATACTTAGTTCAGTTACTGTGGACTGAACCAAAACAGAACCAAAACTGGACCAAATTTTGAAGGGATGTATTCTACTGATTTGTGCTCGACAAATAAGACCAGAGAGTTTTGTTGAGTGGAGAGGGCGGTTCTTTCCTAACACAATTGGGGAAATCCTCCTTCATATCTTTAAGAAGAAATGTAATTGAAGACTCGTAAAAAAAACATAACAAAACTAACTTCAAATTACATGTTGGCTTGACATTTTTTATGGAATTAAATGTTATTTTATGCTATTTAATAAAAATTTACTTTTCATCTCAGGGGCCACTGGAAATGATCTCGCCTTAACTTTGACACCTGTTACATTACATTATAGTGAACCATTACTATCATTTATATGCATAATAAAGTTATTTGAATTTTGAAATGGTTTCTTGTTTTCATACACACACACACACACACACACACACACACACACACACACACACACACACACGCACGCACACACCAAGGCGTAAAACATACCAACATACACTGCAAAAAGTGGTGAAAAACAAACAAAAAATTATCTTAATTTGAGCACATTTTTACTGCCTTTTTATAATAAAAAAAAATAAATAATAATAAATCTTGTTCTGTCTCTGGCCAAGTCCTCAAACTGAAAGAACTTGCAGCTTCATGATCCTTTTGTCTGTCAAAGTCACAGCACAGACATCTATTTAAGAGTAAAATCCAGGTTTTCTACAACTTCTACATCTGCGAATATCTCCAGAGCTGCAGATAAAATGCTCCGGTCTTGTTTGTCTCTCTGTGGACTCGGACTCTCACGCTGCGGCGTTCCCACACTGATACTGATCTGAATTGTGCTATAAACCAAAGTCCACATGGTCCTCTCTCCATAAAGGCCCGATTGTGCCGAAAAACCACCACTGATGGGACATAATTTATTGGTGCGGGCCCCTCAGTCATCTGCTCTGCAACGAGATGGGCTCCCAACTCAAGTCTGAAGAACTGGAGCAGAGAGAGAGAGTGTGAGAATCTTACATCAGACATAAGATACTATATCAATATAAATCTAAAAACAATGTTAAAAAAGAGTAGGCACTTCTCAATACAGTCCTGCCGCATCACTCTGCTCTCTGCCCTTTCCCCACTGGTTGAAAAACACTGATTTATATGTAATGTTATTAAAGTTAGCATATACGGCTAGTTAAGACACATGGTAGTGACTTTTATTGTATTTTTGTCGAAAAAAGAGCTAAAACCGATGCATTATTATTATTATTATTATTGTATATTTTTTGTACTCCTTGTGTGCTCTTACTACTCCCCTGTATGTGCGCTGCAACCTTGAAATGTCCCCACCACAGGTTCTCTCTTACCTCTTATCTTAAATTTAGCTTCCCCAGCTTTACCTGCTCCTGTGTGTTTAGTAACGCGGGTGATACTTTGGTGATACTTTGGTAATACTTTGGTAATACTTTGGTGTTTCTTTCATGATATTGGTGATACTTTGGTGATACTTTGGTAATACTTTGGTAATACTTTGGTAATACTTTGGTAATACTTTGGTGTTTCTTTCATGATATTGGTGATACTTTGGTGATACTTTGGTAATACTTTGGTAATACTTTGGTAATACTTTGGTGTTTCTTTCATGATATTGGTGATACTTTGGTGATACTTTGGTAATACTTTGGTAATACTTTGGTGATACTTTGGTGACACTTTCGTGTTTCTTTGGTCATACTTTGGTGCACACTGCTCTGTTCTCAGGAGTGATGGATGCGCGCGTCCATGGTGAAGGCCCGTGCGCGCGCAGCCAATGGGAGCGTCGAGTCGCACGAGCCTTCGGCCTCGCGGACAGCACGCGCGCGCTCATTGGACAGAGCGAGAGCGCCGGACTCCACGAGCCGCTCGCGTGCGACCTACGTATATAAATAGCACGTGCTGAGCTGGAGGCAGCAGTTTGGCTCCGGGACAACGACACAGGACCATCACCCTCCAGTCACTTTTACTGTTCACTCACACCGGGGACATGCCAGCGGGAGCTCTGGAGCCCTCCACCCCGCCCTCAGCGGCACTAACCCCGGCTCTCACGGACCACAAGCCGCACGCTGTCTCCGAGAGTAGGAAGGTACAAAACTTCTGTCTTTCATCATTTACCTCTCGGATCTATGCAACTGGAGCCATGGCGGTAGTGTGAATGTTACTCTCGCTTCTCAGCTACAAGGTCCTGGGTTCGATTCCACCTCTAGACAGAGCCTTTCTGAGTGGAGTTTGCATGTTCTCCCCGTCTCTGCGTAGATTTCCTCCGGGTCCTCTGGTTTTCTCCCTCTCTCTGGGACCAGGACTCCCCTGATAAAGAGTTTCTGAGATCTCAGTGGGACTTTCCTCAGGTCGCAGTCTGAGCAGAGAGGCCCAGACTTCCCTCTCCACACTTCACTCATCAAACTCATCATCACTCATTATCATCATCGACATTTCTTGTTTTTATTTCCTCCTAAACGTCAGTGTTGTTCTTTGACTCATGTGGGACGTTTCTGATATGTTTATATAAACTTACTTCTGCAGAAAGCCAACAACTCAAGCTAAAGTTTGACCTCTTGTGTTTTTTGTCTGTATTTAGTTCCATGTAAACAGAGCAGTGTAGTAATATTGTAGTGTTCAATATCAGTGTGAACAGCTGTCATAAGAAAATAATCCTCTGTTTCATCAGTAAAAGTCTATTCACTACAAACCAATGTGTTTCGACTCATGATCTGCCTTTATCGGGACGTACAAAGTATAGGATTGTAAAGTTGGAGTCAAATATAACCAGTGTACAGGTTTTTTGTTTTTGTGTTCAAAATGTTGGCCTTTTTCTCCCAAAATGTCTTAAAAAGCGTAGTAAAAATGGAAGTACATAAGAAATATTTTCATTCTCTTTTGTACATAAGATACCTTGTATATACATCTTATGTTTCCTGCCTATCCTTGCCCTGAGTGATCTTATCGAAGCAAAATATAACATGTAAATTTCTCCACTGTAAGAACAATTTTAATCTTATCTTAGCATCAATCTGGTCTTGTGAAAACTCTGTAAAATTATATATTATTCTAAAATGTTTTCTGTGCAGTTGATTTGAATCTTGTACATCTACATTTTGAGCAGTAGACGTTCATAAAGCATTGTTTTTGCTAATTGTTAATGAATTTTTTATCCTTCCACAGTCGTCCAAACCAATCATGGAGAAAAGGAGGCGAGCCAGAATCAACGAGAGCCTGGGGCAGCTCAAGACCCTGATCCTGGAGGCCCTGAAGAAAGATGTAGGTTCTCAACTCAAATACAAATTAAAATTGTCTTGTGGCAATTATCTAAGGCTGGAAATGCTTCGAATACAACATTTTTTTTCTGTCTAAACTCAAATGGACTTAACCTTTTGTTCAGACTTCTCAAACATGTCCTGAAATGTGTTATTCTTGGATCACTTTCACATTTTTAATTCTTACATATTTTTTCTCCTCAAATTACAAATGAAAGATGTGAGAAACAGAAACAGTGAGCGGGAGAATCCAGAGTTATTTACCCTCTAATTCTAAATCTAAATTTAAGATAATTACAGAACAGTAGGAATGAGGAGCACACAGCACAAGATATATGAACAATAACTCTATACTAGAATAGAATAAAATCTCTAATTCTAGCATAAAAAGAAGCAGTATAAAATCTCTTAATTTAGCATAATAAGAGAAGAAGTCTTAAAACTTTAGAATGTTGAAGAAGCAAGAGCCCCTGACTTCAGGAGCAAGTATAAAGAACTGTATATTCTAGTGCAAATAATATATAGTTGTATTTTTACATCCGTACATGTAGCAGCATTAGCATTAGCATCGGTATAGTGACAGTAACACATTTGAACAATCCCTCTGTAGTAAACAAATACAGTTTATATACATACAATAAAATCTCTAACTTTAGCATAATCAAGAAGCAAGTAAATACTGTGGTGAGAAATATTACCTCCCTTACACTAGCAGAGCTGGGTCGTGACAAAAGTCGGAATAGAAATGTTGCAGTTTAAAGAGAATCCTTGGAGTTTGGTTAGAGAGAGAGAGAGAGAGAAAACCTGTATAAAAACATAACTCATAAATGTATGTGAAACTGAAGAATGTGTTTGTGCTCAGACTTCCAGACATTCCAAACTGGAGAAGGCCGACATCCTGGAGATGACCGTCAAACACCTGAGGAACCTGCAGCGGCTGCAGATCACAGGTTTGTCTGCTCATATTTAAGAGAACAAAGTGATGCATTCATAATAACCTTGTCCTATCCTCGGGTCACAATGAACCGCCACAGGGGTTTAAAGTAGAAGAATAACACCCTGAATTTTGTGAAATGAAGGAGGACCCTAAATGCGGGAAAAATAATGATTTCATGATGATACAGTCCAGAGACAAACAAACTTGAAAATACAAAAGGAATTTCTGAAACTCTTTGAACTGAGAGATGATTGATTGATTGATAGATCATCTGTTTCACTGACTTCATCTGTTTCACTGACATCATCTGTTTCACTGACATCATCTGTTTCACTGACATCATCTGTTTCACTGACATCATCTGTTTCACTGACTTCATCTGTTTCACTGACATCATCTGTTTCACTGACTTCATCTGTTTCACTGACTTCATCTGTTTCACTGACTTCATCTGTTTCACTGACTTCATCTGTTTCACTGACTTCATCTGTTTCACTGACTTCATCACATAAATCCGACAGATGACCCTCTGATGTATTGAACGATGCTGACCCTCTCTGTTCCTCTCTGACCCTCAGCTGCAGTCCACACGGAGCCGGGGCTTCTGGGTAAATACCGCGCTGGCTTCAGTGAGTGTGTGGGAGAGGTGACGCGCTTCCTGTCCTCGTGTGACGTCCACAGTGACGTCCGCAGCCGTCTCCTGAGTCACCTGTCCTTCTGTGTGTCCCACATGTACCCCCCGCTGCCGGGGCCCCTGGCCTGTAAGGGCCCCGAGCTGCTCAGCCTGTACTCTGCACAGGTGCAGCTGGTGCAGAGGCCCGAGGGTCATGTGACCTGTGTCCTGGTGCCCAGCGCCCCCCCGCCCACGTCCCAGAGCTCCCTGTCCCCCCTGTCCCCCCTGCGGCCCGCCCTCACAGCAGACTCTGTGTGGCGGCCCTGGTAGCACAGGACCACAGACTCTTCACTCCTGTACAAAAACTCTACTTATACTTTTATACTGATGGTCCGTGTACTGTTGATGGTCCATGTGCTGATGATGGTCTGTGAGCTGCTGATGGTCCATGTGCTGCTGATGGTCCGTGTGCTGCTGATGGTCCATGTGCTGCTGATGGTCCGTGTGCTGCTGATGGTCCATGTGCTGCTGATGGTCCGTGTGCTGCTGATGGTCCATGTGCTGCTGATGGTCCATGTGCTGCTGATGGCCCGTGTGCTGCTGATGGTCCGTGTGTTGTTGATGGTCCATGTCATGCTGATGGTCCATGTGATGCTGATGGTCCATGTGCTGCTGATGGTCCCTGTGCTGTTGATGGTCCATGAGCTGCTGATGGTCCATGTGCTGTTGATGGTCCGTGTGCTGCTGATGGTCCATGTGCTGCTGATGGTCCGTGTGCTGCTGATGGTCCATGTGCTGCTGATGGTCCATGTGCTGCTGATGGTCCGTGTGCTGCTGATGGTCCATGTGCTGCTGATGGTCCATGAGCTGCTTATGGTCCGTGTGCTGCTGATGGTTTCAGGACTGGATAAAGCACAGATGAACCTGTTTCTGAGCCGTAGAGCATTACTGTGTAAGCTCTTTGTGGTTTGGCTCCTGAAGCCGACAGACTTTTGTAAAACTCTTTTTGTGAGATTTGATCAAATGTTTTATTGTTACCTTTAGTTGAGGCACTGTTTTATTTTCTTGTTTTGTTTGTTTACAAAGATATAATCTTGAATCCTTTAAGACAGCCCAGTGTCTACTTCCTGTCCAGAGATTGTAAATAAAGTTTTCTGTTGTTTCAGCAACAATGAAAGTATTCATTTTACTTTTATTTCCAACAAGTGTCTGCACCATAAACACAACGACTGGAACGACTGAATAGTTCAATCGATCTATGAAACTTGATTATACTTGATTATTATATGAAACTACAGTGTCTGTGACAGGGAATAAAGGTCTCCAGTTACCAAACCTGCAGAAGGAGGACATATTCTGTGTCTGTTTTCTCCCTGGGGGGTCGTCCTTTGTCCCACGGACACAACCCTGATGTAGTGTCATTAAATGTCCTCTTTTATATCTATTTGGTTTATCCCGAATCCATAAAGCCTCTTCAATCTGGAGGAGACAAAAGAGGTTTATTAGAATTGTATTTATGGATTGGCAGGTGATCTGTGACAACATAAATTAGCACATTTATTAGCAGACATAAGCAAGAAATACGTATATTGCATTTTTAGACCCTGGCAGAGCACTGATGAATGCAGAAGGGAAATGAAAATAGGGCCAGGACCCTGGTGGTGGTGGCTAAGAGAAAGATTTAAGCCTAGCGTACATCGACATAGAAACTGGGGACAACTAGTTGCAAGGCAGCTTTTGGCAACTGAGAGGAGATGGTGGGAGATGATCAGTTGCCGAAATCGGTCGATGTGCGCGCTCTTACAACTGGAGATGATCAGTCGGTCTCCAGTTTCAGTCAGTTGCCCGTGTTCTACTTTTCAGCAACTAGTTGTCCTCAGTTTCGGAGATATGACCCGATGTGCGCGCTCCATGCGCCGCTCCGACAACGTGTGTGTATTGCGTGTATTGCGAGCCCGCAACAGTTTATGTCAGAAAACACACTGTAGTTGAGGCCAGTTGCTGTCGATGTACGCGTTGTTATTCCCGAGACTGGTCTGCTACTGGGAGTTGCCCGTTTTCGTCAGATTGTCGATGTGTGCGGGGCAGCAACTCAAAGGCGACGGATATAATCAGTTGCCAGTCCGATGTACGCTAAGCTTTAAAGAGCTTGTCCTGCTGACCGGGAGTTAGGGTTATAGGGAGGAGGAGGGTTGCTGCACGATATGAAAGCTCGATACTACTGACAGCTTTTTGCTACTCCCTGGATTGCCTACAATTTATTAGGCCCGAGCCCCGAACGGGGTAAGGGCCTATTGCTTTCACAATGGTGAAAACAAATGGTGGCGGTGCGTGACGGACGCGTCAGCGCCCGTCACTCACCAAAACGTGACGGTTGCGTGCGTAAACTCAAAAGCTTTAAAATGATGTATCAGGTGCCATTGAAACCTATATTGTTTTTGCTCGAGACGTCGAAAAAAAAATTCCTTTTTTATTTATTTATTTATTAGGCCCGAGCCCCGAACGGGGTAAGGGCCTATTGCTTTCACAATGGTGAAAACAAATGGTGGCGGTGCGTGACGGACGCGTCAGCGCCCGTCACTCACCAAAGCGTGACGGTTGCGTGCGTAAACTCAAAAGCTTTAAAATGATGTATCAGGTGCCATTGAAACCTATATTGTTTTTGCTCGAGACGTCGAAAAAAAAAAATTCCTTTTTTATTTATTAGGCCCGAGCCCCGAACGGGGTAAGGGCCTATTGCTTTCACAATGGTGAAAACAAATGGTGGCGGTGCGTGACGGACGCGTCAGCGCCCGTCACTCACCAAAATGTGACAGTTGCGTGCGTAAACTCAAAAGCTTTAAAATGATGTATCACATGCCATTGAAACCTATATTGTTTTTGCTCGAGACGTTAAAAAAAAAATTCCTTTTTTATTAGGCCCGAGCCCCGAACGGGGAAAGGGCCTATTGTTTTTGCTCGAGAGATGTCAAATTCTGCACTTTGAGCCTTAATTTGACCCCCTGAACATGCATGAAAAGTTGTTAAATTTTGCCCAAATATCAGACCTGGCGAAAAATTTGATATTTTGGTGTTTATTTTAATGGGACTCAAAAAATGCCGGAACAGCGCCACCTACAGCAGCCAAAATAATACCCCTATGGGACTTTTAGAGATCAAGTTTGTCGTAGAGCCATGAAATTCGGTACACATGTTCCTATAGTCAAGACAAGAAAAAAAATATTATTATGGCTCCACCCCCTGACAAACAGGAAGCCCAGAAATTTCACTGCAAAATGGCAAAATGAACAGCAAAAGTTTTCATACATGTTTGTTTGGAAAGCGACTCCTCCTCGGCCGTTTCACCGATTCGCCTCAAAATCGCTCCACATCATCTCAACACATGTACCTTCAAAATGACCTCAGGGATTTTTGATTAGTGAAACATTGTTTGAGCAGCGGAGCGGCAAAATGTGACCTTTTTTGGCTCTTTTTGACAACATTAATTTTGCTCCTGTTTGCACAAACAAAGTCTGATTTGCACAAAACTTTAATCCATTGTTCAATTCTAGGGTTTAGGTCAGGTTAAAGTGAAATATTGGAAATTGGCCCATTAGCGCCCCCTACAGACTGTATCAAAGTTTACATGGGGAGCCAAACCAGCTCTACTTATCATATTCATTACAATTTGACTAACATTCTTCTATGGCTACGGACACAAATCATCACACGGCGGGACCACCTCCTTTTAGCGGTGCTGCGTGGTACGGTGTGGTGCGGCGTAGTGCGGGGCGTTGTGAAGCGGCGCTTTGCGGCTTGGTGCGGGGCGGCGTGAGGCGGGACAGCGTGGTGCAGGGAGTCGCGCGGTGCGGCGAGGGCCGTTCGACGCCGCTTGCGGCTTTAATTTATTTCTTTCTTTCTTTTTTCTTCTGCACTTTGAGCCTTAATTTGACCCCCTGAACATGCATGAAAAGTTGTTAATTTTGGCCCAAAAATCAGACCTGGCGAAAAATTTGATATTTTGGTGTTTATTTTTATGGGACTCAAAAAATGACAGAACAGCGCCACCTACAACAGCCAAAATAATACCCCTATGGGACTTTTCGGAGGTCAAGTTTGTCGTAGAAACATGAGATTTGGTACACATGTTCCTTGAGTCAAGACATGAAAAAAATATTATTATGGCTCCGCCCTCTGACAAACAGGAAGCCCATAAATTTCACTGCAAAATGGAAAAATGAACAGCAAAAGTTTTCATACATGTCGGTTGGAAAGCGACTCCTCCTCGGCCGTTTCACCGATTCGCCTCAAATTCGCTCCACATCATCTCAACACATGTACCTTCAAAATGACCTCAGGGATTTTTGATCAGTGAAACATTGTTTGAGCAGCGGAGCGGCAAAATGTGACCTTTTTTTGGCCGTTTTTGACAACATTAAATTTGCTCCCGTTTGCACAAACAAAGTCTGATTTGCACAAAACTTTAATACATTGTTCAACTTTAGGGTCTAGGTCATTTGAAAGTTAAATGATTCACATTGACACATTAGCGCCCCCTACAGACTATTTCAAAGTTTTAGATGGGCATTTTCAAATTTAGTTTTTTCAAAATGTTTGAAATTTTGCACATAAATCTGTTTTGCACTCTTGATTCAAAAAGTCAATAGGGTCCAAGGCTTATTTTTTACCCTGTTGCCGTGGCGACGACAAACGCTCCAGATTCATTGCAAATGTACACCTCACACAAACATCAAACTAGCCTCGGCCGTTTCACCTATTCGCCTCAAAATCGCTCCACATCATCTCAACACATGTACCGTCAAAATGACCTCAGGGATTTATGATCAGTGAAACGTTGTTTGAGCAGCGGAGCGGCAAATAGTGGCGTATTTTTTTTCAGTTTTTGACAATAGAAAAATGGCTTCCGTTTGGACAAACAAAGTCTGATTTGCACAAAACTTAAATCCATGGTTCAACTCTTGGGTCTAGGTCATTTGAAAGTTAAAATTTTGAAATTGGCTCTATAGCGCCACCTACAACAGCCGATTTAAAAATGCCTATGGGAGGGGTTCGAGGTCAAAATTGTCATAGAACCATGTAATTTGGAACACATGTTCCTCAAGTCAAGACATTGAACTTGTTTTATTATGGCTAAGCCCTCTGACAAACAGAAAGCCCATAAATTTCACTGCAAAATGGAAAAATGAAAAATAATCATTTTCATACATGTCGGTTGGAAAGCGACTCCTCCTCGGCCGTTTCACCGATTGGCCTCAAAATTGTTCCAAATCATCTCAACACATTTACCTTCAAAATGACTTCAGGGAATTTTGATCAGTGAAACGTTGTTTGAGCAGCGAAGCGGCAAAATGTGAGGGTTTTTTTGGCCGTTTTTGACAACATTAATTTTTTCCCCGTTTGCACAAACAAAGTCTGATTTGCATTAAACTTGAATCCATTGTTCAACTCCAGGGTTTAGGTCAGGTGAAAGTGAAATATTTGAAATTGGCCCATTAGCGCCCCCTAAAGACTGAGCCAAAGTTTACATCGGGAGCCAAACCAGCTCTACTTATCATATTCATTCAAATTTGACTAACAATCTTCTATGACTACGGGAACAAATCATCACACGGCGGCGCCACCTCCTTTGAGCGGTGCTGCGTGGTACGGTGTGGTGCGGCGTAGTGCGGGGCGTTGTGGAGCGGCGCGTTGCGGCTTGGTACGGGACGGCGTGGTGCGGGACGGCGTGGTGCGGGACGGCGTGGTGCGGGACGGCGTGGTGCGGGACGGCGTGGTGCAGGGCGGCGTGGTGCGGGGAGTGCGCGCGGTGCAGGGAGTCGCGCGGTGCGGCGAGGGCCGTTCGACGCCGCTTGCGGCTTTAATTTCTTTCTTTCTTTCTTTCTTTCTTTTTTCTTCTGCACTTTGAGCCTTAATTTGACCCCCTGAACATGCATGAAAAGTTGTTAATTTTGGCCCAAAAATCAGACCTGGCGAAAAATTTGATATTTTGGTGTTTATTTTTATGGGACTCAAAAAATGACGGAACAGCGCCACCTACAACAGCCAAAATAATACCCCTATGGGAGTTTTGGAGATCAAGTTTGTCATAGAGTCATGAAATTTGGTACACATGTTTGTCAAGTCAAGACAAGAAAAAAATATTATTATGGCCCCGCCCTCTGACAAACAGGAAGCCCATAAATTTCACTGCAAAATGGAAAAATGAACAGCAAAAGTTTTCATACATGTCGGTTGGAAAGCGACTCCTCCTCAGCCGTTTCACCGATTCACCTCAAAATCGCTCCACATCATCTCAACACATGTACCTTCAAAATGACCTCAGGGATTTTTGATCAGTGAAACATTGTGCGAGCAGCGGAGCGGCAAAATGTGACCTTTTTTTGGCCGTTTTTGACAACATTAAATTTGCTCCCGTTTGCACAAACAAAGTCTGATTTTCACAAAACTTTAATACATTGTTCAACTCTAGGGTCTAGGTCATTTGAAAGTTAAATGATTCAAATTGACACATTAGCGCCCCCTACAGACTATTTCAAAGTTTTAAATGGGCATTTTCAAATTTAGTTTTTTCAAAATGTTTGAAATTTTGCACATACATCTGTTTTGCCCTTTTGATTCAAAAAGTCAATTGGGTCCAAGGCTTATTTTTTACCCTGTTGCCGTGGCGACGACAAACGCTCCCCATTCATTGCAAATGTACACCTCACACAAACATCAAACCAGCCTCGGCCGTTTCACCGATTCGCCTCAAAATCGCTCCACATCATCTCAACACATGTACCATCAAAATGACTTCAGGGAATTTTGATCAGTCAAACGTTGTTTGAGCAGCAGAGCGCCAAAAGTGGCGTATTTTTTTTCAGTTTTTGACAATAGAAAAATTGTTTCCGTTTGCACAAACAAAGTGTGATTGGCACAAAACTTGAATCCATGGTTCAACTCTTGGGTCTAGGTCAATTGAAAGTTCAAATTTTGAAATTGGCTCTATAGCGCCACCTACAACAGCCAATTTAAAAATGCCTATGGGAGGGGTTCAAGGTCAAAATTGCCGTAGAACCATGTAATTTGGTACACATGTTCCTCAAGTCAAGACATGGAAAAAATGTTATTATGGCTAATCCCTCTGACAAACAGGAAGATCATAAATTTCACTGCAAAATGGAAAAATGAACAGCAAAAGTTTTCATACATGTCTCTTGGAAAGCGACTCCTCCTCGACCGTTTCACCGATTCGCCTCAAAATCGCTCCACATCATCTCAACACATGTACCTTCAAAATGACCTCAGGGATTTTTGATCAGTGAAACATTGTTTGAGCAGCGGAGCGGAAAAATGTGACCTTTTTTTTGCCGTTTTTGACAACATTAAATTTGCTCCCGTTTGCACAAACAAAGTCTGATTTGCACAAAACTTGAATCCATTGTTCAACTCCAGGGTTTAGGTCAGGTGAAAGTGAAATATTTTAAATTGGCCCATTAGCGCCCCCTAAAGACTGTGTCAAAGTTTACATGGGGAGCCAAACCAGCTCTAGTTATCATATTCATTACGATTTGACTAACAATCTTCTATGGCTATGGGAACAAATCATCACACGGCGGTGCCACCTCCTTTTAGCGGTGCTGCGTGGTACGGTGTGGTGCGGCGTAGTGCGGGGCGTTGTGGAGCGGCGCGTTGCGGCTTGGTGCGGGGCGGCGTGGTGCAGGGCGGCGTGGTGCAGGGCGGCGTGGTGCAGGGCGGCGTGGTGCAGGGCGGCGTGGTGCAGGGCGGCGTGGTGCAGGGCGGCGTGGTGCAGGGCGGCGTAGTGCGGTGCGCGCGCGGTGCGGCGAGGGCCGTTCGACGCCGCTTGCGGCTTTAATTAGGCCCGAGCCCCGAACGGGGTAAGGGCCTATTGCTTTCACAATGGTGAAAACAAATGGTGGCGGTGCGTGACGGACGCGTCAGCGCCCGTCACTCACCAAAACGTGATAGTTGCGTGCGCAAACTCAAAAGCTTTAAAATGATGTATCACGTGCCATTGAAACCTATATTGTTTTTGCTCGAGACGTCGAAAAAAAAAATTCCTTTTTTATTTATTAGGCCCGAGCCCCGAACGGGGTAAGGGCCTATTGCTTTCACAATGGTGAAAACAAATGGTGGCGGTGCGTGACGGACGCGTCAGCGCCCGTCACTCACCAAAACGTGACGGTTGCGTGCGTAAACTCAAAAGCTTTAAAATGATGTATCAGGTGCCATTGAAACCTATATTGTTTTTGCTCGAGACGTTAACAAAAAAATTCCTTTTTTATTTATTAGGCCCGAGCCCCGAACGGGGTAAGGGCCTATTGCTTTCACAATGGTGAAAACAAATGGTGGCGGTGCGTGACGGACGCGTCAGCGCCCGTCACTCACCAAAACGTGACGGTTGCGTGCGTAAACTCAAAAGCTTTAAAATGATGTATCAGGTGCCATTGAAACCTATATTGTTTTTGCTCGAGACAAGTCACAAAAAATTCCTTTTTTATTTATTAGGCCCGAGCCCCGAACGGGGTAAGGGCCTATTGCTTTCACAATGGTGAAAACAAATGGTGGCGGTGCGTGACGGACGCGTCAGCGCCCGTCACTCACCAAAACGTGACAGTTGCGTGCGTAAACTCAAACGCTTTAAAATGATGTATCACATGCCATTGAAACCTATATTGTTTTTGCTCGAGACAAGTCACAAAAAAAAATCCTTTCCCTTGCCCTCTGCCTTTATTTATTTCCCTCCGCTGCCTCTCTCTCTCCGCTGCCCTCTCTCCCTCCGCTGCCCTCTCTCCCTCCGCTGCCCTCTCTCCCTCCGCTGCCCTCTCTCCCTCCGCTGCCCTCTCTCCCTCTCTTCGCACCATCAGCCTGACCTCACATGTGACTTTTCTCTCCCTCCGGGTTTTTCTGTTGTGGATATTAACCACGTTTCATTTTAAAGCAGGTATTATTTGTTTGAAGCCTCCAAACACCTTTAGTTTTAGCAAACAACAGCTGGACACGCTTTGTTGCTGCGTAACTTGATTTTGAAATTACAAACGTAATTTAAATATTTTATATTCTCCTAACACAATTTAACAAGTAGTCCTTTTGAATCAAATCAAATGCTAAATCAATATTTAAGGGCTATTAATTAGCTAAAAATTTTTTTTTTTTGGAAATCATCTTGCGACCCCCCCCAGGGGTTCCCGCGACCCCCCGGGGGGTAGGGACCCCCACTTTGGGAACCACTGTTTTATTGAACTTCACAAAAGAATACAACACCAGCGTGCGAACATGTCGGCACTGAATGTGCGTAAGACTGCTCCTGAGCACTCGTAGGATTTGTACTTACCCGAGAGAAATTCTGGTTACGAGAAATATTCGTGAATGCCACATTCTTCGTAAAATCCTCGCAAGTAGGATTTACGCACAAATTTGTTACATTAGTCCAGTTCTCAGGTCTCTGCACTGGCTCCTGTGGTTCATGTAGACTTCAAAGCAGCTCTGTTTGTTACAAGTCTCTCCATGGCCTCGCACCAAAGTACATCTGAGACAAGCAGTCAGTACCTGTGTGTCCTTGTGCGTGTGTGGTTGTGTGTTCAGTACCTGTGTGTCCTTGTGCGTGTGTGGTTGTGTGTTCAGTACCTGTGTGTCCTTGTGCGTGTGTGGTTGTGTGTTCAGTACCTGTGTGTCCTTGTGCGTGTGTGGTTGTGTGTTCAGTACCTGTGTGTCCTTGTGTGGTGCTGCGGTCTGGGTGTGGTGCCAGCTGATGGTCGCCGGGTGGAAGTCTTTAGGGGGGAGAGCGTCGGCAACGATCACCTTCTCCTGAGCACGGATCATTCCACAGTCTCGAGCCACAGAGACCGCTGTGAGCATGTTGTCTCCTGAGAGACACACCCTCATCATCATCATCATCATCATCATCATCAATTCACACTGCCAGGGTCACAGTCTTGTCATAGATTGTAAGCATAACGCATCAGAATCATAGAAAATCATAGAAAACGCTTTACTGCAGATGTTTTAACTTACTGAGCTAGAGGCCTTTAATTTTCCATATGAGTCAATAGAAGTCAGAGCGAGTTGGAGCAGAACTTCACCATGAGCACTTCCCTATTGACAAATGAATCCCTGCATGTCAAGGTTTATCCAAGAGGTTTCCAAACTGGTCCAGAAAAGGCCGCTGTGGCAGCAGGTTTTCTATCAGACCCAGCCATGAATCTATACTAACTGGATAGAGTATTACTAGCTTACAGCTGTCCCACCCATGGACACAGGGGGCGCCCGTGGTACTGCAGACTAAATTTATGTGGGCTACCCAGAAAAAAGTCCCATAGAACTCAATGTAAATTAAAACAGCTCGACCTCAGCTGACAGAGAACCTGACAGAGAACCTACAGCTTTCATAAAGATCGGATTTTGTGGGGATTTTAGTGTCCCTTGTCATCCTGAACTTTTTTTCTTCTTAAATCCTTCGGTTTTCTTTAAATCCACACTTTACTGCCACAAACTCTGCTCCTTTCCTTGCCGCTCTAACTCCGCTCTGCTGCTGTTCTGATGAGCAGCTCTGATTGGACAGAGCGTGGCCGAGCCCCTCTGTGCACGTGCATGAGAGCTACACACGCGCGTTTGGCGCAATGCATCATGGGAGCTCGTCCACTGGGCAGAACCGGGAGGACCAGACGATGCCCAAATATAGGCGAGTTCAGCTAATCTCCCGGTCTCCATGAAGTCCCATGCACTACTGAGCACAAGCCATTCATTTGAATAGGGCGCCATCTTGGATCACCGGGGCTTGGACCCAGCAGGAGCACAGCAGACTCTTCAGATTAAGACTGAGCTCACTTGAGGAAATGAGTGGAGTCTGCTGTGCTCCTGCTGAGTCTGATAGAAGACCTGCAGTCACAGCGGCACTGTCTGGACCGGATTGGACACCCCATCCCTAAATATACGACAGAAGCCTGGTTTGTGCTCATCGTAAAGAAGTAAGTAAGCTTTATTTATACAGCGCCTTTCACAGACCCAGGCCACAAAGCGCTTCACAGTAAAAACAGAGTAGTTTAGGAGCCGAGCGTTCACCTGTGACCATGAGAGTGCGGATGTGCGCCTCCTGCAGCTCCCTCAGCACCACAGACGTCTCTCCTTTGATCTTGTTCTGCATCACGATCAGACCCAGGAACTCCATGTTGTTTTCGATCACGTCTCTGAGGCACAACACACACGGGTTTGGGTACATGCTGGACTATAAGCCACAAACTTGTTACATTACTTTATCTAGTACTGATCATTGGCCACGTCCACTACTACTGTCCAGATAAGATAATCCTTTATTCATCCCGCAGTGGGGAAATTCCAATGTTGCAATGCACTTACAGGACACAGGTTCAATATACTGTACTGTGTGTGAAAGCGATGGTACCTGCTGAGAGCCTGGACCTTGTGCCAGGACAGCCGGGCCTCCAGCTGCCTGTGGGCCAGAGCGATGACCCTGAAGCCCTCCTGGGTGTAGCCCTCCAGAGTCTCTGCAAAGCTGTGCGGGACTGAGACATAAATGGCAAAAACAGATTTAAAATGTAAGATCTTTTATTCGTCCCACGGTGGGGAAATTGTGTTGTATCACCAATTACATAACAGTAGGAATGAGGAGCACACAGCATAAGAGAAGTGATCAATAACTCTAAACTAAATCAAATTAAATAACCAGTAATCGCCTCCCGCCTGCACTGTGGACTCTGGAGAAGTGAGACCCAAGTGTGAGCCAAGGTGAAGGCCCCCCTGTCTCTGTTGATTGTCTGTGTGGCCTTGATTTCAACCACCTACTCAATTATTTTATCTTTTTTATGCATGTTCTGACTATTTCTTCCATGTCCCAGTCATACAACTAAAATAATGGTGAAAGTCTCCCGCTGACATCTCACCTAATCAAGCAGGACTCACTTCTTCCCACTTTTTTTTATCCGAAGAACCTTCAAATCCTCAAAAGGTTATATCTTGTAAACTGTAGGCATTATTCAAAACCTTTTAAATGACACAACTAAAAGAGAAGAACAGAGAAGGATGCAGCCTGTCCGTTCCATACGCACCTGTGTGAGGTTTGCACAGACCGACCACCACCTCTGGCGCCCCCTTGAGGAAGGCGTTCATATGCTTGTCCCCCAGCTTGCGCACCACCGCGGTCATGCGCTGCAGCGAGGAGGAGAAGGGGAACTGCCGCACGATGCCGATCTCGCACTGAAACAGAGACGCAGGTGCAGACTCAGAGACGAGTGTGATCTGCCGCTTTCTGTGGAGATTCTCGTAAAGAGGGGGAGGGACCTACCGGCTCCATGACGACGTGGGGGGACGGGCGCACCACGGTCGGCATGATGGGGTTGTGGAGAGCGGTCTCTTCTTGGGTAGGCTCCTCCAAGATCTGAAGTGGAAAAGATAAAAACATGAAATAACAAAAAGACATTTACTCATGTTAATTTGTATGTGTTTTGTAAAGTAAGTTTGATTGACACTTGTGGTTCTCTGGTCTGGCCTCTCTCTCTGGTCTGGCCTCTCTCTCTAGTCTGGCCTCTCTCTCTCTGGTCTGGCCTCTCTCTCTAGTCTGGCCTCTCTCTAGTCTGGCCTCTCTCTCTCTGGTCTGGCCTCTCTCTCTAGTCTGGCCTCTCTCTAGTCTGGCCTCTCTCTCTCTGGTCTGGCCTCTCTCTCTAGTCTGGCCTCTCTCTAGTCTGGCCTCTCTCTCTCTGGTCTGGCCTCTCTCTCTGGTCTGGCCTCTCTCTCTAGTCTGGCCTCTCTCTAGTCTGGCCTCTCTCTAGTCTGGCCTCTCTCTCTCTGGTCTGGCCTCTCTCTCTCTGGTCTGGCCTCTCTCTCTCTGGTCTGGCCTCTCTCTCTAGTCTGGCCTCTCTCTCTAGTCTGGCCTCTCTCTCTAGTCTGGCCTCTCTCTCTAGTCTGGCCTCTCTCTCTAGTCTGGCCTCTCTCTAGTCTGGCCTCTCTCTCTAGTCTGGCCTCTCTCTAGTCTGGCCTCTCTCTCTAGTCTGGCCTCTCTCTCTAGTCTGGCCTCTCTCTCTAGTCTGGCCTCTCTCTCTCTGGTCTGGCCTCTCTCTGGTCTGGCCTCTCTCTGGTCTGGCCTCTCTCTGGTCTGGCCTCTCTCTGGTCTGGCCTCTCTCTAGTCTGGCCTCTCTCTGGTCTGGCCTCTCTCTAGTCTGGCCTCTCTCTCTAGTCTGGCCTCTCTCTCTAGTCTGGCCTCTCTCTCTAGTCTGGCCTCTCTCTCTAGTCTGGCCTCTCTCTCTAGTCTGGCCTCTCTCTCTAGTCTGGCCTCTCTCTCTAGTCTGGCCTCTCTCTCTAGTCTGGCCTCTCTCTCTAGTCTGGCCTCTCTCTCTAGTCTGGCCTCTCTCTCTAGTCTGGCCTCTCTCTCTAGTCTGGCCTCTCTCTCTAGTCTGGCCTCTCTCTCTAGTCTGGCCTCTCTCTCTAGTCTGGCCTCTCTCTCTAGTCTGGCCTCTCTCTCTAGTCTGGCCTCTCTCTCTAGTCTGGCCTCTCTCTAGTCTGGCCTCTCTCTCTAGTCTGGCCTCTCTCTCTAGTCTGGCCTCTCTCTCTAGTCTGGCCTCTCTCTCTCTGTTGGCCTCTCTAGTCTGGCCTCTCTCTCTAGTCTGGCCTCTCTCTCTAGTCTGGCCTCTCTCTCTAGTCTGGCCTCTCTCTCTAGTCTGGCCTCTCTCTCTAGTCTGGCCTCTCTCTCTAGTCTGGCCTCTCTCTCTAGTCTGGCCTCTCTCTCTAGTCTGGCCTCTCTCTCTAGTCTGGCCTCTCTCTAGTCTGGCCTCTCTCTAGTCTGGCCTCTCTCTCTAGTCTGGCCTCTCTCTCTGGTCTGGCCTCTCTCTCTAGTCTGGCCTCTCTCTCTAGTCTGGCCTCTCTCTCTAGTCTGGCCTCTCTCTCTAGTCTGGCCTCTCTCTCTAGTCTGGCCTCTCTCTCTAGTCTGGCCTCTCTCTAGTCTGGCCTCTCTCTAGTCTGGCCTCTCTCTCTAGTCTGGCCTCTCTCTAGTCTGGCCTCTCTCTCTAGTCTGGCCTCTCTCTCTAGTCTGGCCTCTCTCTCTAGTCTGGCCTCTCTCTCTGGTCTGGCCTCTCTCTAGTCTGGCCTCTCTCTCTAGTCTGGCCTCTCTCTCTAGTCTGGCCTCTCTCTCTAGTCTGGCCTCTCTCTCTAGTCTGGCCTCTCTCTAGTCTGGCCTCTCTCTAGTCTGGCCTCTCTCTAGTCTGGCCTCTCTCTAGTCTGGCCTCTCTCTCTAGTCTGGCCTCTCTCTAGTCTGGCCTCTCTCTAGTCTGGCCTCTCTCTAGTCTGGCCTCTCTCTAGTCTGGCCTCTCTCTAGTCTGGCCTCTCTCTCTAGTCTGGCCTCTCTCTAGTCTGGCCTCTCTCTCTAGTCTGGCCTCTCTCTAGTCTGGCCTCTCTCTCTGGTCTGGCCTCTCTCTAGTCTGGCCTCTCTCTCTGGTCTGGCCTCTCTCTCTGGTCTGGCCTCTCTCTCTAGTCTGGCCTCTCTCTCTAGTCTGGCCTCTCTCTCTAGTCTGGCCTCTCTCTCTAGTCTGGCCTCTCTCTCTAGTCTGGCCTCTCTCTAGTCTGGCCTCTCTCTAGTCTGGCCTCTCTCTCTAGTCTGGCCTCTCTCTCTAGTCTGGCCTCTCTCTCTAGTCTGGCCTCTCTCTCTAGTCTGGCCTCTCTCTAGTCTGGCCTCTCTCTAGTCTGGCCTCTCTCTCTAGTCTGGCCTCTCTCTCTAGTCTGGCCTCTCTCTGGTCTAGATTTCCTCTTGGACGAAGCAAAGAAGCGAGTGCTGCTTACTTACTTGACATTATTATGTATCATTAATAGCCACAGAGGGCCCAGTGTGAGTCTCACCCAGCCCGTGGCACCGAACATCTTGAGGTCCAGAGGGTCCCCGGAGAGCTGGCCCTCGATGGTGGTCAGGGAGTGACAGGACGCCATGCAGGCCACAAACACAGACGAGCACAGGGCCTCCTTATTCACCGAGGACTCAGGGGAGAGAAAACTGCCACGGGGAAAAACAGTGCTCAAACAAGTCCAAAATAAACACTTCTAATGCGAGAAACGTTCTTAAAAAACGGCAAGTCACCTCCCGTTCTCCACACGCTGCACTCCCCACAGGTCCAGGCCGTCCTCCGTGAGAGTCCCAGTCTGAAACATACACACTTTATTATATCAAATTAAAACTACTTATCTGTGAATGAGCAGAAATAAGAGCTGGATTGGTCTGAAAGTTATTGTAATTATTATATATTAAGGAATCTTGTTGCCGGTTTTTATGCATTTTGATCGCTTTTAAAATGTCTCTTGTGAAGCACTTGTAATTGCCTTGTACACGAATTGTGCTATACAAAAAAATGATTGATAATCACAGGTGCAGACGAGTTCCTTCTTCATTTTATTCATGTTTGAAGGCTGTAAAAGTCAGTATTTTGTTCCACTGCCGTCACTGTAAATCTCTCAATGATGCCAGACACAGAGAGAGACATAGAGAGAGAGAGATTTATATTTTTAACATTCATTTGGGGAAATTCAGGTGTCCAGTAGCAAACAAATTATACCACAAACTTGCACATCAATGGATATAAATGAAAAGTGTTAAGAAAAGAGCAACGGCTTGAATCCACTTGTTGCATAAAACCTGGATATATACGTCAAAACATCTCCTAACTTCTCCATCTCTGCTGGCATCACGGAAGCAGTCTATTTTGGCAATAAACAAGTGTCCTATCACGACTAAAACTTGGAGTCAAAGTCCATAAACTCTGACAACACAAAGAACACTGTAATAACTAGCCACTTATTATCCGGACGTGACAGTAGATGTTTGGTCAGACCTTGTCGAAGCAGACCACGTTGAGCTGTCCGCACATGTTGATCCTCTGGGGGCTGATGCAGAAGATGCCCACCCTCTTAAGGCGGCGCTGGGCGTAGACGATGCCCGCCGTCATGGCCGCCGGCAGAGCAGGAGGCACAGTGATGGTGATGATGTCCAGGGACTTGATCACAATTAGTTTAGCTGGAACCTGCGACCGGAGAGAAGTCTGTTTTCATGTGCAAAGAAGACACCATGTACCTCAACATTCATAAAATGTGTTATATATTTTGATGATCCAGAACGTTTATGGACATTAGTCATCTGTCCCTAATGGACCAATGGAGCTTGGTCTTGACCATTAGTCTTGATCAGTGCATTCCTTGTGTTTGATTCTCCGATCTTTTGTGGGGAAATCGACAACTTTGGAAAGTCCTCTTAGATAACCGCTGTCGTGCTTTAGGTTAATAAAAAAATAAATTATATTGTATATTTTGAGCATTTAAATCTCAATATTGATCGAGTTCCATTTTGTCTTTGTCAGTGTGCCCCAGGGCAGCTGTGGCTACAGTAGCTGTTTCTCACCAACATGTGCAAAGTGAAAGATAAATGGCATGCACAAAGTCTGAGTGTCCAAAAAACGACTATTATCATTATCTTATAGATTTCTCTCTTGTTTTTTGAGCAGTTTTGAATTGCCCTGTGTAGGAATTGTACTATACCAATAAATTTGTCCTGGCGGAAACAGACTATTCTATCACATAATATTTGAGACCGAGAGAGACAGAGAGACAGAGAGAGACGGAGACGGAGAGACTGAGAAACAGAGACAGAAGAGACAGAGAGACCAAGAGAGACAGAGAGACCGAGAGAGACAGAGAGACCGAGAGAGACAGAGAGACAGAGAGACCGAGAGAGACAGAGAGACCGAGAGAGACCGAGAGAGACAGAGAGACCGAGAGAGACAGAGAGACCGAGAGACCGAGAGAGACAGAGAGAGACAGAGAGACCGAGAGAGACAGAGAGACCGAGAGAGACAGAGAGACCGAGACAGAGAGAGACAGAGACAGAGAGACCGAGAGAGACAGAGAGACCGAGAGAGACAGAGAGACCGAGAGAGACAGAGAGGCCGAGAGGCCGAGAGACAGATAAAGAGACACAAAGAGACATAGATATTATCTTTTCTGTACTTTTCTTTAATAGTATTAATTTATGTCTCCTAAATGCCCAAATAAACACTTGAACCGAGTCATTTTGAATAATATCAAAGTAAGATTGAGTGGTACATTGTTGATGATGCTGAGGGTCACGGTGTAGACGAAGCCGATGGCTGCCACTGCCACCAGACACAGCAGGAAGAGGTAGGCGTCTCTGTACAGTCTGAAGTCTGTGGGTTTGGGGTAGAGGATGGAGCGGACCAGCTGCCCCTTCTCCGTACAGAAACCTGAAAGACACAATGTGAAGAACCATGTGTGTAAACCGTAAATGTGTGCAAACAGCTGGGAAAATTCTTCTCAGGATTCTTCTCTGACAACGTTCAAATCCAGGTTAAAACCAGTTCAGGTCTAGCTGTGTCTTCAGGTCTTACTCAGTTCTTATGTACTGTGAGTATTTATGCTGTGTGTTTGGGTTACGAGACCAGAGAGAGACCAGAGAGAGACCAAAGAGAGAGACCAGCGAGATTAGAGAGACCAGAGAGAAACCAGAGAGATCAGAGAGAGACTAGAGAGACACCAGAGAGAGACCAGAGACCAGAGAGAAAGACCAGCAGGATTAGAGACCAGAGAGATCAGAGCAAGAAAGATCAGAGAGAAAGAGAGAGCAGATAGAGAGCAGAAAGAGACCAGAGAGATAGAGACCAGCCAGAATAAAGAGACCAGAGCGAGATCAGAGCGACCAGAGAGAGACCAGAGCGAGATCAGAGAGAGAGACCACAGAGAGAGAGACCATAGAGAGAGCAGGACAGGGCTATGAAAAGACTGCGTTATATGGACGGATGATGGAAACTTTCTGCATGTTTTTCTCTTTGTCTGAGTGTTTTTTCCCAGGGTGCAGCAGTGAGGGGCTCTGACCTGTGCGGACCACCACGGCCTTCACCATCTCCCCGCTGTAGAATCGAGTCTGGATGACTCGTGTGCCGCAGAACAGGGTGTGGCGCTTGTGCTGGTCCAGGCTGAAGCTCTCTGCCCCCTCGGCTCCTGCACTGGGAACACTGGTCTTTGTCACCGGGACACTCTCTCCTGAGGGACACACACACAGACAGATAAATACGCACATACACACACACACACACACACAAAGAGTGAGCTCAGAAAATACCCAAATTCACTAATCAATTCTAACTGGATAAAAAGGTTTCTGATCAATACATCTGTTCTGTTCCCCTTAAAAGCCACACCACATCACAGAGAGAGAGAGAGACCAGAGAGAGAGAGAGAGAGAGAGAACAGAGAGAGAGAGAGAGACCAGAGAGAGAGAGAGAGAGAACAGAGAGAGAGAGACCAGAGAGAGAGAGAGACCAGAGAGAGAGAGAGACCAGAGAGAGAGAGAGACCAGAGAGAGAGAGAGAGAGAGAGAACAGAGAGAGAGAGAACAGAGAGAGAGAGAGAGAACAGAGAGAGAGAGACCAGAGAGAGAGAGACCAAAGAGGCGGCACGGTGGCTGAGTGGATAGCACTCTCGCCTCTCAGCAAGAAGGTCCTGGGTTCGAATCCCGGCCGGACCAGGGCCTTTCTGAGTGGAGTTTGCATGTTCTCCCCGTGTCTGCGTAGGTTTCCTCCGGGTACTCCGGTTTCCCCTACCACTAAAAATATGTATAATAGGACTGTGCATGCGCCTCCTGTTCGGCGACCCCGCTCCCATCTCTGTGTGGAGTGAGAGGACAAGTGCCCAAAAATAACAATTGTAACGTTACGGCCGCTGGCGCTGGGCCGCGTCGTACACCCGCTTCCCTCACTCCTGTGTTGTGCTGCTGTTCTGCTCAGGCTCCGCCCCGCTGCATGGTGCACCGGCTACGCACGCTGCCTCCCAGTTCTGCCTTCCGTTCGGAGATTGGGTCGCGCTTTCCACGTCTGGCCAATCCATCGCTGCGGCTAATCAGCACCAGCCTTGAAAACGAGTCTGCTCCTTCTGTGCGGGGCGGCTTGAATCAGTGTCTTGTCTGCCACCGTTCTGAGAGAACGTGTTGTCTGTGTGCGCTAAAGATTAAGCTTAAGGTTGCCTGTGTGGCTCTGTGCTTGTGTTTATTTGAGAACCCTGTGTTTTTGTGTGTTTTATTTGACTCTGACGCTGTCCAGTACAAACTGTTACCCCTTTTGCCTGTTTTATTAAAAGGCCATCTAATTTACCATTATTACATCCTTGGTTTTATGTTACTTCCCACTTCCCCTACGAGCTCAACTGTAGGGTCGTAACATATTTGGGGGCTCGTCCAGGATCTACACGTTCCCGGCATTAGGTGGCCGAATCAAATTTATTAGGTAAGTGGGGGGGTAAGCTGTATTGTATTTGGACATTGGGAGAATGGCAACCGCTTTCAATTTACAGGCATTCTTGCTTCATCCCTCGGCCGAAGCACTTGAGCGCTGTAAAAAGAAGGATCTATTTGAGGTTGCCGATCATTTTGAGATTTTGTATTCCCGTCAGAGCAGCAAGGCCGAACTCAAGGTGCTGCTCCTGGATGGTTTGGTGGAGAGGGGCTTGCGTTTGATCCCAGAGGCTGAGAGGTCTGATGAGAGCATCGTGCATGCGACTACCCCGAGACGTACGGAGACGCCTGCGGATGGCCCTCCCGGAGCGGAGCGTGAGTTTGTAGAGGGCGATGCGCGGCCTGAACCACCGCGCACTCCTCCTCGCTACGGGCCGCCCTCCCCAGCTCCTTCCTCTCCCGGCTCAGTTGGTGGTGCTCCGGCGCGCTTTGCGGCTGGCACGCATCAAGAGTGAGGCCGAGCAGAAGGATCGGGACCGCAGTGCCGAGCTCGAACTGCATATACGGAGGCTTGAGATCGAGGCTGACAAAGCTGTGCGCCTCAGACGCCTTGAGCTGGAGGCCGAAGGCCGCCTCCCCAGTCCTACTCAACGCCCGGGCGTCGCTGCCCCTGCCACAGCCCTCTCCCCAGCTGTTCATGACTCTCTTGACGTGAGTAAAATGATACAAATTGTGCCTACATTTAGGGAGAGTGAGGTTGATTCGTATTTTTCTGCTTTTGAGAGAATCGCGATGGCGTTAAATTGGCCTCGTGAAGTTTGGCCTATCCTTGTGCAGTGTAAAGTGTACGGTAAAGCACAAGAGATAATCGCTGCGATGCCTCTTGCTGAGAGCCTGCAGTATGATGCAGTCAAGAGAGCAGTCTTACGCGCGTATGAGTTAGTGCCTGAGGCCAACAGCCAGGCTTATAGACAGATCTCCGTACGAGCCCCCGTGATGTCAACCGTGCCGTGTTTGAGTTGCGTCGCCCGGGAGTCGACCAAAGGAAGCCTCTAGTTTGACCACTGGTGTGCCTCTGCGACGGGCCGCAAGATGTCGAGATGCTGTGTAGCGGGCCTTAATGTTGTGAGATAGACGTTGTACGAACAACCTGCCTGCGCGTGTGTGTTGTGTCATGTTTGAATGAGCAAAAGGTTACAAGCTATTTTCTGCGGCTTCTGTGTTCGCCGAAGCGTATTGTGTGTGTTTGACGTCATAAGCCACGTTTATCGTCACTCTTCTGATTAATGAGACCGCGTAGTGTCTGTGCCGTCCTGCTCGTGCCACTGCTCACCTGGAACCCTCCACAAGGGACGAGCGTCTGCTTCTGACTCGCCGCGTAGCCCGGAACAGCGAGCCACGTACGTAATCGCCGAGACAGCCCTTCCTTCTCAGTGACAAAAGGAAGAGTGTTCAGCTCCAAACGTTCAGAGCATTGGGTTAATTCAATCTGTAAGTCATAAGTCAGGACCCAATACTGTCCAAAATCACGGCTCCTGTTTTGAGCCTTTCATATCACAGGGCCTAGTATCACTGAATGGCGAAGCACCAGATCAACGCCCCATCCGTATCCTACGAGACACTGGCGGTTCCCAGAGCTTGATTTTGGCCAGTGCTCTCCCGTTTTCATACCGCTCTTACTGTGGTTACAGGAGTGTGTTACGGGGAGTTGAGATGGGCTACCGCCCGCGGCCCGTTCACTCTGTTCATGTCCAGTCAAACCTCGTTACAGGAAAGTTTCCGTTAGCTGTGGTCCCTGCGCTACCCATTGAAAATGTAGACATGATTTTATGTAATGATTTGGCAGGGGCATGGTGTTTCCTCCCCTGTTGGAGGCGGTTCTGTCCCCGCTTGTGTGTGCCTCTGATCGTCAGATGCCCACGGGTTGTGCTGTGGCGCACACCCGTCCTCCAGAACAGTGCGGTTGTAGTCTGCCCGCCAGTCCAGTGAAACCACGAGTACCGCCGCACTTTACTCCACCCGCCACTTCTGTACGGAAGCACAAGGCTAGGGCCACCAGGCTTGGGTCAGGCGAGCGGCACTTTCAGCACCATGGAGAGCGTTTTGGCTCTCGCTCTGCAAGTTTCAGTTCGCGGCCTTGATCTGTGTGTTCCTTTGAGGGATTCGCCACGAGAGAGGCAAAGTCTGTGATTCTGTGTTCGGGTGAGTAATTCACAAATTTGCTCTGATTTTACTTTGAGATGGCTTGTATTTTAAGGGGGGGAGTGTTACGGCCGCTGGCGCTGGGCCGCGTCGTACACCCGCTTCCCTCACTCCTGTGTTGTGCTGCTGTTCTGCTCAGGCTCCGCCCCGCTGCATGGTGCACCGGCTACGCACGCTGCCTCCCAGTTCTGCCTTCCGTTCGGAGATTGGGTCGCGCTTTCCACGTCTGGCCAATCCATCGCTGCGGCTAATCAGCACCAGCCTTGAAAACGAGTCTGCTCCTTCTGTGCGGGGCGGCTTGAATCAGTGTCTTGTCTGCCACCGTTCTGAGAGAACGTGTTGTCTGTGTGCGCTAAAGATTAAGCTTAAGGTTGCCTGTGTGGCTCTGTGCTTGTGTTTATTTGAGAACCCTGTGTTTTTGTGTGTTTTATTTGACTCTGACGCTGTCCAGTACAAACTGTTACCCCTTTTGCCTGTTTTATTAAAAGGCATCTAATTTACCATTATTACATCCTTGGTTTTATGTTACTTCCCACTTCCCCTACGAGCTCAACTGTAGGGTCGTAACAACCGCTTTGTGACTCTGGTCTGTGAAAGGCGGTATATAAATAAAGATTACTTACTTACTTACTTACTTACAAAGAGAGGGAGACCAGAGAGAGAGAGAGAGAACAGAGAGAGAGAGACCAGAGAGAGAGAGACCAGAGAGAGAGAGAGAGAGAGAGAGAGAACAGAGAGAGAGAGAGACCAGAGAGAGAGAGAGAGAACAGAGAGAGAGAGACCAGAGAGGGAGAGACCAAAGAGAGGGAGACCAGAGAGAGAGAGAGAGAGAGAGAGAGAACAGAGAGAGAGAGACCAGAGAGAGAGAGACCAAAGAGAGGGAGACCAGAGAGAGAGAGAGAGAACAGAGAGAGAGAGACCAGAGAGAGAGAGAGAGAACAGAGAGAGACCAGAGAAGGAGACCAGAGAGAGACCAGAGAGAGGGACCAGAGAGCGAGACCAAAGAGAGACCAGAGAGAGACCAGAGAGAGACCAAAGAGAGACCAGAGAGAGACCAGAGAGCGAGACCAAAGAGAGAGACCAGAGAGGGAGAGACCAGAGCGAGAGATCAGAGAGAAAGAGAAACCAGAAAGAAAGAGAAACTAGAAACAGGACAGAGAGAAAGAGAGACCAGAGAAAAAGACCAAAGAGGGGGAGAGACCATAGAGAGAGACCAGAAACAGAGAGACCAGAGAGAAAAAGAGACCAAAGAGGGACAGAGACCAGAGAGGGAGACCAGAGAAAAAGAGAGACCAGAGACTAGAAAGAAAGAGACCAGAGAGGGAGAGAGACCATCGATAAATGTTTCTGTGTGTACCAGTTAGCATGCTCTCGTTGACGATGCAGGTGCCCTGGACGAGCGCGGCGTCACACGGCATGATCATCCCATTGGCTGGAACCACGATGACATCACCGGGGACCAGCTCCGTGGACATGGCCTGCTCCACCTCTGCCACCAACGGGACAAACACATTACACAACACTCGGGAGCTTGTCGTCATGGATACAAGCTCTTCGGCTGTCGGTTGACCTCTGGCTGCGATGTTTATGTGAATAGAGAGAGGAGTGAATAGAGCTGTAGTAACTTGAGTACGGTCGAATCAGGAAGTAAAGAAACGTGTGTGAAGATGGCCGGAGATGAAAGGTTTGTTTTAATGTTTTAAGAATTGCCAATTTTCTCTTAAAACCTCCACTAACTCGCACTCTAGGAGCACAGGGACTGGACTCCTGCCGGGACTCGGAGGGGCGCAGGGACTGGGCTCCTGCCGGGACTCGGAGGGGCGCAGGGAATGGGCTCCTGCCGGGACTCGGAGGGGCGCAGTGAATGGGCTCCTGCCGGGACTCGGAGGGGCGCAGGGACTGGGCTCCTGCCGGGACTCGGAGGGGCGCAGGGACTGGGCTCCTGCCGGGACTCGGAGGGGCGCAGGGACTGGGCTCCTGCCGGGACTCGGAGGGGCGCAGGGACTGGGCTCCTGCCGGGACTCGGAGGGGCGCAGGGACTGGGCTCCTGCCGGGACTCGGAGGGGCGCAGGGACTGGACTCCTGCCGGGACTCGGAGGGGCGCAGGGACTGGACTCCTGCCGGGACTCGGAGGGGCGCAGGGACTGGACTCCTGCCGGGACTCGGAGGGGCGCAGGGACTGGACTCCTGCCGGGACTCGGAGGGGCGCAGGGACTGGACTCCTGCCGGGACTCGGAGGGGCGCAGGGACTGGACTCCTGCCGGGACTCGGAGGGGCGCAGGGACTGGACTCCTGCCGGGACTCGGAGGGGCGCAGGGACTGGACTCCTGCCGGGACTCGGAGGGGCACAGGGACTGGACTCCTGCCGGGACTCGGAGGGGCACAGGGACTGGACTCCTGCCGGGACTCGGAGGGGCACAGGGACTGGACTCCTGCCGGGACTCGGAGGGGCACAGGGACTGGACTCCTGCCGGGACTCGGAGGGGCACAGGGACTGGACTCCTGCCGGGACTCGGAGGGGCACAGGGACTGGACTCCTGCCGGGACTCGGAGGGGCACAGGGACTGGACTCCTGCCGGGACTCGGAGGGGCACAGGGACTGGACTCCTGCCGGGACTCGGAGGGGCACAGGGACTGGACTCCTGCCGGGACTCGGAGGGGCACAGGGACTGGACTCCTGCCGGGACTCGGAGGGGCACAGGGACTGGACTCCTGCCGGGACTCGGAGGGGCACAGGGACTGGACTCCTGCCGGGACTCGGAGGGGCACAGGGACTGGACTCCTGCCGGGACTCGGAGGGGCACAGGGACTGGACTCCTGCCGGGACTCGGAGGGGCACAGGGACTGGACTCCTGCCGGGACTCGGAGGGGCACAGGGACTGGACTCCTGCCGGGACTCGGAGGGGCACAGGGACTGGACTCCTGCCGGGACTCGGAGGGGCACAGGGACTGGACTCCTGCCGGGACTCGGAGGGGCACAGGGACTGGACTCCTGCCGGGACTCGGAGGGGCACAGGGACTGGACTCCTGCCGGGACTCGGAGGGGCACAGGGACTGGACTCCTGCCGGGACTCGGAGGGGCACAGGGACTGGACTCCTGCCGGGACTCGGAGGGGCACAGGGACTGGACTCCTGCCGGGACTCGGAGGGGCACAGGGACTGGACTCCTGCCGGGACTCGGAGGGGCACAGGGACTGGACTCCTGCCGGGACTCGGAGGGGCACAGGGACTGGACTCCTGCCGGGACTCGGAGGGGCACAGGGACTGGACTCCTGCCGGGACTCGGAGGGGCACAGGGACTGGACTCCTGCCGGGACTCGGAGGGGCACAGGGACTGGACTCCTGCCGGGACTCGGAGGGGCACAGGGACTGGACTCCTGCCGGGACTCGGAGGGGCACAGGGACTGGACTCCTGCCGGGACTCGGAGGGGCACAGGGACTGGACTCCTGCCGGGACTCGGAGGGGCACAGGGACTGGACTCCTGCCGGGACTCGGAGGGGCACAGGGACTGGACTCCTGCTGGTGCCCAGAGTCAAGACTAAACATGGAGAGGCAGCATTTCACATTTATGCAGCTAAAATCTGGGACAGTCTTCCTGAAAATGTGAGACAGGCTTCTTCTCTGTTCAAACCCTGTTTAAAATCAGTTCTTTTTAGCTGCTACAACTGAGGGACTTTCTCTTTACAATTTCTCATGTACTGTGATTATTTCATTATCTTGTTTGGTTAAGCTTTTTGAGTTGTGTATGAACTTGCTTTACCCTGCCTTGCCAAAACACTTGTACATTATTCAAACGCAGACTCAGCAGTGGACAGACGGAGTACCTTTGTCTCCTCTGCAGCGCGACACCCGCACCACGCTGTGAGCCGCCACCATGTCGCGTAACATCACATATTGCTGCAAGAAGAAGACAAAAGTCCTGTAAATACATAAAGTGGAAAAGTAATGATTTTTAACGTGTGAATTAGTTCAACCTCTTCACATCTGCGCACGGAACAAGGTTTAGTAACTGACAGCAGAAATGACAAAAGCATAGTTTAAAGGGCAAGGAGAGTGATTTTAATGGTTAACAAATGGTTTTAAGGGGCTCGGTTTTACGGCTAGAAGGTATTGGCAAATGTTTGTATGGTCGGTTTAACTAGTAAGACAATGATTGCACTATTTGGTGTTAGTTAGTAAGAAACAATTATAATTTATGTACTTATGTGTTGGTTTGGATGGACGTGTTTCTGCGGCTGGACACCTGTGATAAAGATTGAATCCCTTTGTGCAATTGAACAACACAAAATACTTCCACGGATCATTGAGAACTGAGGGGAACAAACGAATAATTGGTCGGTTATCAAGGACTTTGTCGACTGGTGTGAGTGTAACCACTTGTGCTTGAACACCAGTAAGACCAAGGAGATGATCATCGACTTCAGGAGAAAACCAGTTTCCCACACGCTGCTGAACATCCAGGGGGAGGACATTGAGCTGGTGGACAGCTTCAAGTACCTGGGTGTTCACATTAACAATAAACTGGACTGGTCCCATAATACAAACGCCCTGCACAAGAAGGGCCAAAGTCGCCTCTTCCTTCTGAGGAGGCTGGGGTCCTTCGGAGTGAGCAGGCCTCTGCTCAGTACTTTTTATGACTCTGTGGTAGCTTCTGCCATTTACTACGCTGCCGTGTGCTGGGCCCCGGGCAGCACAGAGCGGGACAGAAACAGACTGAACAAGCTGGTCAGGAGGGCCAGCTCCACTCTGGGCTTCTCCCTGGACTCTGTGGAGGAGGTGAGGGACAGGAGGCCCCTGGACTCTGTGGAGGAGGTGAGGGACAGGAGGGTGCTAGCCAAAGCCACCTCCATCATGAACAATACCTCCCACTGCACAGGACTGTAGAGGAGCTGAGGAGCTCCTTCAGTGGAAGACTGAGGCACCCTCAGTGTAGGAAGGAGCAGGGCCTTTATCCCCACCGCTGTCAGACTGTACAATAAGTCACTTTAAATGATCACTGTGTGAAAACCTGCACTACTATTGACACTGTTTCCAATTGACACTTGTCACTTGTTGACACTTTTGTTGTACATAATTATTGTCACTTTTATTGTACATATATATCCTGAATGTAACATATTTGCACATTTCCTCCTTTTGCACAATCTGAGTGTCTCTCCATGCTAAATGTGACATGTAAATGTCTCCTATGTGAGGACGCACATGCTGCAACCAATTTCTACAGAACAGAGGCAGAGATACAAAGGGGGGTTTCTCCTGACGTTCCCCCGGGGCACTCACCCTCTTGATGGTGTAGAGGGAGGTGGCGATGGAGATGACGGACATGAAGACGATGGCGGTGGCGTAGTAGTAGTAGTCCTCGGCGCTCCACAGAATCACACTGAAGAGCTGGAAGATGTAGAACGGGTTCAGGACCTGAGAGAGAGAGAAGAGGAGAGGAGAAAGAGGGAGAGAGAGGAGAGGAGAGAGGAGACAAGGGAGGAGAGGGAAGAGATGAGGTGAGAGGTTGAAGAGGGGGGAAGGAGAGAGAAGAGGAGAGGAGAGAGAGGGACATGAGCCAATGCAAAGACTGCAATTATTTAGAATACTTAATATTAATTAAACCGTTATTACATTATTCCATTGTAGCCCTAAATCACACCTGTGTTGTCGATTCCAACACAACATTGAAATGCAATATAACCAAACACAAAGGAGCCATTGATCCAAAGAAAACGGGATGACCAATGTCCATAAATGTTAATAAATGTCCTTAATTGTCACAGATCCTGCCCTTAATCCCTCTAGCATTGGCAAGGAACAACCCAGTGGGAAACCTTGGTGAGGACCATATTGAGAGAGAGAGATCCATTCCCACGGATGGACTGAGGGGGCTCCCGGTGCAGCTCATGTCCAGGCCAGGGGAGACCAGTCCACAAGGAAAGTCTCCATATGATTTGATCGCCTGTAGTTAGAACTAGAGGGTGGAGACAGCCCTCTTCTATAATGCTGAGAATCAAACTCACTTCTTTTATGAGCAGCTTGAAAATAGATGGAACTCTGACTGCGATCTCATTCTCTCCAAAGAACAACCTCCTGCAGAGAAGACAAAGGAGGCCGTTGTTTACACCACTATGACATCAACACAAGCTGCAATTAAGAGTACACTTTGACAGTCTTTACCTGTACTCCTGCACCAGTGGGGGCAGACCGTTGGCATGTTCCGAGTATAGCTCTGCACAGCTCACGCGCACGTCCTCCAGGCCTCTAGGGGGAGCCACAGCCCAACGTGAACAACAGAGAACATTGAAAATACGGGTCACCACAGTCATGATTCTCACTTGTACGATTCGAAGTTGTGCAGCCCTTCGTTCCAGTAGTATCTGGTGCTGTGGTGGGTGAAGTAATGGATCTGCAACGAGCAAGTGAAACACGCATTATGAGTGATAGCAGCAAAACAAATGCCGTTTTTGTTGATTGGTTTCACAGTGGATTTATGCATTTGTCTGGTGCACACTGAGGACTTTTCCACATGTAGTCCAATATAATTTTACAGCAAATGGAAAATAGTCTGAATCTTGTAAAGTTGTAAAGTTCCACTGCCCCCTAATGGTCAGGCGCTAAAACTGCAATTTTCTGGTAGAGATAAGAGAACCTTTATTTAGTGTCACCTGCACAGCTTGTTCTTGGGGCCTGCTCCCATCATGCTCTTTGATGGAGGAGGGGAGGTGATGGAAGGGTCTCTGTCCTGGAGCAGACATGACGTGGACTCTGGCTCGGAACCACTGCTTGAACTCGTCCTGTGGAGCCCAAACATCACTGTGAGAGAACAGTAACAGCTGAATTATGAGACTTTTTAAAATATTTTCTTATAATTTGGAGAAAAAGGCATTGATTTTTTGCCTTTTTAAAATCCAAGAGGTCTCTTCTGATAAAGTTAAAAAGATAAAAACAAATATGAACAACTCCGCGGCAAAAGACATCCATAACTTAAGTATGACCTTGATTAAAAAACATCAGGACAGTCTACTACAACCAATTACATATCTAGTTAATCTCTCAATCAGGTCAAATACATTCCCGCAGTGTTGGAAGCCCGCTGTAATAACACCGATCCACAAGTCAGGCGAAAAGGACACACCCAACAACTACAGGCCTATTGCCATTCTGCCTGTTGTGTCTAAAATCCTGGAAAAGGTAATTGCAGAACAACTCATTGAACATCTTGAGTCAAACCAGCTGCTGCATCCTCAACAATTTGGTTTTAGGCGTAAATACAGCACCGAAACAGCTAATTGTTTCTTGCTAGAGAAGATCAAAGGGCCTCTAGACAAAGGGCAAGTAGTTGGTGCAGTATCTAGACCAAAAAAAAGCCTTTGACACTGTAGATCACAGCGTGCTGTCTAACAAACTCAAGCTCTTTAAAATGTCACCAAGCTCTTTAGCATGGTTAAAATCATATTTGGAGGGAAGACAGCAGTGTGTTAAGGTTAATGGGGTGATGTCAGCTCTCTTCCCTAACAATATGGGAGTTCCTCAAGGATCAGTACTGGGGCCATTGTTGTTCACAATGTACATCAATGACCTCCCTGATAGCTGCCAAGGTGTCAACTGCCAGCTGTACGCAGATGATACAGTAATTCATCTGTCTGCTAAAACTCCAGCTCTGGCAGCGCAGCAGTTGACACTTGCCCTAGTAAACATCTCAAAATGGCTCAAGTTGTCTCACCTAAGCTTAAACGTTAAGAAACCGTCGCTGTCTGTTTCTCAATTAAAACAAGACCTTCTAACAGCACCTTTGAAGTACGCATAAACAATGAAATTATACAAGAAGTAAAAGAGACCACATATCTTGGAATTATCCTTGACAACAACCTTAAATTTCAAAGTCAAGTCAAAAATGTGTGTAAAAAGGTCAAATCCAACTTGAATTGTTTTCGTTTTATCAGGAGGGATCTGTCCTATCAGGCCGCCCTGTTATACATGCATGCCATGATTTTTTCACATCTGTCCTACTGCGTCACATCCTGGTCACAAACCTCCCCGTCCACACTCAAGCCGGTTGTTTCATTGTACAAACAGGCAGTCAAGGTATTTGACAGAAAACCTATGAGATGGCATCACTGTGACATCATCCATAGACATAATCTTTTTACTTTCAAAAACTTTATACATTTTAGTATTCTGAAATTGGTTTTTAAATGTTTGAACAGTCGTGTGTCGCCGCTGTTTTCCGCTCTCATTATTTGGCGTCAGGACTCCCGCAGACCCTCCACCAGAGCCTCGGTGAGTGGGGACTGTGTTCTCCCAAAATTTACAAAATCTTTTGGACAGTCCAGTTTCTCTTTTAATGGATCCAGACTGTGGAACTCTCTGCCCACTGATTTAAAACTGCAGACTGACATGAACAGTTTTTACAGAAGTCTGAAACAATGGCTGAAGTCAAGTCAAAACTGCTCACATGGTAACACTGTATGAAATGTATACTGATTAGAGCCCTGCACGGGCCTATTATCTGGGCCCGAGCCCGGCCCTGGCCCGAGGGGGTGGCGCCCCAGCCCGGCCCGGCCCGATATGGTTTCTGAATTTTCAGGCCCGAAACCCGCATCAAGCCCGCCTTTTTTTTTTTTTTGTAACCTCCCATAACAATGTTTTAGCGTAGTATATAGTGCCGCGCACTGATATGAACGCAGACTTAGCTAGAGGGCGGAGTTATACATGGTAGTGATGTGTTGCAATGAGTTCTGTGTGTGCGGAGGGGTGCAGAGTGAACGGCCGCATCTGTATGATGCCCAGATGCTGCAACACATCTGCACATTACATAAGTAATGCTATGTGCCGTCAATGACAACACTACACAGAACAACAAACACTACAGCGTGATAGAACGCTATATTCAGTGGGTGCGCTCGTAAATCTATTCTGCCGCTCTGAAAATGAAGAGCCCGAGCCCGGCCCGTGTCCGAGGTCATTATGCGGTCATCGGCCCGAAGCCCGGCCCTCGGGCTGTCGGGTCGTCGGGGCCCTCGGGCCAAGGGCTCAAGTGCAGGGCTCTAATACTGATGATGTGTAATTGTGTATTGTTTACCTTTTTAAATATTGTACTGTATTGTATTGTGTTTTTTGAAATGTGTAGGCTCCTATGGACAGGTGTTTCAAATTAGCAGTTTTGCTATAACACTGGAAACAATGTATCTGGTTTGTCCAATGCAGTTGATATGTCCATATCAAATAAACTAATAATAATAATAATTTGGGTTACTATTGACGTATGGGTTGTGTGTATCACTTCCTCCATTGCCACTATGAGTCCCGAACCCTGTGTGAGCGAGAGGCTGGTCTCACCGTGGACCGCAGCAGCAGCGTGTGGGCCTCCCTCAGACTGCAGCTGGAGCCGGTGCTCTTCACGCTCCACTGAGGCAGCCAGTAGAGGAGCAGCAGGAGCAGACCCCCAGTGCAGACCACCCCCACAGAGACCAGGGCCAGGCGCCACGGACAGGGCCGGTACCCCCACACCTCCTGAGCACAGACACAGCTCATGAGACACCGAAGATAAGATAAACTTTATTGATCTCACAGTGGAGAAATTACATGTCTCATTTGCCACAGATAGAATCCCTCAGGGTGAGCAAAGCAAGTGTGCAAAAAGTATTTATATTAGATATTATAAGTTCTCATGTGGGAGAATGATGATGTCTTGTCTGTACTAAGGTCCTGTGTCCTGAATAAAGTTTTGTACGCTCTCGTTCGTACGCACCATCTCCTCCTCCTGGCCCTGGTTGATGATTTTCACATCTCTGGTCTTCATCCTGCAGAACAAAAAAGTTTCCTGTAAATTAAAGAAGAAAAACCCTAACCCAACTCAGCATTTTTTAATAACAAATGAATCAATGAATGAATTAGTTAGATACACATATGAAACTTTTATGTAAAAAAACATTGAATTTGAAACTGAAAGCTTTCATACTTGTGTGCGCCACGTTTTAACTGTCTCAGCCCAAAACATTACAATGTGTTCTGTAAATAAAAAGGCACTCGGGAGCAACAGCTGCTTTAATCCAGCACGCTAGCTCAGGCTAATGGGATGTACGGCCTAGTTTGAAACGGAAGATTATGCTCTGTGAAATGGGTGATGTACCTTGTTGTAAAGCTATACATTCACAGTTCCATATGAGGCACTAATGTAGCTGGTTTGTGAATCCTTATGGACAAATGAAACCCAATTGTAACGGCCACAACAGTCCGCATCAGTCCAAACTATTTAAGAATCCATGGTGTCTGCTGCTGGAGAAGAAGATGGATGAATAATTATGATTCTGAACAAAACATTTTCCACAATTATAATTTCAACTGGGATTCGACACTGAAATAACACCGTCTTTTCACCCACAAACAAAAACCATCCGTACTCTGCTCTTGGCTGTTGTTCGGCTCTTTGCCAATAATCAAAACAAATGTGTCTTCTTGTTGACATTTGTAACGTGTGGGAGTTTGAGTGCTCTGACGGCTCTTTTCACGTACTTAAAGAGCGACTAAACACCAAATCAACTTTTTTTAACTCATAAACTGCATAAGTATGTTTATTGTAGTGCTGTCTACATATCCTGGTCATTTTTTTGACATTTTAGTTCAAATTAGATAAAATATCAATTTTGAGCCAAAAAACGCTGTGTGGTGCCCTCTCCACCTTTTTGGTGGTACTACATTTGAATTTGGTCCTGGCCTCTCCATTGACTCTGAAGTTCTCTATGACATCAGTTGTTTTGTGTGACGTCAGTCTGTCAGAGCCAGTGATGTGAACCCATTCAACTCTCACACACGCCCCAGCTGCAGTTTGGAGTATTCTGGCGCCATCTAGTGGATTAAAATTAAATTACATAAATCATTCTGAGATTATTGAGTGTGATTAGGTTCAGGTGTGTAGCTTTACAATTATCTTAGTGTGTAAACAAGGGTGGAATGAGACTTTCTGGTCTGTAAACTATTGCTTTAAGCAGCAATGACAACTGTCTGTTTTTTGTGTGTGTGACAAGTGAGCTGTCAATCACAGCCCAGACCACGCCCAACTCTAAGCCCCCTTTCTTGTCCCTTGGTCCTCCAGGCAACGCCCTTTTTAGAGAAAATTTTAAAATCTTCATGTGGGCGGAGAAAGGCTGGGCACAGGTGTTTAGTCGCTCTTTAACTGGAGTAAGAATTCAACTTCACATCACTTAAGTCTGACTGTGTCCCGCTGCACATGGTCCACAGAAGAACCAGTCTGGACCAGCTGCAGGTGGCCCACATGACAATTCTTCCGAGAAAACCAGTTCGGACCAGTGCTTCTGAGCCGTCTCCTCACAAATGATCACTTTAAAGGCTGAGCGGAGGACCATAATGTGCAAATGTCTCTGTCCACTAAATATTCAAGGACATTTAAGGACATTTATCAACATTTACAGGCCTTGGTCATCTGCCTTTTATAAACCAATGTCTCCTATGTGTTTTTTATCATTGCATGTTTTTAGATTGAGCCGTAGACTGTTTGCACTGTTTATTTTATTCAATTCTATGTCAGTCCAGTCTCCACCTGTTGCTTTCATTCATACATCTTCTGTAAAAAAACACACACAAAAAAAACGTAAATGACCTTTTTTAGTGGAAAAATGTAAATGTTTTTCTTACACATTTACACACACAAAAACGTGCCTTGACAAAAACTGTTTAAGTCGGGGAACAAAACAATATATTATTCACTCTTCACCTGACTGCTCCTGATTTTTGCTTTCATTCATATTCTGTAAAAAAAAAACACTAAATGAGCTTTTTAGTGGAAAAATGTACATATTTTTTCTTACACATTATAGTACATAAAAAACTGTTTTTGTCAAGGCACGTTAAGTTGGAAAAAACCCCTCAATATATTATTCACTCTTGACCTAACTGCTCCTGATTTCACTTAAATTTTAATTTATATTTTTTGCATAGCCATAAATCACAACAGTAGTTATCTTTGAGTTGTCGATTCGCCAACACAGATCCAAGAACCAACCGTTCAAACAGAAATGCAATGGTAAAAACACATTGGTCCATACAGGGTTAAATGTCCTGGATCTACATTGAAACCAGTCAAGCTTCTCTACCACTGACATTGCATCATTTCGATTTTCTGTAAAAATGACACAGGTGAATCCTTCGGGGGATTCTCAGTAAATTCACGTGTTGGATTTGAAAGCTCTGATATGAAATACACAATGTGCCGTTGGTGCTTTGGGGGCCACACTGCTGCCTGTCGGGACTCGCTGGGTTCAGACTCTGAGAACGTTGAAAACAGGGAAAAACACTGTATCATTCAGTACCGGGAGAGTGGGTTTTTGGGTAATTCTTCTTCTATTGGCGAGAAATAAGACGCAAGTTCTTACCGGATCGAACAAAAAAAGACAACGTTTTTTCTATGATTTATCAGTGATGGAGGGAAAAAATAAAAATTGTTTCGGTTCAGTATCGCGATATTTTGCGTACAGAATTGAATCAATACAGTAAAGCAGAGTATTGCGATATTTAATTCAATAATTATCTGTTCTACTTTTGTGTTATCTCTAAGTTTACTCTGGTAATTTACATCAGAGAAAAATATCTGAGATTAATGTGCTTTTTTGTGTGACTCCAATCTGTTGTATTTTTATAATTTAGGTTTTGTGCTCGGAGCTCACCGTAAGTAAGTAATGTTTTTTTTATATAGCACATTTTACAGACCAAGGTCACCCAAAGCACTTTAAAATGTTCTGAGTTCAGATATTTTTCCAATCATTCCACACACGGAGATGGCGGAAGCGAGTCGCCGAACACACTGGTCCATCAAAGCCTCCGACCAAACACCATCCATTCACTCTCTCATTTATATTCAGACCTACTGTGCATGTTTTTACTGGTAGCGGAAACCGGAGCACCCCGGAGGAAACCTACGCAGACACAGGGAGAACATGCAAACTCCACTCAGAAAGGCCCTGTTCCAACCGGGATTCAAACCCAGGACCTTCTTGCTGAGAAGCGCATTATTTTCCTCAATTATTGTAATAACTTTGAAATGAATCGCAATATATCAAAAAAATCGAATCACGATACTCGCTGTATCACAATGCGTTAATAATGTTGAATTATGGCCCAAATATCGCAAAACAATCAAATCGTCACGTTTTAACAGAAATTATATGAATGAAGGAAACAGGTGGAGACTGGAGTTTCCCTCGAACCAGACCGTAGGAAAAAGTCATGTCCGGACCCGGTCCCACAGACCACATCCAGACTCCATCACCGTACAGTTTAATCCTACAAAACATACAGCTTTCTGCTCAAAACAAACCAACAATATCGGACGACAACTTTGAAAATAAACGTTAAAAAAAAATAAAATTAAATATCAACACAGTTGCACAGTTGGGCCAAGAATCAAGATTATGTGATTTTTGTTATCCAACATAATCCAAAGAGATCACTGCTGGAATCTTTAAACAAATCCAGCCATGATCTCTTTGAATGATGTCTGAAATATTCTTGAAAGTTAAGTTTGAAGTGTAGTTTATGGCAGAGGTGTGTGTTTTCTCTCACACAGTCATATCTATATGGGCCACCTGCAGAAGCACACAACTCATTACACACAGATTAGGAGAACAACAAGTGCAGGAAAAAAGCTGGAGCTCACAAACCTTTGGCCTCTTCATTCACAACACAACAGCCTGATCCCAGAGTCTGAGTCTGAGTCTGAGGAAATGTATGTGGGAGACTTTTACAATCCTTAATGTGGAGGATCCTGATGTGAACACTTTGAACAGAAAACATTTTATCTTTTGACGAATGAGGAACCATGAAACACTATGTATTCAGTATCACATTTACAGATTGGACCAGTGCGTTTAACAATCATTCATGAAACAGAGTTTACAATAAAGATTTCATCTAAAAACCAAACACTCAAAGAAATCCATAAAGTAAGTTTATAATCTGTATTTTACTGATGACACCAAGATCTCATGGAAGTTATGTTTTTGTCAGTCTGTGAGTTCAGTCTTTGAGCAGAATGATGTCCCTTCAGTAAATCACACAGTAATGTTACATGAAGCAGAATCAGACAGAAAGCATCAGTCTCTGGATCATAACAAGTCTCTGCCACAATAAGCACCACGTGCAGGACTTACGTAAGGTACAGACCACCACAAAGTCTGGACTAAGTCTGCACTAAGTCTGGACTAAGTCTGCACTAAGTCTGGACTAAGTCTGAGACTGGCTTTACCTCTGGTGAAGGCTGTGCTCCAGCTCCAGCTGAGGCTTTATCCGGGCTGGAACATGGTCCAATGCTTCAGAGGAGAATGACGCCGCGGATCGACGTGAACTGAAGCAGAAAAGTGAGTTCGCGAAGTTCAGCGGCGGTGATGAGAGCGGCACGGCACGGCACAGACCGGGGGTAGACCTCCTGGAAGACCAGGACCAGGATCGGGACCAGACAAGACCCGGGACCAGGGCCACGCTGCGCCTGCTGCTACCTCTGCGGGACTCGGACCTCCCGACGCGGCCACCGCGAAGGAAGTGCACAACAGGATGTGAGGTCACAGCCCGTTTGGGTTCAGATCGTGCAAGTTCAGACAAACTGTGGAAACAGGATCCAACCAGTCCAAGACCAGATACAAGTGTTCACCAGGACCAAGAGGCGGCTCCAGTCTGTGCCTCTGCCCTGGGACCTCAGGATGGGACCTCAGTATGAACCTCAGCACAGACCCCTGCCCTGGGACCTCAGCCTGGGACCTCAGTATGAACCTCAGCACAGACCCCTGCCCTGGGACCTCAGCCTGGGACCTCAGTATGAACCTCAGCACAGACCCCTGCCCTGGGACCTCAGTATGAACCTCAGCACAGACCCCTGCCCTGGGACCTCAGCCTGGGACCTCAGTATGAACCTCAGCACAGACCCCTGCCCTGGGACCTCAGTATGAACCTCAGCACAGACCCCTGCCCTGGGACCTCAGTATGAACCTCAGCACAGACCCCTGCCCTGGGACCTCAGTATGAACCTCAGCACAGACCTCTGCCCTGGGACCTCAGCCTGGGACCTCAGTATGAACCTCAGCACAGACCTCTGCCCTGGGACCTCAGCCTGGGACCTCAGTATGAACCTCAGCACAGACCCCTGCCCTGGGACCTCAGTATGAACCTCAGCACAGACCCCTGCCCTGGGACCTCAGTATGAACCTCAGCACAGACCCCTGCCCTGGGACCTCAGTATGAACCTCAGCACAGACCCCTGCCCTGGGACCTCAGTATGAACCTCAGCACAGACCTCTGCCCTGGGACCTCAGCCTGGGACCTCAGTATGAACCTCAGCACAGACCCCTGCCCTGGGACCTCAGCCTGGGACCTCAGTATGAACCTCAGCACAGACCCCTGCCCTGGGACCTCAGCCTGGGACCTCAGTATGAACCTCAGCACAGACCCCTGCCCTGGGACCTCAGCCTGGGACCTCAGTATGAACCTCAGCACAGACCCCTGCCCTGGGACCTCAGCCTGGGACCTCAGTATGAACCTCAGCACAGACCCCTGCCCTGGGACCTCAGTATGAACCTCAGCACAGACCCCTGCCCTGGGACCTCAGTATGAACCTCAGCACAGACCCCTGCCCTGGGACCTCAGCCTGGGACCTCAGTATGAACCTCAGCACAGACCCCTGCCCTGGGACCTCAGCCTGGGACCTCAGTATGAACCTCAGCACAGACCCCTGCCCTGGGACCTCAGCCTGGGACCTCAGTATGAACCTCAGCACAGACCCCTGCCCTGGGACCTCAGCCTGGGACCTCAGTATGAACCTCAGCACAGACCCCTGCCCTGGGACCTCAGCCTGGGACCTCAGTATGAACCTCAGCACAGACCCCTGCCCTGGGACCTCAGTATGAACCTCAGCACAGACCCCTGCCCTGGGACCTCAGTATGAACCTCAGCACAGACCCCTGCCCTGGGACCTCAGCCTGGGACCTCAGTATGAACCTCAGCACAGACCTCTGCCCTGGGACCTCAGACTGGGACCTCAGCACAGACCTCTGCCCTGGGACCTCAGTATGAACCTCAGCACAGACCCCTGTCCTGGGACCTCAGCCTGGACCGCAGACTTCAGTCCTCACGTTTCATCTTTCCATATGTCAACACTAGAACACATGACAATACTTCCTAAATACAGGTTAAAATGATCACATTTGATATTAGGGATTTTATCAGCTTTTATCCCTTCATGTAACTTTTTGATGTATTAATGTACTTCTGATGTTTTGTTGTTTGTGGTTTGTATTTTAATCTGTAGCACTTTGAGGTTTCCTGGCAATGTAAGGTGCATTGTGTATTATTATTATTATTATTATGATGATAGACGCTTATTCTTTATGCTTTCATTTTTATTGCACACATGATTCAAGTCACTTTGCTTCAGTTTAATAATAATTTGAAAAACAATCTCCCGTCTTCACACACATCATTCACATCCAAGTCTTCGCACTGTGTTTCCGTCTCTGTTCTGGAGAAACTGTTAAAAGAGTTCAGTCAGTTCTGATTGGTCGCCTTCTTTTTGCTCTTCTTGCTCTTCTTGCTTTTCTTGGGAAGCGACGGAGCAGCTCCAGGTCCTTTTCCTGAACAAAACAAAAGTTAAAGTAGTTATAAAAAGGATTCAATGTCTTCATCACTGTTGAGATTCTAAGTTTAACACGCAGCCAGAGAGGAAACTGTTCTGGCCACACTCAGCGGTTATGAGAAGCCATACAATAAATACGTTTTTTATTTTCAAATTGCCGCTACTTTTTTCTAGTTCTTACACCCCTGCGGCTTATATAGCGATGCGGCTAATATGTGTATTTTTATTGTAATAGAGTTCATGGAGTTATTCTTTGGAGTCCATCAAGTTTTAGTAGCTGTGAGACACTCGGTTATTGTCAAAATAGATGAATGTGAATCGATCATGGAAGCTAACATTTATTATCGTTATCTGCTACATTACAACATGAAAACCTGTGGCTTATATTCAAGTGAGGCCTATATGTGAAAAATTTAGGTGGTGAGCATTACACTGCAAAAAGTTATGAAAAATACGTCAAAAATTGCTCAAATTTGGCAAAATGTATCTTGATTTTAGCACATTCTAACTTAGCCTGGCCTTATCCATCCGTACACTCTGGTCAATAATCATTTCCTGCATGCAACGTCTGGGTCTGGTCCCTGTGTTTGGGATTACAATCTCTTGAATTTCAACTGACCAATCAGTGAGCGCGGGAGGCGGGTGTTGTAGTTAGTTGTGGGTAGTGTCAAGAGTTTGCGTTGAACAGGCAGGTTGTAGTTTGGGAATGGCGAAGAATGCCATAGTTAAGTAATCCGGTCTGGTTCTATCAAGAAACTGAAGCCGGAGTAAGAAGAATGTTTAGCAAATGTAATCGCTGGCAAAGATTGTGGCGCTACTCCCCACGGGCTCCGTTAGCGGCAAAGGAGATGGCTAAAGCTAGGCAAAATGCTGACAACTCACTCGGGCGCATTACATACGTGACGGTGAACTTAGATCCAATCGTTTCAATCTGCAAAAGAAGTTAACCCCTCCCACCTGTGAATGGAGTCAATGGAGCAAATCCAGACCTTAGTATGAAATGTAATTTGTGGTCCAACCAGGCTAATTCTAACTGCCTTAAAACAAGATTTACTGATGGGACCAAGCAAAATGTTTTAAATGCAAGAAAGGTCTCCCCTAGAATAAGAAAATAAAGCAGTTCTTGAATTATGATTAAATGGCTTTGTCCTTTTGGTAAATCTGGTTTTAAGACAAAATACTAAAAAACACTTGATTCAAGCAATCATACCATTTTTTGCAGAGTATAGTCCAGAAAGTACAGTATATCATCATTAAGACGCTCGGAGGAATGTGAAAATGTGCCGTTCATGCAAGGCAGCCCAGGAATGTACTGTAACTGGAGGCTTTCTCACAAGAACATTGGAGAAGCTTTAACATCAGAGAGAATAACGAGCCTCACTCACAACTACCACAAAAGACTCAGACCCGTCATATACGTCAAAGGGGAAATACAGGTTTTTAAGAACTGGGGGATGGAGATTTCTGATCAGGGCCAGAGGAGGAGAGGAGTTTCTGACAGAGAATTAAAAGGTTGAGATTGTAGTGGAGAGAGTACTGGTCATTGCCTTGTTGTGTGTCCCTGTCCCTGAGCTTCGTGGCGTCCAGAGCGAAGTCCACGATCACTTTGCTGCCGTCGATCAGCACGTCCTCCGCCGATTCTTTGGCCTTTCTGCACAACTCTGGGCTCGCGAACTCTACGAAGCCGAACCTGCGAGAAGTCAGACGCGAACGGAAAAACACAGCAGACATGTACACAAGTTACAGAACAGAAGGGACCGCTCGATACGGATCTAGACACTGGCGATTTCAATGTTGTAAATCTCTCCAGTGTGGGATCAATAAAGTCCATCTTAGCTTATGTTTAAAGCACAGAAGGTGCATTTAATAAAACTAAAAATTATTCGGGTCAAAAATTACCTGACATGTTTCGGCGGTAGACTTAAAAGAACCTTCTAAGCCGTACTCATACTTTCATATCTGTCTGTGGTACTTCTATCTGTAGCACATTAATGACACTATTCTCCCTGTGTAAAGTCCTCCAAGAAAACTACTGTTGGGATTTAGGCCTGTGCAAAAATAATATTTAATTGAAATTGAATGAGCCAACGGTGAAACTGTTAAACTCCTCGTCATGAAATCATGTTGCGACGAGTTGTCTCTCTGCGGCTTATATTCAGGTGCGGCCTATATGTGGACAACATTGGTTTTCTTGACAAATTTAGGTTACACAACTTATATTCAGGTACGGCCTATATGTGGACAACATTGGTTTTCTTAACAAATTTAAGTGGTGCGGCTTATATTCAGGTGTGGCCTATATGTGTACATTTCTGATTTTCTATAATAATAATAAAAATAGGAGGTGCGGCTTATATACAGAATATATGTAGGCTATATGTAGAAAACATTGCTTTTCTATACAAATTTAGGTGGTGCGGCCTATATGTGGGCAAGATTGATTTTCCTTACAAAACTAGGAGATGCGGCTTATATTCAGGTGCGGTCTATATGCGTACAACATAGATTTTCTTTACAAATTTAGGTGGTGCGGCTTATATGCGGGTGTGCCCTATATGTGGACATTTTCTGATTTTCTTTAAAAAATTAGGTGGTGCGGCTTATATGTAGGTGCGCCTTATAGTCAGAAGAAAGTATGGGAGTTGATTGACATTTCGAACAAGCGATAAGGGATTATCTGCGATTAATTGATGTGTTCTCCTCACTTCTTTGAGAGTTTGGTGTCCTTGTCCATGATGATCTTGGCGCCCACAGCCCCCTCGAAGGCCCGAGTCAGAGTGTGGGCTACCGTGCTCTCACTCAGCTTCGTCACAAACAGCGTCTGAGTAGCTAGAACAAGAAAAAGCAAAACCCAGAGAGCTCCATCAAACAGGCGGATTTAAAACAGGGTCATATACAATGTCGTGTGAACACATGTAAAGCTGGTGCACCTAACCTTTCCTCATGACTACAAAAGAAAAAGCGTTTTTTCCAGGACACTAGACATTCAACGACATTTATGGACTTTATCAGCATTTATGGACATTGGTCTCTGCCCTTGTGTGTTTTTTGCCTAAAATGTGTTGCACAGGTTTTGGAATAAAGATTTTGATTGGTTGATCTAAACTAAAAACAACAAAACTAAACAAAAGCTAGCGATCGAACCAAACTGTGACATGGCTTTCATTACATCGTTTCAAAGTTAGGTACCCCAGCTTTAGTCTCATGAATGCATTTAAAAAGAGCAAGTCAAACCTTTTGGTCCCATTGCTCTCATATCATTACTGAAATGGATACTGATAAGCCTCCCCTGAACTTTACGATCTTTGTTCGCTTCCTTAGCTGCTTCTGCGTCCGCCACGGAGTCAAACATCACAAGCGCATATCTGAAAAAAATATGACTTTGAAGTTAAAACCTTTGAAAGACAACTTCTGATTGTTTTATGGACTCGATCGTTGACGTACTGCGAGGACTGTGCCTCACGGCGAGCGATCCGGATTTCAACAGCCTTTTTAAAGATGCTCTTAATCCTGTATTCTTGAATATGGGGTGGCAGGTTTCTCACAAACAAAGTGTTACTGTGAGTAGCTGAAGCTGGAGAAAAGAAACACAAAAAGAGCATTTTATGAATAAAAATTTACTTTACGTCAGTATTTGTAGTATAGTTACAAGTGTACATCTTCTTTGGGCATTTTTTGTTGTGCAGTGTTATATCCATAAAACAATCGATCATCATTTACAAGTGTAAAAAGTAGTATTTACCCATAAATCTATCCTTTAGGGAGCTACTTTGAAAAGGGTGGCGAGGTACTGGTAGCTCCCGACCCATAGTAATACCACCACTACAGCTATTTACCATTTAAACAACTTCACTAGTTTTTTTATTAACATTTACTTCCAATTATCACAAGAAAATGTTCCCTGCTTTAATCGTTGGAGCCTTAATACTGATACTAACAATTATTACCACTGTAATTACTGTATTTTAGTGTGAAGAGAAGAGAAAAGAGCAGCACTGACCGTTTACGCTAATATTCACTAGCGGCGCATTCACCTGCAGGACCTGGCCCTGGATCTTGAATTTACCGTTCTGCCTCGCGACAGCTTTGGCCAGGTCTCTGTAGTTGAACTGCACAAAAGCGACGCTGCAACAAACACACAAATGTCAGAGTGTCCAATAAGAAACTGATCATTAAAGTAGAAATATGACCATTAAGACTTTCCAGATTTAAGATGTGACTTCAGAGCTTAGAATTTGACCAATGAGAATCTAATGGACCATTTTGGATGCATTTTTTTGTTTTAAAAAAGGTCTAAAAACGGCTCTGTCCATAAAGTCATAATAAATAAAAGACAAAAGCAATGTGTTTCAGACGGTAGTTCCTAACTCAAAGTCTTTTCTGTTGTGAGAGAGCAGAGAACATCTTACCCTTTGGTTGCAGTCTTGGCTCCTCCCATAAACCTTATGTGCTGAGCCCTGGGAAAAGCCTTCTGGACGTCCTCTATTGTGGCAGTGACTGGAATATTTTGTACAAATACGGTGCGTTCCTTTGCAGCTGTCGGCAGAAGCAAGAATGCCTTGTTATGACTAATAATAATAATAATAATGCATCGGTTTTATACAGCGCTTTTTTGGACACTCAAAGACGCTTCACATGTCATTAATCATTCACTCCAGCGAGGCAACCAGTCTGTGCCATCGGACCCTCCAACCACCACCAGCCATTCACACACACACCCCAGACTCATTCTAGGCAATGTGGGTGAAGCGTCTTGCCTAAGGACACAACATAAACTCAGCAGTCTACAATACTGAGCCTTCAATCCAAGTTGTATTAATTTTGTTCATAGAAATATATCAAGTTACTCCACACTAGCCTGGCCTTATCCATCCGTACACTCCGCTCAATCATCATTTCCTGCATGTAACGTCTGGGTCTGGTCCCTGTGTTTGTGATTACAATCGGTTGAATTCCATCCGACCAATCAGCGAGCACGGGAGGCGGGTGTTGTAGTTAGTTGTGGGTGTGGAGTTTGCATGGAACGGGCAGGTTGTAGTTTGGCAATGGCGAAGAATGCAATAGTAAAGTAATCCGGTCTGGTTCTATCAAGAAATTGAAGCCGGAGCAAGAGGAATGTTTAGCAAATGTAATCGCTGGTCAAGATTGTGGCGCTACTCCCCACGAGCTCCGTTAGCAGCAAAGGAGATGGCTAGGCTAAATGCTAAATGCTAAATGCTAAATGCATAAATGCAACGACTCACTCGGGCGCATTACACACGTGACGGTAAACTCAGATCCAATCGTTTCAACCTGTTAACGGAGCTCAATGGAGCCCCTCCAGACCTTAGAACGAAATTAAATTGGTACAATGGTGTGGTACGACCAGGCTACATCCACACTCCTACTGTAAAAACCCCTAAAAAACACCTTCATGATTATAAAGTCACAGATATAAATACTGAGCTACTTTCCACAAACCCTCTCTTAGTTATTACTAAAAAAGATCAAACAGTTTGAATCTTGGGAATGTTCATCAAATCCAGGAGTTAAAGTCAAATGGCGTGTGTAATTTTTATATGTTTTCAAATATCTGCATCCACATTGCTCAGGTTGATCCAGAACTGAGTCTGAGTCGGCTGTGTCAAATGATGGAACCTCAAAGGATCACGTAGACTCTCCGTCTGTACCTTGTTTGCGTTGCTCCTTGGTCCGCTTCACCTTCTTGGCTTTGGGCTTTGAGACCGTCATGGGTTTGTCCAGTATCGTGTGTCCGTCCAAAGTGAGGGCTTTATTCACGTCCATTTCTGAGGCCAGGTCCACAAACGCATGTTTCCTGCCACAAACAGAGCAGAGCAACAACACACTTTCAAAGCTGTTGGAGGGAAATGTAAAGCTTCCCTCGCCGGTCATTTATACATATATTTTTTTAGTTTTAGAACTTTCTCATATCTATGTTTGGTCTTTAAGATCCTGAAGGGCTTGGCTCCTGGCTGTTTACAAACCTTTGTGCGACAGCGCTCTGGGAGTTCTTTAAGATCTACTCGAGCAGCTTCTCTACATGATTGCATTGTACCTTTCCGTCATTCCACCTTTGGTCAATCAGCGTTTGCAGTGAAGGCTGCTAAACTGTGGAACCAACTACCTGACAATATAAAGACATGCACGACCATCAAGGGCTTTAAAACTGAACTCAAAAAGCATCTAAAAAGTAGCCAGCATTGTACACACTAGCCATGCCAGCCCTCTTTGGTTTTTACACTCCCTCTGGTACTGACTTATTTGTCTGTATTTGTATTTGTATTTGTGTTGTTGATGTGTCTTGTCTGGGTTTTATGAATCTATAATGTTGTATGTGGTTTGTCTTTCCTGGTCGACCCCTTGTCTTGTGAATCTTGTCTTTTTTCTGTTATGGGTCGTCCGTTCCCTGCCAGGGACTGCAGATGTAAATTAGCCTCAGGCTAACTCTAGTGCAATGCATCAAATGGCAACATTTATGTTATAATTGTACATGGTCCCTTTTAAATAAATAAACTAAACTAAAAAAAAAAAAAAATTTGAAGATTATTGTGCATTACTTACAGAGAGCCGAAATGTTAACTTTTTAAAATATTGGCTATTGGTTTAAGTTCTTCCCATTTGGCTGAGATGCGACTGTGACGTTTACCTCATATGAAAAAATAATTACATCAAGGAAACTTCTGTATTTTTTTTACTGAAAAACAATGATTGCAAATCACAATTAGTACAAAATAATGAATTGAATAGAATTTATAAATATTCCTATGAACTGCCACAGCCGCTATGAGTCCAGCTGCTGTGATTGAAACAAAACTGGACGAAAAGAAGAGAGACTTTGTATTGTAGACTGTTTAATAATTAATTAAATAATGGTTTGATAATGTTTACTTGAGGGTCAATTGGGGGTTTCATCGTTTTCTTGATAAAATTAGATTTAAAAACGACGTAAAGCGTGCCATATTTTCTCAGACTCTTGGTGGGGGCAGCACTGACAATACACTTTGATGTCCACTAGGGGGCGGTGTGTTTGAGACCACTGAGACTAATGTCCATTTGGAAATGACGTCCCGGCCACCAGTTACAATGACAGACGATTTTATGACTTTATCTTTTATCGTTTATTATTGGTTGTTTTCTTATCTGCACCTTGAGTCTGTCATAGTGTATTCATAATAATTCCTTCTATTGATTCGTACATAGAACATACAACTGAAATAATGTATTTATGTATGTATTTGTTTTATGGCCTTGAACTTGGATGCATCAAACAACACCTCTTTTGATACGTGAAGACCATGTTTTATAATAAAACATGGTAAAAATAAGTAAAAGAGCCTCACCTGCCTTTGCCGAGGCGAATGTCGTGAACCAGGAGACTGTGGGTCATGAAGTACGTTGCCAGTGAGTTTTTGATGTCCTCGTACACGTTGGAGTGGTTCAGGTTCCCCACGTAGACGCAGAAACCTGAAGAGAGGAAGTGAAAATGACCAGACCAAAGGAAAATGTACTTAGTGCTTTCAGTGAGACGTCGTACCGTCGTTCATGAGTTTGGATTTCTTCGATGGAGACGGATCCGTTGTCTCTGCTTTCCTCTTTTTTACTTTTTCTAAAGCAAAAAACACAGGAGAAAATAAAGTTACGATATTTTCAGTTCGTAGACAGATGTTTAACTGAGACATCGTACCTTCATTATTGAGTTTGGTTTTCTTCAATGGAGAGGATTCCACCGACTCCACTGCTTCCCGTTTTTTTTTTTCTAATTAAAAAGATAAAAGAAAAAAAATGGTCACGAAAATATTCAGACTTTTTCAATTTGTCTTAACATGACATTATGTGATCACTGAAGCCTAATGGTTGGAAATATTACAACTTAAAGCTGGTGTACTGAATTTTCAAACAACAAATTCAAGTATGTAGTAAAATCCATGTAACAAGTTCCTTTCTCTCAAAACAGTCCTTTCTGGAGAACAGTGCTGAAGTCACACATGTCCCACAATGGCAAGGCAAGTTTATTTGTATAGCACAATTCATACAAAAGGCAACTCAAAGTGCTCAACAAAATAAGAAAAATCATAAATAATCACAGAACATTAAAAATAAAGATTAAAATATAAAATATAAAATCCCTCAGTTGTATGCACAGCTAAACAGAACTGTCTTTAACCTGGTTTTAAACATTGTCAGAGAGGAGGCCTGTATCACATCTTCAGGAAGATTGTTCCAGATTTTAGCAGCATGAATCTGAAAAGCAGCCTCCCCATGTTTAGTCCTGACTCTGTGCACTAACAGGAGTCCAGTCCCTGTGCTCCTCAGAGTCCCAGCAGGAGTCCAGTCCCTGTGCTCCTCAGAGTCCGGGCTGGTTCATATGGGACTAACATGTCACTAATATATTTTGGTGCGAGGCCATGGAGAGACTTGTAACAAGCAGAGCTGTTTTAAAGTCTATTCTCTGAGCCACAGGAAGCCAGTGCAGAGACCTGAGGACTGGACTAATGTGGTCGTACTTCCTGGTTCTAGTCAGGACTCGAGCTGCTGCATTTTGAATGTACTGCAGCTGTTTTACGGCCTGTTTGGACAGACCTGTGAGCAGGCCATTGCAGTAGTCTAACCTACTGGAGACAAATGCATGGATAAGAATCTCCAAGTCTGCTTTAGACACTATGTTTTTGATCCTGGCAATGTTTTTTAGATGGTAAAAAGCTGCTGATGCATATGGACACTCTTTGATCTACTCTTAGAAGTCTGACCAGAACCAGTTTGACCAGTTTCTGTGTGTGTCATGGGCTGGAGTTAATTTATTTCAGAGGTTTTATGCTACCTCCACAAAATGTCTTGACAGTAACATAAACCGTTTCAGTTTAAGTAAAGTGAAAAGTGAAACGTGTTGTGGTGAGTTCCTGAGTCGCAGTGTCTCACCACAGTCTGCTGTAAACTCCTCACTACACACTTCATACACGACACACAAGTCACGGTCAGTCCACGATGATAATATTAGTCACAATAACTGTCCGACTAAAGATATCACTTTCATAAAACTCTTTCTGTCGGACAAACAAAACAACCTATGCTTTTAAAATCGTTACACTTGAGACGCCAAACTTACCACAAACTACGACCCTGTTTAATAATAATAATTCGTTTTTATACTTGTGCGTTTTCTTTTGCGCGGGCCGCCGGCTGCTGCCTCCTCCGGGTTCGTTTGTGGCCTGGACACGTTCTCGTCAGTCGCAGCAGTTTCAGCGTCTGCAAAACAACCAACCATCAAATCAACAACAGGAGCCAAACAGGTAGACTCCAGGACTGTTCAGGCTCATCCCATTCAAATTATACTCGGACCTATACCTACTCTCGACCTTAATCACGAAAGAAGACTCCAGATTGGTCAGATGTTGTTCTGGCTCGAAAAGTGGATTTACAAAAGACATGATCCAAATTAAAAATCACAAAATATTTTAGCGGAATCTGAATCTGATTTGAAAGTTTGCAGATTAACTCACCAGTCCTCATCTCCAAGTGGCCAGTGGGTAGGTCCTCCGCTTGAGCCTGGTCCTCCGCTTGAGCCTGGTCCACCGCTTGAGCCTGGTCCTCCTCCTGAGCCTGGTCCTCCTCCGCTTCGGCCTGGTCCTTCGCTTCGGCCTGGTCCTCCTCCGCTTCGGCCTGGTCCTCCTCCGCTTCGGCCTGGTCTACAGCTTGAGCCTCGTCTCCTGCCTCAGCTGGGTCAACCGCTTCGGCCTGGGCTTCTGCTTTAGCCTGGTCTCCTGCTTCAGCCTGGTCTTCTTCTTGAGCCTGGTCTAAAGCTTCAGCCTTGTCTACAGCTTCAGCCAGGTCTACAGCTTCAGTCTTGTCTCCTGCCTCAGCCGGGTCTCCTGCTTCAGCCTGGACTTCAGCTTGAGCCTGGTCTTCAGCTTGAGCCTGGTCCTCAGCTTGAGCCTGGTCCTGGTCTTTCGTTTCCCAGGCCACACTCACAGTTGGTGCACTGCCTTTTACAACATTGGGATTGAGACGTCGACTTTGTCGTCTTCTGCCAATGGGGATCTGAAATACACAGTATTTTTTTTACTGCTAATGCAATCTTACATTTAAAGTTTGAGGATCTAACCTTTTGTTTTATAAATAATATATTTGGTTTGTCCTAGAAAGAGGTATAACATTTAGTAAACAAATCAACAACACACTGTCTTCATCTCGGAAAATGTATATCTTATATCTGTATCTTTTGCAAAGCACTGTCTAAAGCTGTAAACCATGTCTGAGGGCGGTGGATCACTCTCCATGCTTCTCCTGACATACATCTAACATTCAACGCTCTCTTCACGCCATCATTTCATGCATACCCTGGCCTTCCGCTCGTCTACTAAAGAAAAAATATAAATGTATAATATTGTATTATATGCACGTAAAGACACGTGTAGGTCTCCAACTGTTTTGAGAGAAGTTAGATTGATTATTGTTATTTCGATTACTACAGAGTTCAAACAGCTATGTGGTCTGAAAGTTAGGATAGTTCCCCAGCTTTGATTTAAACTGTTGAATTTGGCTTCAACATCAGTGCATATTCAACACATGCATTCCATTGCGTCACCGTATACTCTGATTACATAGGAGAACTTTACTTACGTTCATTTTCGCCATATTTCACCAAAAAAATCAGCAGAAATGCACGTGTTTACATCCGTTTACATATATCCACATGGATTTTACTGCGCATGCGCCCTGAACTACACTGTACTACGGACTCCGAGGTGGACATGTTTCATTTTTGCGTTTCAGAGTGAAAGTAAAAAAAGAATTAACAATTGGTTTTCTCAACATCCTACAGACCACGACATTTTCATCTGATGAGAAATAGCGTAAATATACACACATAGATACATTTATCCTATAATACATCCATGTCACACATACATAAAGACATACGTATACAAATATATATACACACACATAGTTACATATATCAAGGCAGTTTGTATGTTTTCAATCAAAGTGAAATTATTTTCCATTGACATAAAACATCCGAGGCAAAATAAAAGTTTTAAAATTTGAGCATTTCCGGGTTTTCATCCAATCACCGATCGTTAAAGTACTCTCAGCTCATTTGGCGTCATGCCGTAGACGAGCCCACACTCTACGTCGTGCTGAACTTGTCAGAGGAGAACGTCAACAAATGTACTTTTCAACCCCAAATGTTTGCGAATCCTGGACAGAAACCGCGGTTCGAAGGTCGACTCGGTGCCCGGACTAACCCCAGAGGAACAAGTGGGATCCCGGGGACAGATCATGCTCGGAGTTACCCTGGCAGTAAACAGAGGAGTTATAGGAGCTGAGAGCATGGAGGTGGATATCTGAAGCAAAACAGAAGAATCAGGGCCTCTGCGATGGGCACACAGCGAAACGGCTTCAGAAAGGAGAGTTTTATTCTTTCTGTGGACGTTGGGACGACTTCCATCAGATGTCACGTTTACGACAAGCAGGCGAAAGTCAGGGGGTCGTGCGTCAGTAAGGTATGGGCAAATATCTTTACACAACTCTCCAGGCTCAAAACCTATTTATTCAGACTGGATTTTAACACTTTTATCACTCAATAGCAGGTGACACTTTTTTAAATGTTTTTTGACTGTTTTATTGTTTTAATGCATAAATGTTTTAAATTGATTTTATGTCATTTTATTGAGAAGCACTTTGCTCGTCTTGAGTGTTGTAAAGGGCTCTATAAATAAAATTGATTGATTATGTTATAGCTACAGAAGTTCAATTTTTAGTTTAAATAAAAAAAACGTGGAGTGTTTCTGCTATGGTTTCTATACTCTGTGCTTGTTCATCTAACATACGGGTAAAAACTACCATCATCCAAACTCAGTCGAAGAAAAGCAATGATTCTGGGAAAATTGAAAGAACTATGCACACTGGGAAATGGATATTAAAGGGGACCTAACTAGCCAACTCATCTACTTTTTGACACGTGATGGTCTGGTTGCTCAGGCTACATAAAGCTCGTATACGTAAGTTTTGGACTGAATAGTAGAAGAATCTTGCGTCAGATTTTTTTGAGTTTTTTGTTTTGCTTTGCATGTTTATGGCAGGGGTTTTAAAGTCATTTTGGTCAGGGCCAACACAGGCCTGTGTCTGCGTTGGTTTTCCTCTGGGTGCTCCGGTTTCCCCTACCACTAAAAATATGTTTAATAGTTCAGGGTGTGTGGTTGTGAGTGCGATTGTGGGACGACGGATGGAAATTAACCCAAGCCAACATTCCGGAGTGATGTGTTCATTAACATGTACTAACCCAACTATATAAACTTAAACTTAAAACATGTAATTGTCATAAAATGTGTTTTTATCATCTGGATTTGAACCAAACCTGCACCAAATATCTCATATCATATATCAATATACCAAATATCATATTGTTTTATATATTTCTAATGGTGTGTTGGGTAAACATTGTAAAATTACTTAAATGCAACAACTGCATTTATTTGAGAAAATAGTACACAACATACGATTTTAATTACATGTGTGATTTCAATTGTGTTTTTAATGGTGATTTTTGTGTTTCATGTGATGATTTGTGCCTTGCGTGATGTGGACTGTAAAGTACTTTTATTTTATTTAGCATAAAGTTATTGTTCATTTATCTTGTGTTGTGTGCTCCTCATCCCTACTGATCTGTAACTTGTGATGCAACACTGACATTTCCCCACTGTCTTACCCTGTGAAGGATTAGCGCTCTACAAATAAGGTCAATTCATGCCATCGTAGTCCATACCATCAACGCTGCAAGTTCATGTTGATAATCCAAGATCCTGTTAGGGGCCACTCCAAAAAGTCTCGAGGGCCATATTTGGTCCACAGGCCTGAGTGTGACATGGAAGAAAAATTATTAAAAACATTCGACGGGATTTTGATTAGAATCATTTGCATATGCTCAAAATAAAATGACATTTGTTTTTTGATATAATGCTAACAAACACATTACTTTAACAGCACAATTAGACTATTACTGCAGACAGTTTTAAACAAATAGTGAACGATTATTTTCACACAACGTTTAAGATTAAGCCAAAGCAAATTCCTGGTTTAGTTTTAAGTAATCTTTATTTATATAGCGCCTTTCACAGACCAGAGTCACAAAGCACTTTACAATTGTTGTCATTTGTCTCTCACTCCACAGAGAATGTGACGAGGCACATGCCAGATCTGTTGTACATGCTTTTAGTGGTAGGGTAAACCAGAGCACCTGGAGGAATCTTACAGAGACACAGGGAGAACATACAAACTCCTCTCAGAAAGGCCCTGTTCCGACTGCGATTTGAACCCAGGACCTTCTTGTTGAGAAGCGAGAGTGCTAACCACTCAGCCACTAGTTTGTGATTTCCTGTTTCTTTTAACGGAAATGCAAAGAATTATGACTCACTGTGAGGAGAGTTCATTTCAGTGTTTGGTAAAGGTACAAAAGTGTGACAAAAGGCCACATTAGATTTTAATAATCAGAAGATAGTTAATGTTTTTCATCTAAATCTCTCCTCTGTCCTTTAGAAGTTGCAGAACAGAACTGTTTTATAAATTTTTTCTGTTTCCCGAAGCGTTCCCTGTTTATATTGTCACGGACCTGATGATTTGACGGAATGAGCTGCAGAAGTTTGTTACATATTTTCACATTTGATTCAGACTAGATTCTTTTTTTAGAAACAAAGTGAGATTTTTATAATAAACCATTAAATGTGAAACCAGACCATCTTTTTTTTCTCTCAAGTTTAATTTTTTTTGTTTTTGTTTTTCACGTCCGTTACACATTTTTTAAAGGTCATTAAATGTGTAATTCTAAAAAAAAAAAAGATTCCCATTTAAATAAAGTGATTTCCTGATGTTAATGTTAATCTGTGGATTTCATCTGTGGCTTTGTCAGACTGAGGACATTTCATTTTCACTGAGTCACAGAAGAATGATCAAATCTGAGGCTGATTAGGTTTAAAATGTCTTCAAAAATTGTCAATCTTTCCTTTTGATTTTCTCCACAACATCTCTTTGATATGTCTGTGTTTTAAATATTTGTTTTCTAATCTATGATAGTAATCATAGGATAGGGCGACAGTAGCTCAGTTGGTAGAGCATTGGCCTTAAGGCCAGAAGGTTATGGGTTCAATTCCTTCTCCATCGACTCCCACTGATGACTGCTGTCGTTGTGTCCTTGGGCAAGACACTTAACCCCACTTTGCCCAAAGCCCCCACTGAAAGATCAAGGCTATGCTCACACTCAGAGCATAGCCACATAGAGCCGTCCTCCTGTGGACTCACCAGGATCAGTGAGGGGCTGGTGCTATGAGACTTGGGTGGCATCTCTGACTGTCACCCCCCTGACCCAGAAATGGATTAAAGGGTAGAAAATGGATGGATGGATGGATGATAGTAATTTTAGTTTTTGAATTATAACCTTTTAAAGTCCAGATACTTTAATTTCCACTTCACTGTGAACACATGTATTAGAACCTCCTAGCTTCTTTTTTGCTGTAATTTGCTGTTTAACTTTAAACATATATATTTCATCAGAGAATGCTCTACAATATATGGTTAATAAATAAGTGATTACCAGGTGATTTTCCCACTTGGAGAAAGTAATAACAACTATATGTAACACAAGTATGTACTAGGCTAGGTGTCTGGTGTTGTGTTTCCTCTGCTTCCTCATCAGTTATGGTTCACTGACTTTAACAGGTGGTTCAAATTCCACCTGGTCTATTTTGATCGGGTCACGGCTCATGTCACAACACTTTCTCCCCAAAATTAGAGAATCAAACAGCTAGAACACAGGGAATGCAAAAACACAGGAGCCACTGGTCCATACACTGCAAAAAGTTAAAAAAATCTCATGCCTTAAAATTTTTGCCTATGGGACAAAAAGATACAAGTTTCATGTTGTCTCAATATCTGTATGTCATTGTTTGTTCCCATGTTTTGTTGCGGCATCACAACTTTTTTTTTTTATACTAATCACTTTACCATTATTCACTCCTGTATGTCTATTTTTCACTTAATAAAAAAAAAAAAAAGTACACGGTTTTGTCTCGTTGATAAATCTTGTTTTAAGGCAGAGTGTACTTGAATTAAGATACATTTATAGCCAGATTTGTACCTTTTTTTGACTTTTTTTATATAACTTTTTGCAGTGTATGGCTGTATGGCTCCTATGTGTTATTGCATTTCCTGTGTTTCGAACTGTTTGATTCTCTGATTTGTTGCTGGTGAATCGACAGTCTTGCAAAGTCCTCAGTGACGACTGTTTGTGATTTAGGGCAGTACAAAATTAATTGAATTGAATTGGTGCAGGTGTAACGTCGAGATGCACTGCCTTGTCGAGATGCACCATGCTTACAACTTAGATTTTGTTTATTCTTTCCATTATCAACCCGACAGACCAGTTGCATGCTAGCAGCTGTCGAGTTAGCCACAAGACGCTATCATAACAGGAGCAGTTGACTACTGAAATCAAACTTTACACGAAACTTTGACTCTTAAAACACACACATCACAACACGGAACCATCAACATCTCGCCTCAAATTGCATCAAAAGTGACATTCGTAACTCTATTCGTTTATATTTAAACTTTTAAAGCAATTGGGCTGCCGTGAGAAGCGCATGCACAGGTTTGAATTACATCATAAACAGCTGAGGCAGTGCATCTCGACACCTGTTTGCCGTCTAATTAGTAATTTTCTTTAAATAAGAATGGGGTAGGAGTTTATACGATTTTGTTTTCTTCATCCTACTCCTGTTCTTCCTGTCATTGAATGTATTACTGTTGTAAATGCTGGATTATTGTTATATTTTGTTGCATTACCATGAAAAAAGGGAACAAAATACTGTATAAACAAAAGAAATGAATTGAGCAAAGTTTTTGGTATTGATCAGCTCAAGTCCTAGATAAAACTCGGCAAAATGGTGTTGGTGAGATTATGGAGGTTGATAACAGATGAGTTTCTTCACTGCCAATGATAAAGATTGATTGTGGCGATTTCTCGTGTTGTTTTGTGAGTGTTGTGGTGATTTATTGTGTTGTTGTGTGAGTGTTGTGTTGTGTTGTTGTGTGAGTGTTGTGGTGATGAGTTGTGTTGTTTCCAGGTGGTTCTCGTGTATCCAGAGGACGGACACGTGGAGATCGAGCCGGACGCTCTGTGGAAGGGATTTATTACTGTGGTCATTGGAGCCGTCCAAGGTACACCCTCTCAGTAGTAACGTCGGTGCTACTTTAGTTTGACATCATGCAGTGTTGATGTCAGGGATGGACGAGCTCGCAGTAAGGAATGCATAAAAGAAACCGAAAAGAAAATCACTTTTATTTTCCCCACAGTGAAAGAATCAAGGCACTAGTGAGTGTTCAGTATATGTGGGAGGAGTCGAGGTGAAACATGAGATTGGCTCAACAACAAGACAACAAATTTTTCCTTGTATTATATTTGTGTCGATTTCAATATTAGAAAAAAAATGGAAAGATACCAATTTCCATACCACTACAATTATTCACTGAACCTTTTCTTTGAAGTTTCCTTTAAATGTAAAGTGTCATTATTATTATTATTATAAATTCGCCTTTTGGAAAGTACTGTTCAATCGAATCAAATTGATCAAGAAATGTCATATTTTCTCTTGTTGATGTAATTAATTCAATTCAATGTATTTTTGTGCAGCCTTAAATCAAATAAGCAGGTATCTCGGAGGACTTTACAAAGTTGTTGATTCAGAGAATCAAACAGTTCAAACAAAGGAAATGTAATGATAAAAATCACACAGACCCATTGGTCCATAAAGGGCAGAGACCAAGGTCCATAAATGTTGTTTAAACATAATAATCACGTTTTGAAACCAGCTTCAGTTCTTTATACTTTTGGATATTTTTGGCAGAGTTCATACATTGGACAAAGACATCTGAAGGCTCTTGTGTTTTCAGAAAAGTGAAACATTTGAAAATTTGTCACAAGCTATTTTTTTATATCTTTTCAGTCTTTGTAGCTCTGCTTTTGGGAACGACAGCCTCTCAAAAACCACCACAAAACTCATAGTAACACCAGGCACCACAGTGGGGCAGCTGCAAACTGCCAAACTGTCAATGTAGGCACATTATAGGCAAGACACTTCACCCATATTTCCCCTCAGAGGAGCTGATGGCACATACTGGTGGCCTCCGTTCTGTCAGTGTGCCCCAGGGCAACTGCGGCTACAGTTTTATGGAGTGAAATAATAATGACATGTGAAGCGTCTTTGAGGGACTTTAAAAGCTCTATAAAACTTATATTACATTATATTATTATATTCTTATCTCATCTGAAGCATAAACACTTGGCCTCTCTGAACAGATGCAGGGATCCAGATGCGTCAGATCGAGGCCCTGGGGATCTCCACACAGAGAGCCACGTTCACCACATGGGACCGGTAACGACCTTATGTCTGCTGTTAGCGAAGCATCTGCATAATTAGGTTATTCGCGTTTATTGGTCAATTGTATTTTCCGTCTCGACAGGAGGACTGGGGTTCCCTTCCATAACTTCATCACGTGGCAGGATCGCCGAGCCGCAGAACTGGTCAAGTCCTGGAACAGGTCGTGCACCATGAAAGTAAGGCTTATGTTATTGTCTGGGCCAGAGGTCTCACTTGTTCTCACCCTGAGAGCTACTTTCTCAGGACTCGAATGACACAGAGAGCTACTTTCTCAGGACTAGAATGACACAGAGAGCTACTTTCTCAGGACTAGAATGACACAGAGAGCTACTTTCTCAGGACTAGAATGACACAGAGCTACTTTCTCAGGACTAGAATGACTCAGAGAGCTACTTTCTCAGGACTAGAATGACACAAATCTACTTTCTCAGGACTAGAATGACACAGAGAGCTACTTTCTCAGGACTCGAATGACACAGAGAGCTACTTTCTCAGGACTAGAATGACACAAGAGCTACTTTCTCAGGACTAGAATGACACAGAGAGCTACTTTCTCAGGACTAGAATGACACAGAGCTACTTTCTCAGGACTAGAATGACTCAGAGAGCTACTTTCTCAGGACTAGAATGACACAGATCTACTTTCTCAGGACTAGAATGACACAGAGAGCTACTTTCTCAGGACTAGAATGACACAGATCTACTTTCTCAGGACTAGAATGACACAGAGAGCTACTTTCTCAGGACTAGAATGACACAGATCTACTTTCTCAGGACTAGAATGACACAGAGAGCTACTTTCTCAGGACTAGAATGACACAGAGAGCTACTTTCTCAGGACTCGAATGACACAGAGAGCTACTTTCTCAGGACTAGAATGACACAGAGAGCTACTTTCTCAGGACTCGAATGACACAGAGAGCTACTTTCTCAGGACTAGAATGACACAGAGCTACTTTCTCAGGACTAGAATGACTCAGAGAGCTACTTTCTCAGGACTAGAATGACACAGAGAGCTACTTTCTCAGGACTAGAATGACACAGAGCTACTTTCTCAGGACTAGAATGACACAGAGAGCTACTTTCTCAGGACTAGAATGACACAGAGAGCTACTTTCTCAGGACTCGAATGACACAGAGAGCTACTTTCTCAGGACTCGAATGACACAGAGAGCTACTTTCTCAGGACTCGAATGACACAGAGAGCTACTTTCTCAGGACTAGAATGACACAGAGAGCTACTTTCTCAGGACTAGAATGACACAGAGAGCTACTTTCTCAGGACTAGAATGACACAGAGCTACTTTCTCAGGACTAGAATGACACAGAGAGCTACTTTCTCAGGACTAGAATGACACAGAGCTACTTTCTCAGGACTAGAATGACACAGAGAGCTACTTTCTCAGGACTAGAATGACACAGAGCTACTTTCTCAGGACTAGAATGACACAGAGAGCTACTTTCTCAGGACTAGAATGACACAGAGAGCTACTTTCTCAGGACTAGAATGACACAGAGAGCTACTTTCTCAGGACTAGAATGACACAGAGAGCTACTTTCTCAGGACTAGAATGACACAGAGCTACTTTCTCAGGACTAGAATGACACAGAGAGCTACTTTCTCAGGACTAGAATGACACAGAGCTACTTTCTCAGGACTAGAATGACACAGAGCTACTTTCTCAGGACTAGAATGACACAGAGAGCTACTTTCTCAGGACTCGAATGACACAGAGAGCTACTTTCTCAGGACTCGAATGACACAGAGAGCTACTTTCTCAGGACTCGAATGACACAGAGAGCTACTTTCTCAGGACTAGAATGACACAGAGAGCTACTTTCTCAGGACTAGAATGACACAGAGAGCTACTTTCTCAGGACTAGAATGACACAGAGCTACTTTCTCAGGACTAGAATGACTCAGAGAGCTACTTTCTCAGGACTAGAATGACACAGAGAGCTACTTTCTCAGGACTAGAATGACACAGAGCTACTTTCTCAGGACTAGAATGACACAGAGAGCTACTTTCTCAGGACTAGAATGACACAGAGCTACTTTCTCAGGACTAGAATGACACAGAGAGCTACTTTCTCAGGACTAGAATGACACAGAGAGCTACTTTCTCAGGACTAGAATGACACAGAGAGCTACTTTCTCAGGACTAGAATGACACAGAGAGCTACTTTCTCAGGACTAGAATGACACAGAGCTACTTTCTCAGGACTAGAATGACACAGAGAGCTACTTTCTCAGGACTAGAATGACACAGAGAGCTACTTTCTCAGGACTAGAATGACACAGAGAGCTACTTTCTCAGGACTCGAATGACACAGAGAGCTACTTTCTCAGGACTAGAATGACACAGAGAGCTACTTTCTCAGGACTCGAATGACACAGAGAGCTACTTTCTCAGGACTCGAATGACACAGAGAGCTACTTTCTCAGGACTAGAATGACACAGAGAGCTACTTTCTCAGGACTAGAATGACACAGAGAGCTACTTTCTCAGGACTCGAATGACACAGAGAGCTACTTTCTCAGGACTAGAATGACACAGAGAGCTACTTTCTCAGGACTAGAAATGACACAGAGAGCTACTTTCTCAGGACTAGAATGACACAGAGAGCTACTTTCTCAGGACTAGAATGACACAGAGAGCTACTTTCTCAGGACTAGAATGACACAGAGAGCTACTTTCTCAGGACTCGAATGACACAGAGAGCTACTTTCTCAGGACTCGAATGACACAGAGAGCTACTTTCTCAGGACTCGAATGACACAGAGAGCTACTTTCTCAGGACTCGAATGACACAGAGAGCTACTTTCTCAGGACTCTAATGACACAGAGAGCTACTTTCTCAGGACTCGAATGACACAGAGAGCTACTTTCTCAGGACTCGAATGACACAGATAGCTACTTTCTCAGGACTAGAATGACACAGAGAGCTACTTTCTCAGGACTAGAATGACACAGAGAGCTACTTTCTCAGGACTAGAATGACACAGAGAGATACTTTCTCAGGACTAGAATGACACAGAGAGCTACTTTCTCAGGACTAGAATGACACAGAGCTACTTTCTCAGGACTAGAATGACACAGAGAGCTACTTTCTCAGGACTCGAATGACACAGAGAGCTACGTTCTCAGGACTAGAATGACACAGAGAGCTACTTTCTCAGGACTAGAATGACACAGAGAGCTACTTTCTCAGGACTAGAATGACACAGAGAGCTACTTTCTCAGGACTAGAATGACACAGAGAGATACTTTCTCAGGACTAGAATGACACAGAGAGCTACTTTCTCAGGACTAGAATGACAGAGAGCTTCTTTCTCAGGACTAGAATGACACAGAGAGCTACTTTCTCAGTAACAGAATGACACAGAGAGCTTCTTTCTCAGGACTAGAATGACACAGAGAGCTACTTTCTCAGGACTAGAATGACACAGAGAGCTACTTTCTCAGGACTAGAATGACACAGAGCCTTGGATGTTACTGTTACTATCGACAGTCCTTAATTCAAATTTTTTACATTTTTAGTTATCATTTACTAAAGATGTGGGCATAAGAATATTATATGTTTGATTGCCAGAATATGTTTGTAAAATCTAAACCATTTTTGGGAGCTACTTGGAAGGGCCGAGGGGTGGCAAGGTACCTGAAGCTCCTGAGCTGGAGATCTCTGCTCTAGGTCGGTGATTCTCAATTTCTAGCAGCCCACCTGGCAGAAAAGACTAAATGTCCATTGCCACAGTGTTCTCCCCTGGCCTAGATGAAGGAGATGACAATAGTTGGTGTTTTTGGAGCCAGTTTTTGCAGTGTAATATCTGTGTTGATGGCTCTTGCTCTTGTACCACGTGTGTGTGTTCCACTGCTGCATGTGTTTAACGTGTGCGTAGACAGGGCCTTTCTGTGTGGAGTTTGCATGTTCTCCCCATGTCTGCTATAGCTTTCCTTGTGGTGCTCTGGTGTGTTACTGTGAGTGTGTGTTTGTGCGACTGTAGGCCCAAGGTACAATCTAGCTTATTTACAGCACCAGTTGTACCTGATCAATACTCTCCAAACAAACAAATACATGTAAATAATTCATGTTGTGTGCTCTACAGGCCATCCACGGCGTGATGAAGGCGCTGTACTTCCTGAGTCGGCAGAAGCGATGTCTGGCCGCCAGCCTCATCGTGTTTTCCACTCAACACGTGACGCTGAGGCTGGTCTGGGTCCTCAGCCACTACTCACAGGTAAACGGGTCTTCACTCCAACTTTTACTATTAAATTGCAATGTACATAGAAATATACAGAAATCTTACTATAGGAGCCTGCAGTTTTGTTTGAAGTATTACAAACATAAAAGTAAATAACAAACAAAAACGACATATATTCAGTAAGACGAGTCACAACAACACATATTTTAAGACTTTATGACTTTTACTTTCAATGTCTTTTGATGAGTTTTTGAATAATTATTGGGAATAATGACAAAATAAGCTCTGAGTTGTGTCTTAGCTCCAACCTGAACAACTGTAACATCCAGAAACCAGTGGAAGAACTAGTCTTAGTTACTTGTATTCTTGTATAGCCGTACTCTGCAAGAAGGTCCTGGGTTCGAGTCCACCTCTAGGCCTTTCTGTGTGGCGTTTGCATGTTCTCCCCGTGTCTGCGTAGGTCTCCTCAATAGGTCTGAATGGATGGTGTTGATTATAACTGCACATTGTAACATTTATGAGGACCATTGACTGTAAAATGCGCTATTATTTTAAATGTAAAATTAATCCACACTTGGGTTTAACCTGATATTTCCAAGATCAGGTTAAAGGGGACGACATGAACAAACACAGATGCATAATGTTTGTTCCTGAAAGCAAAAGGTCAGATGGAGTTAAACAGCGCGTGCAGATCACATGAGGAAGGCCGCTGCTCCGCTCGGCTTGGATTTTGTTTTTCCCGAATCAAAACCAGTCTTGAATAAACAAATGTGAGGAGGTTTTAAGTCTCTGTCCTCCGAGTTCTGTAGATTAAGCCGCAGTATTTGCCACATTTCATTTAATTGTGTTGGTATATTTACAATTTACAATATGTATTTACAAATGTGATTCTATTTACAATTTTTCAGCTCGAAATGAGAAAGAAGTAGAACCTTTGTAGACTCTCCCCCCGTGATTGTTTGTTGTCACCTCGTTCCACATGTTCAGGCTCAGAGTCCAGGCCTTTTCAACAGTTCATATTGGATTTCCTCTTCCTCAGATCAGACAGGCCGCCTCTGAAGGGAATTGTTGCTTCGGGACAATAGACACCTGGCTGTTGTTCAAACTCACAAAAGGTGAGTTTCTCCAATAAGACCAAGTTTTGAAACCTAAAAAATCAACTCTAGAGCTGGGAAAATTCTCACGCTCGTCTTTTGTGCTTGCTTCAAATAAATGTGTTTTTATATTGCTCAGTGCATTGGCTGTAATAAAGTGTCTTATCTAAAGTATATTAGCGCAAACTTGGACAAGAATTTGAAGAACAATTTTCTCATGGTAACTTCATAGTAACCAAAGAGCCAATCAGGAGTGGCGATGGTTCATTCCCACTCGCAGTCACTTATTAAGGGTTAGATACACTAATGCATATCATAAATGCACTAGGACTGATAAAAAACTGCTCTGCTACTGCCACTCTTTCTTTTATTGCCACTTTTTTATTGTACATAATTATATCATGTACTGACTATATTATTAACCTTTAACATGTTGTACAATCTGAGTGATTCTAGAGACTTGCGCTGCTCTCGTCAGCCCAAAGTAGGAACCCTGTGTATTGTTGCCCGTGCAGTCAAAATACATTAGAAAAATATTTGTGCTGCAGCTCCACGCGCCCCCCCAGCACCTGTATTTAACTTAAACAGGAGGGCTGCCAGGTTTGACTCTGATTCTGGACATCAGAGTCAAACCTGGAGAGGCACTCATCACTCGCTGCAGTTGTGGTGTGTACTGGCCGCAATATTCAATTAAAAAACACATGATTAAGCCCAAAACGGTGAGTGTGATATGAACGATTTACAAAGCTCGAGGAGGTTTACTTTTCTTTTCAAATGTATGTGAATTCCAGAAAGGGTTAGGGTTAGGACTCCAGACTCCACCGACCCTTTTGAGGACCGGTTTGACACCCTGAGCTCGAGGGTTAGCATTGTCCAACCATATCTAAGGCTCAATTACATATACCACACTTGTCATTATAGCAGTGAGATGAGTGCCCCCTGATGCTTTAACGTATAGAGCAGCAGAGATGGAGTGTGACGACTTGTACGATCAAATATATTGCATGGTAAACAAGAATAAGCACAACAGATTGATTTGATTGCAGGTCGTGTTCACGCCACAGACTTCTCCAACGCCAGCTCCACAGGGATGTTTGACTCCTATCAGGTTTGGCTCCTCCCCTTTTCACCATTCTGATCCGCTTCGGGGTTTTTTTCTTCTAGTGCTTTAACTATTTGGGTATCATACATATATTATATTACTAAAAAAATACTGAAAATTCTTACAGCTACTTGTGCTGTATGTTTTGTGTGCGCCTATATAGAACCACATGTGTTACTGCCACTTTACTGAGTCACTTTGTCTGCTATGCTAATGCTAATTCTGCTAACATGTACAGATGTAAAGACACAACTATATATTACTTGCACTAGAATATACAGAATTTTATAGTAGCTTCTTATTATGCTAAAGTCATGGGTTTTTGTACTTAATTCTTGCTTCTTCATCATGCTAAAGTGCAAAAATTTAGACTTATTTTCTTTATTATGCTAAAGAAAGAGATTTAATACTGCTTTGTTGTTATTAATTCACCTTGTGCTGTGTGCTCCTCATTCCTACTGTCTGTAACTTTTGACGCAACCCTGAAATTTCCTCACTGCGGGACAAATGAAGAATCTTTTAATTGTATCTGTGTTTTTTTCTATTCTTGCGTTTTGACAGATGTGCTGGAGCGAGTTCTTGTGCTTCGTCTTGTCGCTGCCTTTGTCCATTTTACCTTCAGTTCAAAACACAAAGTGAGTGAGTGTTTCTCCTGTTGTGTTTTCTGTCACCGTTTCCGTCGCCTTTTTTGATAATTACCACATTTCTCACATCCTCCGCTTCAGCCACGACTTCGGCAGCACTGATCCGTCCATCTTCGGAGAGTCCATCCCCATCCGCTCCTTGGTGAGTCCCATCAATATAGATCAGGGTTTGCACGGTCAATCGCGAAATGAGATATTGATAATTATATTTTCTGATTCTAGTTGTATAATTCTGAAATGATGCAGCTTTAACACCTGTAGATACAAATAAGACTGTAAGTGTATGTATGTATATATGCACATGTGAAGTGTGAGGTAACAAAATGGGTAGGTATTCTAAAACTTGTTCTCCTTCTCTGCTCCGTTTGAATCACTCACTTTGAATGAAATAAATAAAATAAATGAAATGCTGCCTCCCCATGTTTAGTCCTGACTCTGGGACCAGCATGAGGCCAGTCCCTGTACTCCTCAGACTCACCAGCAGGAGGCCAGTCCCTGTGCTCCTCAGACTCACCAGCAGGAGGCCAGTCCCTGTGCTCCTCAGACTCACCAGCAGGAGGCCAGTCCCTGTGCTCCTCAGACTCACCAGCAGGAGGCCAGTCCCTGTACTCCTCAGACTCACCAGCAGGAGGCCAGTCCCTGTACTCCTCAGACTCACCAGCATGAGGCCAGTCCCTGTGCTCCTCAGACTCACCAGCAGGAGGCCAGTCCCTGTGCTCCTCAGACTCACCAGCAGGAGGCCAGTCCCTGTACTCCTCAGACTCACCAGCATGAGGCCAGTCCCTGTGCTCCTCAGACTCACCAGCAGGAGGCCAGTCCCTGTGCTCCTCAGACTCACCAGCAGGATGCCAGTCCCTGTGCTCCTCAGACTCACCAGCAGGAGGCCAGTCCCTGTGCTCCTCAGACTCACCAGCAGGAGGCCAGTCCCTGTGCTCCTCAGACTCACCAGCAGGAGGCCAGTCCCTGTGCTCCTGATGGCGACATGTATAAAAGTTGTATAAACTCTGGCTTTGGCCTTATGTCTGTATCAACGTATAATTACCCCAGAGCTGTAATTCCAGTTATGCCAACGTGTCACTGCCATCAGATTGTAAAGTGAAAGGAAGAAAAAGAAAATATCAATTCTCCCATGACTAACGTGCTTTTAAAACTGTTAAAAAACAAACAAAAAAGACATGCTCACTCCTTCAAATCAAAAAGTGAGAATTTTTGGTCAAATTGAAGCAACATTTCTTTCCATTTTTACAACAGTAAATGATCCAGCTTTATTGTTCCAAATGTATTATCTATTGTTATATGTTAAAAACAAAAGAATGCTGTTGGCAGGAATATGTGAGCGTATAAACAAGGTCTTAGGGAGGAGTGGGTTTGAACAGAATTGTGTGACGAATAGATAAGAGAACCTTTTATTTGTCTCAAAGTGGGGGAAATGTTGATGTTTCGACGTTGATTCCGCCACTATACTCAAGCTAAAGAGACAATAGCAGTCTTTGTGATTCCCTAACAGCCTCTGCTCGAGCTCTTAGATCTGATCGGTTCTGTAAACTGTCCTCTTCAGGTGGCAGACCAGCAGGCCGCCATGTTTGGAGAATGCTGTTTTGACGTGGGCGACGTGAAGATCACCATGGGAACCGGGACCTTCATGGACATCCACACAGGCAGCAAACCGCACACCTCTGTGGCAGGTACGGCTCCTGTGTGGCTCGTTCAGGATCATTTGGGTTTAAAATGGGAATGGGGTTTTAGTCGTAGTCTTCTGCTAATGGGGTAGTACCAAGTCCCGCCCACTCGGCAGTCCGCTCTGGTTCCGGAAGTAAGATATCACAGGAGTTTTGACCAATCCAAAATGTTAAAGAAGAAATGGTGTGCATTGTTTTTGACTATTAACATTTATTTACTCCTCACTTTTGATATTACTTCACATTTCAAGACACAATAGGTAAGAAATATAGTATGGCAAGACAAGTATGAAGGGTAAAAAGAAAAAATGCTATCCACCTGCAACTCTCTATGTTGCCACCAGAGGGAGTCGTTCCAGTGGGAGGAGTTTCATCGTTTAGCTTTTGCAGTGAACTTGTGGTAAAAGTGTGATGCATCATGGCAGATCTGAGACAAAACTAACGTACATTTCTTTATTTTTTTACATTTGTTGCATAATTAAAATGTTGTATACTAATGATTTTGAAAATAGGCCCTCTGAAGAATGTGCACGGGGAAAAGCCCCAAGGACAAGGATTGCAAACAGGAATAAAGAGGGTCAAATGGAGAAACTACAATCAGTCATAGAGATACCAACTTTCAAAACGGGACAAATTATTAACTCCAGGAATAAACATTCTTGTCTCTCTGGCGAGGCCAAAAGTCCAAACCACCATCTGGCTAATCTCTCTCAGGCAGACTGGGAGATTCTCCAAAGGCATTCTGACGCCTCCCAGTGGACACGGGACGCCAGCACACCCGAAAAGAACATTCGGGAGACGCCCACAAGTGACGTCATCAGACGTCTTGATAAAACTGTTGGTTTGAGTTCTGGGGGGAAGGTTAGCGCAGGGGAAGAGGAGAGGGACATATTAGTTTAGGAGCACTTTTTTGTTGAATATTCTGTATCTGATTGTAAAGATAATTAAATGCAGATGTTAAACTTGGATATCTTCGTCTGATTTCTGTACCAAATTGTGGACACGCGAGCCAAAAGGGAGTTATTGGCTTCACATTAATACGGTATTTTATTTATTTAAATCTCAAAATTAGAAAGAATAATGGCATTGACAAAACCAATGAAGGAATTATTGAGTGGATTGAAGTTTGCATTTCCGTTATAACCTAATATTTACATTCTATAGTTGTAAATGTGTTGTGTGTTGTGTTGTGTGTAGGCCTGTACCCTGTTGTGGGCTGGAAGATGGGAGCAGAGGTGGTGTATCTGGCCGAGGGCAACGCAGCGGACACTGGGACCGCCATCAAGTGGGCTCAGGAGCTCGGTGAGGAACCTGGAGACTCATAACAATGGTTTTGGCAAATTATTTAATTTAGATTTTTAGGACAAACACTAACCATGAGATAGAAACAAAATATATGTGTGTTATTTTGTTCTGTGAAGTTGTGTTTGTGGATGTTATTTAAAAACCTTCTGGGAGTATATTTGGTCTGTTTGTGATGTTTCAGACCTGTTTACTGACGTGAAGGAGACCAGTGCCTTGGCCTACAGTGTGAGGGACTCGGGCGGAGTGTGCTTCGTGCCTTCCTTCAGCGGACTTCAGGTAAATCCTCAAACACTCATAATATAATATATAATCACAGCGACTTCATCTGTTTGTCATTAGTCAGGAAATGTACTTTTTAATCATTATTATTAGTATGAAATGTTACTGACAGAACTGTGGACAGCTGCACAGTGAGTGGGTGTATCCTTTGTATGGTAGACTAGGGCTAGGATTAGGACTAGGGTTTTGGTTGGGACTAGGGCTAGGGTTGGACTAGGGTTAGTTAGGGCTACGGTTTGGACTAGGGTTAGAGTTAGGGCTAGGGTTGGAACTACAGTAGGACGAGGTCTAGGGTTGGGACTAGGGTTAGGACTAGGACTAGGGTTAGGAATATGACTAGGGTTAGGACAAGGGCTAGGGTAAAGGCGAGAGTTGGGACTAGAGCAAGGGTTAGGACTAGGGTTAGAATTAGAACTAAGGTTAGGACTAGGGCTAGGGTTGGGGCTATGACTAGGGATAGAACTATGACTAGGGCTAGGGTTGGGACTAATACCATGGTAAGGACTAGGGCTAGGGTTGGGACTATGACTACGGATAGAACTATGACTAGGGCTAGGGTTGGAACTAGGGCTAGGGTTAAGGCTAGAGTTGGGACTAAAGATAGGGTTAGGAGAAGGATTAGGTCTAGGGCCTCAGCTGTCCATCATGTATTTAAATTAATTACGTCCAATCAGGACCCTGTGGGGGCGGGTCTAACTGGTCCTCTTATTTGCACTTCTCCTTGACCTTCTGTCTATCTTCAGCTACATTTACTCAAACACTTTTACAATGTCTCAATGATATATTTGTATTATCATGCATCCTCTCTCGATGACACAGTATTTGTCATAAATTCTGAATCGTGTGCTTTGTGTCTTTTGTCTGCTTTCGAACGTGACTGGCCTCTGTGTAAGTTCATAATCTGGGTTTAAGGAGTTCCTTATGAATGAAATGAAACCAGCTTGTTCTAACGTCTGTCTTTCCTCAAGGCGCCTCTGAACGACCCCAAAGCCTGCGCCTCCTTCATGGGCCTCAAACCCTCTACCTCCAAGTCACACCTGGTCCGCGCCATTTTGGAGTCCATCGTTTTCAGGTCCCAACAATATTATGCATTATTTATATTCATCTTGACTCATAAACTTGATTATTTGTTTTACTTTTCATGTTTAAGAATGTGTTGAAGCTGGAGTACCGTTTAATGAAATGTATTTTTGTATGGCCCTAAATCACAACAGTGGCTTTCTCAGAGGACAAAATTACCACCACTGTCCTTAAACTCTCCTGTATTGGCAACACCTCAAAAACCCAGTGGGGAAAAAACTAATTTTTTTAGTTTGATAAAAACGTTACATTTGTCCCAACAGAAAGAGTCTTGTTTCTGTTACATAAATCTGTTCTTTATGAGCTGTCTTTATTGTTTAGACACTGGGACCTGATTGGCTGAGGGCTGAGGGCTTTTTCACTGTAAAATCGCATCAAAAGAAGTGAGAGGATTTTTTTAAAAACGCGTGAAAACTATTGTTAGAACAAGGGGTGTGCTAAAAAAATAATACATTTTTAGATAAATAATAGTGAAAAATATTGATAAATAATTAAAAAAAATTAGACTATAGACTTTTTGTTTAGATTTTCAAGATTTTAATTTGAAAATATCATAAAAATATACAGTTTTTTTTATATATTTCCTTTTTTTGAAGAGACAATCCTTCAGTGGTGCGCACAGCTAAACAGAACAGACAGGACTATATTAGATTTTAATTAATGAGGGCTTATGGGATTATGTTTTCTAATGAGCTAAAAACTGCAGGTTGTGGTCTGATTTGTTCTGAAAATGTTACTTATAAAATAAACAAAGTCAAGATGATTATTTACATGCAGAACCATCTACATCCACTAGGGGGCCCCAAAGATGAATACATGTCTCTTCAGAAAAGACACTGCAGAAAAATGAGCCTCTGCTTCTGTGTGTTCCATCAACTTTAAATGTTGTTAAAGTGTCCCCTGTGTGTGTCCCCTGTGTGTGTCTCATGTGTGTGTCTCTTGTATGTGTCTCGTGTGTGTCTCTTGTGTGTCTCTTGTGTGTCTCCTGTGTGTCTCCTGTGTGTCTCTTGTGTGTCTCATGTGTGTGTCTTTTGTGTGCCCCCTGTGTGTGTCCCCTGTGTGTGTCTCTTGTGTGTGTTCTCTGTATGTGTCCCCTGTGTGTGTCTCCTGTTTGTCCCCTGTGTGTCTCTTGTGTGTCTCTTGTGTGTCCCCTGTGTGTGTCTCTTGTGTGTGTCTCGTGGGTGTCTCATGTGTGTGTCTTGTGTGTCCCCTGTGTGTCCTCTGTGTGTGTCTCCTGTGTTTCCCCTGTGTGTCCTCTGTGTGTCTCCTGTGTGTCTTTTGTGTGTCTTTTGTGTGTCTCCTGTGTGTCTCCTGTGTGTCTCCTGTGTGTCTCTTGTGTGTCTCTTGTGTGTCTCCTGTGTGTCTCTTGTGTGTCTCCTGTGTGTCTCCTGTGTGTCTCTTGTGTGTCTCCTGTGCGTCTCCTGTGTGTCTCCTGCGTGTCTCCTGTGTGTGTCCTCTTTGTGTGTCTCCTGTGTGTGTCCTGGACAACCATCTATAACTGTAACCTTTGTTTTTCCCTTTGATAGAAACAAACAGTTGTATGAGACGATGCTCAGAGAAACACGGATTCCAATCACAAAAATCAGGTGAATTTTTCTTATTTTTACTTTAAATGTTTTGGTATTACTTTGTTCTAGGCTCAGGACGAACAGGTTTTGTTGTGCGTTGATACAATTGAAGACATATTTGGGGAGAAATCTATTTGGATCAATATCAAAACGTAAAAATGATAAAATACTGAACCTTCCATCACAGATCATAACAACACAGCAGACACAACAATCAATAAAAACATCTCAGAAACAGATTTTTGTCATTATTGATCTCTAGCTGAGCCTGAAGGTTGTGGGTTCGAGCCCACCATGACACCTTCTCCACCGACTCCCGCTGATGCCTGCTGTCGTTGTGTCCTTGGGCAATTTTAAGGACACAAGATTTTCTTTATTTCTAGGGGTTTATCCTCCACACAAATGAATAAATACATTTCCTCTCACAGAATTTAAGTTTTATTGTATTAAAATAAATTTACCCCTTTTTCCGTTGCTGGTTCATGGAGGCAGTAGTCCGAGCCGAGACGCCCAGACACTGCCCTCTCCTCGCATACTCCCTTGTGTGTGTGTGTGTCTTTGTGTGTTCTGTGTGTGTGTGTGTCTCTGTGTGTTCTGTGTGTGTGTGTCTGTCTATCTCTGTGTGTTTGTGTGTGTGTCTCTATGTGTTCTGTGTGTGTGTGTGTCTCTCTGTTCTATGTGTTCTGTGTGTGTGTGTGTCTCTCTGTTCTGTGTGTGTCTCTCTGTTCTTTGTGTGTGTGTGTCTCTCTGTTCTGTGTGTGTGTGTGTGTGTGTGTGTGTTTGTGTGTGTCTCTCTGTGTCTGTGTGTGTGTGTGTGTGTGTGTCTCTGTGTGTCTGTGTGTGTTTGTGTGTGTCTCTCTGTGTGTGTGTGTGTGTCTCTGTGTGCTGTTTTCTGTGTGTGTGTGTGTCTCTGTGCACGTTTGCGTGTGTGTCTTTTTTGTGCTTGTCTTTGTGTGTGTGTGTGTGTGTGTGTCTCTCTGTTCTGTGTGTGTCTCTCTGTTCTTTGTGTGTGTTTGTCTCTCTGTTCTGTGTGTGTGTGTCTCTCTGTTCTGTGTGTGTGTGTGTGTGTTTGTGTGTGTCTCTCTGTTCTGTGTGTGTGTGTGTGTGTGTGTCTCTCTCTGTGTGTCTCTGTGTGTTTTTGTGTGTCTCTCTGTGTGTGTGTGTGTGTGTGTGTCTCTCTGTTCTGTGTGTGTGTGTGTGTGTCTCTCTCTGTGTGTCTCTGTGTGTTTGTGTGTGTGTGTGTGTGTGTGTGTGTGTGTGTGTCTCTGTGTGCTGTTTTTTGTGTGTGTGTGTGTGCCTTTTTGTATTTTTCTCTATGAATTATGTTGTTATTTTTTGTCTGCTTTACTTTATCCGTCTTTCTGTGCAATATTAGGAACCCGGTCAAAATTGCACAAGTTCTTTTGCATTAAAATAAACAGAAAAAAGAATTCATTCGGTTTCTTTCTTCCTATTCATCCGTTGCCGGGTCACGGAGGCTGCAGTCTGAGCCACTCTGCCCTCTCCTCGCTCACTCTCTCCAGCTCATCTGAAGGAACTCAATCTTTATAGCGCCAGACCTTTATTTAATACATATTGAATGCCGGTTCTCCACACATCCCCTTAGAGCCGCGAGATTCCCTCCGAACACTTCTTGGCCTTTCCCCAGAGCGGCACCTGAAACCCCGGACTTTTCATTCCGTCGTAACCGGAGCCTAGTCCATCTAATGCAACATGCTGGTGTTTGCAGAGCGGACGGCGGAGTCTCCTCTAACGACTTTGTGATGCAGCTGACGGCCGACCTGTTCGCCCGGAAAGTGGCCCGACCGGAGCACTGCGAGATGTCGTGTCTTGGCGCGGCGTACGTGGCGGGGCTGGCGGTCGGTAAGTTCACGCACACTCGGGAACGCAAGGAGACGAAGGCTGAGGAAAGGTCTAGGCTTGAAATGATTGGTTGAAATGCTTTTGACTATTACTACTGCCTCTGCTCATAGGTTCACTTTACATCAGGCATGTCCAAACTCAGGCCCGCGGGCAAATTGTGGCCCTCTGTGCCATTTTATGTGACCCTCTGCTGTGAACACAAAGTCGCCATTGAGGCACTTTGACAGCGTCATCCAACCAACTTCAGCTCCACCAAAACAGTCCTATACCTTGTTGTAAAACTCTGAAATCCAGTTGTTATTTGATACTTTATTGTAATTTACTGACATTTGTTTTATGATTGAGTCACAACATTCCACATAAAATGCAGCTGTGGTTTGAATCAATCGTATCATAACCCATTTTAAATTCCAGAAACCAGTCCATCCAGCTCCAATCCAGTTTTTAAATCCAGGTTATCGGCCCCAGCTCAAGTCTGATGAACTAAAGTGGCCCTCTTACTAAAAAGTTTGCTTTAAAAAGTAACTTTTAGCACATACCCTCATGCTGCTAACATGCACAGTAGCTACATCACAGTGAAACCCATCCTTTTGTCTAAATAACTTAATATTGTTTAATTGTTAATGCTGATTTTAAACTACAGTCAAACCTGGACAACATTGCACACACAAACAGACATAGTTCAGCCGTTCTTTTTACTTGGTCGCTATTTCCAAGGAGAGATGTCTTCACGGAGAGAGAGCACGGAGAGCAGATCTGACATCAGAATAGACCGTGACTTTCTTTTGGTAGAGAAGACACACAACATCATCATATGCAGATACAGTAGGAATGGAAGAAAGGAACAAGGAGACGAGACCTTCCTTATGAACATGTAAAGTAACCCTCCTGTTTAGATGTAAACAGTACAAGGCCCATGCTTCCTTTTGGCAAAATGGATTATGGTTGAAAATGGATTAACAAACAAAACCCCCCTTTGTTCAATACATTATATTTTAGCGATTTGTATGATTCAACCATAGACTGTATATATTAAGGACTTAGTCACGCCTATCTCCGCCGAGCCCCATTCATTTAAACGAGTGACTTCAAAAATTCACAAAAAACTAGACTAAGACTAAACTAGAGTGGTCTAAAAGAAATCCACCCCCCTCAGCATTGACACACATGTGGAACAGAGCTTTGGGCCAAGAGCCAACTTTTGGACCATCCTGTAAAGACGTTTTCGAGAGGTCCGCTAATGCTATATGTTAGCATTGGCTAATTCTTATTCCGGGTCCACCCCCATCGGCCCGGGGTGGTATTGCAGCATGTCAGCGCACGTCATTTTGGACACTTTTGAGCTGGGACCCGCTCCCTCTGGGTTCAATAAAATGATAACTTAAAACATTCTAATGTCAATAATGCATACAACAAAAATTCAGAGATGCAAAAATGAACTTCAAACATTTTTATTCTAGCTTTTATTTGTTAAATCCAGCCCTCAACCAAAATGAGTTTCCTCCTCTGTTCTATAACACTGGGTAACAAAAAAATATTTTTTGAAAATAGTCCACGGTTTTCCAGCTGAATTAGACTAATGTTGATGCTCTGAGTCCGAAAATGACCTTGGTTTTGCTCAATCAGGTCAGGATTTTTTGCTACAGAAATATTTTTTTAAATCGATTTTGCGTAAAAAACTAATTTCTGCGGATCATCAGCTGAGAAACCCTTGACGTTTTTTCAGTTTTCCTCAAGAAATAAAAGTCAACGTATCCAAAGTCATTCAGTTATTATTTTATTTCTAATTTGATAAGCAGAATTCATAATAACGTAGACGTACATAATCCGTAACACTATGGGTGTATCTCAAAAAGTTGACCTGATAGAGCAAAATGCATGTGATATTCGGACTCAGAACACCAACATTAGTCTAAATCAGTTGAGAAACCCCTGACCATTTTTTGGCTGTCAACTTGTGTAATCCTACAGTTCCTTCATCTATGTGGGTCAAATGCAAACGCTCAGACTGGGTTCACAGCAGCGCGGTGAGAAGTGAGGATCTTTCCGTCGCAGCCGTCTGCACTTTTCGTTACTGTTTACAAATATATCGCTGCATCTCCACTCGACGCTTGTCCTATTTATCTCCATCAAACGCTCTATTTTTACCCCACGCCGCCTCTCACGCACAACTTAATGCCTGTTACGTAACCTCCTTTTTTTTCATGCTAATTGTTAAATTATATAATCGTGTTGATGAGATTCATTATGCGGCGCGGGGAGCAGGCTCTTGTCGTGTTCCACATTAAGAAGAGGTGATGGTTTATGTTCCATGTGACGGGTTTAGAAGGAGCAGAGGAGAGCGAAGATTCTCGGTTGTATACAAATGTTGGGTTTAATTCTGAAGATATATCATTGAAATAAGCAACTATGCAGTGGTTTGTAAAAGTGCTAAAAAACTAAAGTAATACGTTTTGCAGATGTTGTCATAAAACAGTATGTAAACTGCAAGTAATCTTTTTATATAGCGCCTTTCACAGACCATTTCACAAAGCGCTTTACAATTGTGTGGGCGTCTGTCTGTCACTCCACACGGAGATGGGAGCGAGGTCGTCATACAGGAGATGCATGCCAGATTGTACATGTTTATAGTGGTAGGGGAAACCGGAGCACCTGGAGGAAACCTAAAGACACAGGGAGAACATACAAATTCCACATAGAAAGGCCCTGTTCTGACCAGGACGCCCACCATGAATGAATGGCAGCACGGTGGGACTGTGGTTAGCGCTTGTGCTTCACCTCCAGGCCTATTTTTGAAATGAGAAAGTATACAGTGGGATGCAGAAATACTTGTACAACTTGAACTTTTGATGTTTTTTTACGACTCAATTTTTGTTAGGTGAAAATGAATGAATATTAACAAATGTATGCTTTTTTTTTTGTCAATTTAATGAGAGAAAATGTACATGTAGGAGGTATCCATAAACGTGTATAAAGTACTGTAATATCAGGATCAGTAAAACACCCCCATCTGGTGGCAGAAGTGTAAAATGCATTGTGTGTGTCTTTTTTTCTGAATGTCTAACCTGGTGCTGTTGAATTGAAAGAATTGTAAACTCTGTTCCTTAACTGAAGACATTCCCAAAACCAATTCAGAGGCAAATACTGTTTTTAAATGCAGGAAACAGCTTTTTGAATGTCTATAGTCGGAGCATTCATTCATCACAGCGGTCGTTTGAAAAGGGAGCTTTAATTAAGGGCTGCGTGTCTGTGTCTGAGCTAAAATGAACCCCAGGTGTGAGTCTGAGGAGCCCAAATCTCAAGAGGATTTTTGCATTACACATGTTCTTAAATGCTTTGTGGATTGTCTTCCTGCCTGGGGCCGAAAATATCTTCTGAAATTACAGAGCTAATTTCCTGGTCTCTTGTTCTGAATCTTTCATTTCTTACTTTTTGCCTCTAAGTGAGTGTCTGTAGAGTTGGCAGAGTGACGTGTGGTGCATAGGTTCAAGAAAGTTTTGTTACTCTATGAATGGTTTGAGAGGTGACCTGTTGTGTCAGCCTAGACCTCAGTCCTGGTCTCTCTCTAGTAAATCTGGTGCTCTTGTGCTGGTCTCTCTGGTCTCCCTCTGGTCTCCTGGTCTCTCTCTGGTCTCTCTCTGGCCTCTCTTTGCTCTCTCTGGCCTCTCTCTGGTCTCTCTCTCTTTGGTCTGGTCTCTCTCTCTGGTCTCTCTCTCTGGTCTCTCTCTCTGGTCTCTCTCTGGCCTCTCTCTGGTCTCTCTCTGGCCCCTCTTTGCTCTCTGGTCTCGCTCTGGTCTCTCTCTTGTCTCTCTCTGGTCTCTCTCTCTTTGGTCTGGTCTCTCTCTCTGGCCTCTCTCTGGCCTCTCTCTGGTCTCTCTCTGGTCTCTCTCTGGTCTCTCTCTGGCCTCTCTCTGGTTCCTCTCTGGCCTCTCTCTGGTCTCTCTCTGGTCTCTCTCTGGCCTCTCTTTGCTCTCTGGTCTCGCTCTGGTCTCTCTCTTGTCTCTCTCTGGTCTCTCTCTCTTTGGTCTGGTCTCTCTCTCTGGCCTCTCTCTGGCCTCTCTCTGGTCTCTCTCTGGTCTCTCTCTGGTCTCTCTCTGGCCTCTCTCTGGTCTCTCTCTGGCCCCTCTTTGCTCTCTGGTCTCGCTCTGGTCTCTCTCTTGTCTCTCTCTGGTCTCTCTCTCTTTGGTCTGGTCTCTCTCTCTGGCCTCTCTCTGGCCTCTCTCTGGTCTCTCTGGTGTCGCTTTGGTCTCGCGCTGGTCTCTCTGGGGCCTCTCTCTGGTTCCTCTCTGGCCTCTCTCTGGTCTCTCTCTGGTCTCTCTCTGGCCTCTCTTTGCTCTCTGGTCTCGCTCTTGTCTCTCTCTTGTCTCGCTCTGGTCTCTCTCTTGTCTCTCCTACACCTTCAACTGTCACAACATCATTTATCACATCGTCATCTTTCTTCCACAGGTTTCTGGAAGAGCAAGGAGGAGCTGAAGAAGCTTCAGAGCACAGACAAGTTGTTTTTACCTCAGGGACCCCCAAAAGACCAGGACTACTGCAGCCTGCTCCAGAGCTGGGAGAGGGCGCTCAGGAGATCCATGAACTGGTACAGGCCCTGACCACAACCTCACATAGGACCAGGACCAGGACCAGGGGCAGGGGCAGGACCGGCCTAAAGCGATGTGGAGAACATGCAACAGTCCACTGACCTCTGGAACAAGCGCGGTACAGCAGAGAGACCTGGAGATGGCCAACCGCATGGCTACAATAAACAAATCCTATATAGAAAAAAAAATCCTAGATATTCATATATTTAACATTCCTTCAAAAGTCCTTCTCCTGTTGTGATTTTGGGCCCTAACTAAAATACATTACCGTAATTTTTGACTATCGGGTGCACATAAAAGCCTTTCATTTCAGTCATGCGCCTTATAATCCGGTACAGCTTATATATGAAATTAAAGGCATGAATGGATAATGCGCCTTGTAATCAGTTGCGCCTTATTGTGGGGAAAATATGGCATTACTTTTGATTTTGAAATGCCATATGATTGGGTATGTTTACAATACGGAATGCATAGAACAACAACAAAAACTGGGCTCTATATGATGTTGCTCCCAGAACCTGCTGACCTTGTCTCGGTAGGATCCAGTTTATATGGTTTCAAACAGACTTTTTCACACCTCAATCATGCGTCTTGCTCAATCACATTTGTAAACTCTTTAATTTGGGTTGGATAAAAAACCTTTTCAAGCATCTCCACCTGAGAGAATGAATGAGAGGAAGATTAAAAGTTGATGTCGTATTGGTGTTGGTTACTGTTGACCATAACTACGCCAAAATAGCGACAACAAGTTTGAGAAAAATACAAAAATCCCAATGAAAAGTTCCAGTCCGGGTCCATTCTTGCACAACGAGACTTGAAATAGGGAAAAGTCTTGAAAGATACTTTGCCGGTAGATCAATCCAGTGTTGTTTTTAAGCTGGGGGACCTACGTTTTTTCAGAAATAATAAATTTTACTTACAACACAAGAGATAGAGTCTAAACAAGTATAAGTTTTGAACAAATCAGGTCGTAAAGAGAGAAAACATTTTATCTTTTGCCCTGTGAGTCACTGTTTGATGCTGTTTTCTGAGCAGTAGTCCTCTCTTTTTCACATTTCTGTCTGAAAAAATGCGACAGAGGCCAAAATAAATACATCTCACTATAGAGCCAAACTTAGGATCTAGTTAAATCAGGGGTGCCCACAGTTTATCGAACAAATATGTATTTTTCCAGCTCCAGAGAGTCTGTTTTAAGAGGAAGTAACAAAAGTTAGTTTGATTCATGATGCATCGTACATTACTTGCTGAGTAATTCATCATTCCTTATGCCAAGTGTAATGAATCATGCCTTTTTCCCGCCTTTTGCGAGGGTATAAAAGTGTTATTTATGGTATTAAATTAGATGACTTTGGTGCTTAACACGTTATTTATGTCAAAACAGTTGACACACACGGCCATGTGCTCATATCGTCTACGGTAGTTTGGTAAAATGTGTTTATACTATTAACTATAAAATGAATTTGCATGTTTTGTTGGTGTGCGTCTCTCGGTGTGTGAGGTCAAGTGCACAGCTCGGGCTCTGGCGCAGGCTAACGGGTTCGCCACACGCCCAAGTAGCGAAGGCCGCGTGATGGAGGTTAGCTAGCTAGCCCCGTCTTTGTGGTTCAATTCAATTCAATTCAATATTTTAATTCGGACACAAGAGTAAAAGGTCCATACCAGAAGACATACAAAAAATGCACTTGACACCCCTGAGTTAGTTAGATTTTATAGATGGATTGAAAGCTACTCCAGCTTAACATTTTTTTTCTGTTTCTTGTCCCAAACTATGATATTTAAATTGACAAGTCTATACTAAATATCCAATCCGAACGAGCTTGTAACAAATATGTGACCAGGCTGAATTTATATGTACAGTGTATCTTACTATATTAACACTTGGTTATTGCTATTTGTATGTGTGTGTGTATATATGTGTGTATGTGTGTGTATATATGTGTGTATGTGTCTGTATGAGTCTGTGTCTGTATGTGTGTGTATATATGTCTGTATGTGTCTGTATGTGTATGTGTCTGTATATGTCTGTATGTGTATGTGTCTGTATATGTCTGTATGTGTGTGTATGTGTCTGTATGTGTATGTGTCTGTATATGTCTGTATGTGTATGTGTCTGTATATGTCTGTATGAGTCTGTATGTGTCTGTATGTGTATGTGTCTGTATATGTCTGTATGAGTCTGTATGTGTCTGTATGTGTATGTGTCTGTATATGTCTGTATGTGTATGTGTCTGTATATGTCTGTATGAGTCTGTATGTGTCTGTATGTGTATGTGTCTGTATATGTCTGTATGAGTCTGTATGTGTCTGTATGTGTATGTGTCTGTATATGTCTGTATGTGTATGTGTCTGTATATGTCTGTATGAGTCTGTATGTGTCTGTATGTGTATGTGTCTGTATGTGTATGTGTATGTGTCTGTATATGTCTGTATGTGTGTGTATGTGTCTGTATGTGTATGTGTCTGTATGTGTCTGTATGTGTATATGTCTGTATGAGTCTGTATGTGTCTGTCTGTGTATGTGTCTGTATATGTCTGTATGAGTCTGTATGTGTCTGTCTGTGTGTGTATGTGTCTGTATGCGTGTATGTGTGTGTATGTGTCTGTCTTTATGTGTGTGTATGTGTCTGTATGTATGTGTGTATGTGTCTGTCTGTGTCTGTGTGTGTGTGTGTCTGTATATGTCTGTATGAGTCTGTATGTGTCTGTCTGTGTGTGTATGTGTCTGTATGCGTGTATGTATGTGTCTGTCTGTATTTGTGTGTATGTGTCTGTATATGTCTGTATGAGTCTGTATGTGTCTGTCTGTGTGTATGTGTCTGTATGAGTCTGTGTCTGTATGTGTGTGTCTGTACTGTATGTGTGTATGTTTCTGTATATGTCTGTATGAGTCGGTATGTGTCTGTCTGTGTGTGTATGTGTCTGTATGCGTGTATGTGTCTGTATGTATGTGTGTATGTGTCTGTCTGTGTCTGTATGTGTGTGTATGTGTCTGTGTGTGTCTGTATGTGTGTATGTGTCTGTATGTGTGTATGTGTCTGTCTGTGTTTGTATGTGTGTGTATGTGTCTGTATGTGTGTGTATGTGTCTGTGTGTATGTGTCTGTCTGTGTCTGTATGTGTGTGTATGTGTCTGTATGTGTGTGTATGTGTATGTGTGTGTATGTGTCTGTCTGTGTCTGTATGTGTGTGTATGTGTCTGTCTGTGTCTGTATGTGTCTGTATGTGTGTGTCTGTGTCTGTCTAAGTGAGATATCTAAACTTCTAACTATGACACTAACTAGTTTGAACTGGCAAAGTGGCTTGAATTTAATGTAGCATTCACGTGTGTATAAATAATTCTTGCAGGCATCCAGAATCCAGAATTTTCATAAACTTAAAAAAAAAAAAAAAATCAGAATAATGTCAAACCAGTGATTCTTTCAGCGGAGGTTTGTGCGATTCTGTTTGGTTCACGTTCTGTCGTTTTCGAGGTTAAGGGTTTGATGTTATTGTTTTGGCAGGAGTATATCACATTTAACCAACTTCCTCCATGTGGACTACCAGGGACTACACAAGGTCAGATCTGCGGAAAGGCGAGACATTTTAACCCTCTAGGCGCCAAAGTAGCAGAATTGATCCTTAATCCAGGACACTTTCTACACAGCGACTTGGCTTACTCACAAATGTCTCCCTACATTGTTCGTACATAATTATCTCCTATGTATTTATGTTGTTGATTAAATTAGCGATATGTAAGATTTTCATGTGAAGTCATCATTAAAGGGCCCTAATCTGTCAAAAGGCGTTAATAATGTTCTTTTCCAATACTTCTTTAACTGATTAACGGTAGTTCAGAGATGTTTGAATTTCTAAATTAGTTTCACGGCCCCTAAATCTTGTTACTGTTTTCATTTCGATGTCCCGCCCTCCACCGTTTCGCCAATCAGAAAGTCCATGATCGGGCGCCAGAACTCACTGCGTGGAGCTAATCTCACTGGTAAAGTACCATGTGGCGCAGAACTAAAAAAATGTCCCGTTATAATTCTCAAATCATTAACGACAAAATAAGGAATAAAACCAGGATTTCTGTCTTTGTGAAAAAGGTGTCTGCATATCTGGCAACCTGAGTCAGGGAGAGTGCAGTACCACTTTTGGCCAGATTTTTTACATACTGCTCCTTTAAACTAGTCCACTACCTCTGACTATCTGTTTTGTATTTGTTGCTTATACATTGTCTATTTTTGGGCGCCTAAAGGGTTCAAACAAACTGAGAAATCGCCGTTTTTGAGCCTTTAACGTAGCTCCCCCCGTCCCTTCTGTCCAAATTCTCTCATTTCCCAGTTTGCAAATTCCTCAGATTGCGACTGAAAAAAGGAAAGGTTAAAAGCATGGTTGAAAGTGCATTTTGCAGGTTGAAGGGTTTTAAAACTGGGGGGAACGTTCCGGACCAAACAATAACATGGGCTTTGTTCAGTCAGGATTCAGGTATTGACTCAGCACAACAGCCTTAATGTGATTTCTTCATTTATAATTCATAGGAGCATTTTCTGTATTGCCTTTTAATTATTAAAAACAAAAATATCTTGTTTGTGCCGATTGTTTTGTCAACATGGACCAACATTATTCCACTGTATCCAGAATATGAACGACATTTAAGTTTATATGATAGGGTTTTTATTATTTCTAATGTTGACTTTTTCAGATAGAATGACAGCGGCTAATTAAATGTATAACTATTTTAGTGAAACTGGGACATTTTTTATATTTGTTGGATGAGGAAGTTTTAGTTTTTAGCCATATCACTTTTTTTTTTTTTTTTACAAACTGGGAACAGGGTTTTTGAATGGCTTTTTTTCAATACTTGTCCAAAAAGGTCAGATTTGAGTAGATAGCGACTAATGCTAATCCCATCACAGAATCCTCCAAAGTAAACAAACCTTGCTTCTGATTCAAAAAGGTTCATTTTGACTTGAGTTACAATGTTTTTTGGTGGTTATTATAAAAGACAAGTTAGACGCACACTTCAAACAATGA